TCAGCTATTGAACCATCGGCTATGGACTTCATCATGTTTGATAAGGTATTGACTAACACCCCAGATTGATTGATCAAAGCATGATGCACAGCGTAGTCAACCCGATCTTGGAAATTACTGAAAAAATCTTGTGCCGTATCACTATTCTGATTAAGATCTCCTCCTTGCAACCCCTGGGCACCACCACCTTGAACTCCATGCACCCCGTCACCTTGCACTCCATGGACTCCTTGAGAATTGTCACCTTGATTTCCTAGAGAGCTGTCGGTAGCACCTTTGTTACTCAGCTGAGCCGAGCCGTCTTCTTAACTCCAGTGCAGGTCCAAAGCTCACCTTCGAATGTATGAGCGTGCCAGTTGATTTGATCCTGTAATCAACAAGAAATAGAAGCAAAGAAACCGCAGTTAAATCTATAAATGATATCCTATATAATCTAAGTCAACATCGGTATTTAACCTAATCGGCTGCCTTCTATTGACGGATGTTAGCCGATTGTAGGTTGGATATCGATATTGCCAAGGATTATGTAGGATATATGATAACTCGACGAATTACATAAACAAGATTAGAGTGTCATAAAGATGGAAGCACTAATCCCAAGAACGCAAGCCGCCATAACAAGTTTTACCTCTTGTTGAAGATCGAAACCGATGCAGCTCAACCCGAAAGCAAGAACTCGTCGAAATAAAACTAAAGCAAAAAAGGTGGCGATGCACCGAGATTGTATTGAACGTGTGTGTTAAAAGATACATAGTGCTCGGGTCTATTTATACCCGAAAATTACAAGATATGTCCATAACAGACACGACAACTATCTCTAACAAACTCCAAGATACCATAAGTCTTTGCGGCAGACTTTTGCCCAAGCATATCTCTAAGGAAATTATATAAAACATCCTAATTAATAGATACAATTGACTTCTCAGGACTCTATCCATGTGCGGCAATCACCTTGAAGCACCTCAATTCAACCCGATGTCATACATCGAGTTGCATTGTCGGAATCGGCTGCATCGGCTTACCTAGCCCAACTCAGACCCAGCCGATCCTAATCATAACCGATCTGGACTCTAGCCGATTCCTGCTCTGTTTCCGAACTCGATCTCCACCTCCGACTTTGCTTCGATCTAATCTTCTTTCCCGATGCCGATATTACCAAATTTGGTTGTTAACAAATCTATAAACTAGATTAGTATAATCCAATAATCTTCACTAGAGGAGCTTTTTCCAAATTATTGAGTGGCTAAAGACCCACTACTCTTAGGCCCTGTTTCTTTCAGCTTAAGATTATTATATTCTAGATTATTGAGTCAGATTACTATAAACTAGATTGTTATAATCTGTAGTAGAATAAGCGGTTAGTTGTTTCTTTCCTAGATTATTAGAGCCTAGATTATTGGGTTTGCAAGTCTAAAGAGGGAGTGGGGTGGCATGGTGGGTAATTTTTCACCCAATAATCTGGAAAAAGCTCACCTAAATGAGTTTATCATATTATAATAAGCTGGGCACCAGATTATAATAAGCTACTTCAATAAGTTGTATGTTTCTTTCAGCTTACTCCCAATAATCTGGATTATAATAATTCCAAGCTGAAAGAAACAAGGCCTTAGATGCCTCTAATAATCCAGAGAAACCAAACAATTGGCAGCTTATTCTATGTCAGCTTATTATAATCTAGTTTAGAGTAATCTGATTTAATAAGAGATTACAATAATCTTAAGCTGAAACAAATAGTACCTAAGTTAGGTAAGTGAGCATTTACAACAAAATAACTTATGGAGCGATACATACTAGTACTATGAATTATTCCAACTCTATTATCCATTCACATACAACTTACCCTATATTGAATGTGTGATCTACATATTACTTTTTGAGGTCATTGGTGTGCGATAGCCGATGTAATCAATATTACTTGATAAAGAGTTATGGTATCCAAAGTAACACAAAGGTAAAACTATCTAATCTAAAAAGTTAAGTACATATCTTAAATCCAAAGGCGTAAACAAGATCAAGGGGATCATAACATAGTTTGCTACTTCACATGACGATGGGATAGTATCCAAGGGTGTCTTATACTATGTCTATTAAGCATTTTTGTATACAAAGGTTGGTTTTTCTGGGTCTTCTCCAAGAAGACAAACTCTAGACAGTACTTGTGTATGCACGACATGAGGCCTCTCACAGTGCTCTCACAGTGTGGTGAGCTGGACCGGGACCTCGTCGCGCCACGTTGGATTTTTGCCGCCGTGTCACTTGGACCCGCGCCTAAACTAGGTTCCTCGTCCCCTAGGTGAGCGACGCAAAACCTCGCGAAATCCAGGACGCGCAGCGAGGAGAAGACCCGGGTAGCGCGCGTTGTGGGCGGCGTAGCCTCGCCCTCGCGTCGAAACCGTAGCGCGAAATCCCCGATTCACCCTCCCAAAACCCATTCCCGCCATACCGATTTCCCTCTGCCGCCACCAATTCCTCTGCTCCCGCGCCAAGAATCCTCAAAATTAGCAAGCAAAATCAAGAACACAGATCGTCACGGTGATTACCAGAAGAATCACACAAGAGTCACACAAAATCACACAAGAAAATCAAGAGTCACACAAAATCACACAAAAAAAATCAAGAACGTCGCCGCCAAGAACGCCAAGGAGGAGTGCGCCCTCCTCCCGGCCGCCGCCGAGATCGCCGAGCCCGTCCACCACACTCTAGGGCGGGGCTAGCGCCGCCACGCCCCTGGCCACGCCGACCCCTCCCTGCCTCCACGCCGCCCTGGTGGGGGAGATGAGGAGGCGTCGCAGGGGAGAAGCCGCGATGCGTTAGTGGAGCGATGAAGTTGTCGAGGTCGTCCAGGAAGAAGCCGCGACGCGTTGGTGACGACGTCATCCATGGGGGGCCGGATGCGAGACTCGCCATGGCTTCCTGCGAGCTTCTTGAGCTCGCGGAGAAGGAGCGAAGGCGCGAGGGGAGGTGGGGGAGGAGCGCGAGGCGTCCCCGGCGTGCCGCCGCAGCGTGGGAGGCGAGGAGGCGCGGCGGCGGACCGGAAGGAGGAGCGGCGTGGGAGGCGAGGTGAAGGAGGCGTGGCGGTAGAAGGAGAGAAGGAGGAGGAGCAGTGAGGAGAGAAGGGTAGGTGAGGAAATAAACTGCGTTCGGCTCACGTGTCCCACGCGCGTAGGGTAACGCCCATTGTGGGATTCTTTTCCTTCCACAGTATCTCCATTCAATTAGGTTACGTAAAATAGAATCCTTGCACTGTGGGAAAGAGTGTCTTTGGGTCTTTTTTTGGGCTAAGACATGGGCTCTGGTGCTTGCACTGTGAGTGCCCTGAGACTTCCTTCATTCAGCACATAGAGATGATTTTACTCGTGAGGGAGAACTGTGTCAAAGACTCAAGAGATTGCTCTACTCATTATTAGGGCCTATTTTGTGTGGGCCTCACTATGGAAAAAGGATCGAAACGCACAATGGGCCTTGTCACTCCCTGCAGGAATATGTTCTGGAGGTCTCTCAACTTAACAACGAGATTTGTTGAGGTTCCTTAACCACAAAACCAGAAATGTATATCCCTAAACTCACATAAATCATGCACTCAAGATCCTATAGCAGTATATATGGGTGGTTTCGCTGGTATCCTAGTTAAAAAAAAATGTGAGGCCCACATGTCAGCTGCACATCTTTTTTCTTCTCTGTTCTTCACCTTCTCTTCTCTTTTCTCTCTTCTCTCTTCTCTTCTTCAGTGAGGGAGGCCAGCGATGGGCGAGCGCAGATGCGGGCGGCATGTGAGCGCGACAGCGGTCGGCGGGTGGCGAGCAGAGAGGTTTGGGAGGGATGGGGAGTTCGCCGGCCTCCCTCACTGAAGAAGAGAAGAGAGAAGAGAGAAAAGAGAAGAGAAGGAGAAGGAAAATGATTTGTAACTGACATGTGGGCTCCATGTACTTTTTTTAATTTTTTTTCTGACTAGGATGCCATGTCAGCGAAACCATCCATTATACTGTTGTTGGACCTTGAGTGTATGGTTTATGTAAATTTAAAGATACATATTTTTGGTTTTGTGGTTAAGAGATTTCAAAATATCTCGTTAGATCTTCTTCAATGCTTGGAATTAATTAGGACCATTGATCTGCAATGATCTAACGGACAGAAAGAGAAGGTACCTGAAAAAATGTATTAAAAGGGTGAGCCAGGTATGGAAGGTGGGAGGGTAAAATGGTAATTGTTTTTTATTAAATTTTTTTCGGTAAAGGGCAAAAGCGTATTCTTACAAATTCAGAACTTTTGAGAGAAGCAACAAACGTTTCAGCAGGAGGAAGAAAAAAAAACGAGAGGAAGAATTAGAACGCTCGCGTGCGAGAGGAACCTACATGATCTGCTGGTTGTCGCTGTCGTAAAAGGCCGCCGCTTGCCGAGGCCTCACACGCCCGCCGCTCGCTGCCGCCGTACGCGCCTACGAAAGCAGCAGCTGGACACCGTCGCCGCCGCCGACGCACGCGCCCATAGCGCCCACCGGTCGCAGCTGACGTACGCAGCAGTAGGTCGCCGTCACCGCCGACGAGCCCGTCGCGCCAGCCGGTTGCCACCGTCGCACGGGCTGGCTTGGTTGATTAGGGTTAATCTTGAATCAACGGTGCGACGGCTTGGTTGATTGGGTGACGGGTGGGATTTGAGCAATTACTAAGCTACCCTTGTTAATAAAAATTTGTGTTCCTAAATTACCCTTTAAAGATTAACTGTGGATAACAATTCGTTAAGGAGATACCTAGGGTACCTTTCAAAGCACCGTAAAAGATCTCATATCTCGTTGTTCCTCCTGTTAACTCGTATCACCTCCCTCCCTCACTGAACCAATAGGGCTCGTATCACCGGTGGACTCCTGTGGGTCTCACGTGTAGTCAAACTTGCCTTGTGCGTGTAAATAAACACACACACAGAAAGAGAGGAGAAACCAGAAAACCTATCGCGCGTGCGACCGGTTTCCTCTACTTGAGGCCCGACCGGTTCGGAAATCAGAAGCTCCTGACTCTTTTGCCCCCCTCCCCTCCCCTCCCCTCCGGATCCATCCACGAAAATCTCCTCCCCCTCCGATTCCACCGCGCCGCACCGATGGCACGAACCCCACGCAAGCGCCGCCGCCGCCGCGGCGGAGGGGGCCACGACTACCTCTCCGGCCTCCCCGACGACGTCATCCTCGCCATCCTCTCCCGCCTCACGACCCGCCAGGCCGTCACGCTCTCCGCCCTCTCCCGCCGCTTCCGCGTCCTCCCGTCCCAGTTCGGCCGCGTCGACTCCGCGCTCGTCGCCGACCCGGCCCTGCCGCTCCCGTCGCTCCCCGCGCGGCCGTCCTTCATCCGCCGCCTCTCCTTCGCCCCCCAGACCCGCCGGTTCTCCTCCTCCGCGTTCGGCCGCCTCCTCGACGCCGCCGCCGACCGCGGCCTCTCCGAGCTCGCCGTCCGCCTGCCCCGCAGCGCGTTCCTTCCCCAGAACCTCCTCTCCATCCGCTCCCTCACCGTGGTCTCCCTCGACTCCTGCGCGCTCCCGCGATGGTGCCCCGCCGCGTGCCCTGGCCTCCGCACGCTCAAGCTCCACCACGTTGCCATCCCGCAGCGGATGATCAGCGTCATCCTCAAGGCCGCGCCCGTGCTCGAGACGCTGGAGATGGTGTACTGCATGGGATTCGCCGGCAGCTGCAGTATGGAGTCCTCCACGGTGAGGAACCTCCTGTTTAAGTCGGCTCTGGAGCAGCGTGAGGTCACGGTGAAAATGGCGGGTCTGAGGACGATCACGCTGTACACGCGCCCCAAGGTGCAGTCGGTTCGGCTGGATCCTGCACCGGAAATCAGGAAGGCATACCTGCACATCGCCAGGCCGCGCGTCAAACTGCAGTTCAGGATACGGCCGTTCTTGGATGCTGGCACGGGGTTGACCTGCCTCACGCTCAGGGGCATGGCCATCAAGGTGCGCTCTCCCTTGTATATGTTTTGCTTGCATCCTATGGTTAATTAGCTGCTCTGATGTGTTTCACACAAATGTTAGTTTATGTAGTTCTGATGAAATAGGGAACTGTTTGTGATGTGCTTTAAGTTGTGATTAATGTAAAACAGTTCTTAGATTACATCCATAATAGAATGATTTAATGTAGGAGTTATCTAGGCCAAATATTCCTTGGCAATGCTTCGCACTGTCATGAATAATTTGCTTTTCTCTGGACAGGGCCATAGTGAAACCGCTAATCAGGAAATGTGTTGTTCTGTATAACTTTCAGACATTGAGCTTTGTAGTAGGTTAGTAATACTCGTATTCTCCTATTTGCAATGTTGCATTGATGTTTAAGCACTGTTCAAATGACACGGTGTTGATAAAATGCGTTTTTGATAGATATTAACATGAAGCGATAATTTATATGTCAACATTATATGCTTATAGCACAGATAGCTGGAGTGTAAATCACACAACTGAACATCGGAATGTGAATATGGTCTAACACATGTGTAACTCTTGCTCTTTCAGAAGGTCATTTATCTTTGTCTTATTTTGTAGTTGTTGTCATCTGAATATAAAGACACTCCAAACTTGGCTGTACAATTTGAAGACTTGAGAATACTGTCAGTGAGCTTGGATTTCTCAAATGAAAGAGAACTCATCTTCCTTCTGAAGCTGCTTGAGAGTTGCCCCAACCTGCAACAGTTGACTCTTTCGGTATGCAATATCACCCATTCACTCTTGCATTCACATTAGCATCTTTACTATATTGAGTTTCATCAGTAAGTTTACCACTAATTTATCTACCTGCCATTCATGCTTAGGCTGTTGATGCAAAAGACGACACTGCATTGCCAAATTTTGCTGATCATGAGGAGAGGCTTTCAAAGTTATCATGCCTAACTAAGAGTTTGGAGCAGCTCAAGTTTCTTGGATTCAGGCCTCAACGGTACCAGAAGGAACTCTTTATCTTTCTGCTAACTCAAGCAACGAACCTGAAGAAGATGGCGGTGGAGTTCCCGAAAGACCAAGAAGCTGCTGTGAGGAGAATTTTGTCAGTGAGGAAAGCCCCCACTCAGAAGAAAACTACCAAGTACAAACAATACTACTTGGAGTTAGAGTATCCTGTGGAGCCCAACTGCTCATAGGGCTCTCAAGTCGCTACATGACTGGTCTCTCTTGGACATACATTCACTCCCTAGACTTTAACCCTTAGGTTGCAATTCTCTTTACAGAGATCACACGCCGGAAAAGTTCTTATTCATTGGCTTCAGGATGTAACAAAACATTTGAGATGCTTTATTGCTTCGTGCGTTATGTAATTTTCAATTTTTTGTGTTACAATGTTATACAGGGAAGTATGAGAATACATGGGGTTACGAGTACTTAAAACATGCTTGTGAGGATGATGAACATCTATTTCTGCTGCCAATTACTCTGAAGTTCTGCCATAGACTGTGTGCTCAAATTTGCCACTCCATCTGTGCATTGTCCATGTCAAAATTGGAAATAGTGCAGATGATTAGGATACACTGTTGTTTGTGTGAAGGGCAGAGAAAAGAAATGGATTTTGGAGCAATTGTTCACCTGTTGGAATCGTCAGATGGGACTTGGAGCTCCTTTTCTGAACTGAATGGTTCGAAAAGACGGTCGATGTCCTCGTTCTTGACCTCCTCAAGGGTAGCAGGACTCCACTGTATCGCAACAAAAATTAAAAAACAGTATGAAAAATAAAAATTTCTAGACATGTTTAAGAGTGTGTATGAGAGAACCTTAGGGGCATTGTCTTTGTCGATGCTGAGAGCTCTAATTCCCTGCCAAGTTTTAGGTGCAAATATTATGATGAATGACATCTTAGTCTTGCCTGTATCAAGAATCACCGTTACTTATTCATATAGTGGCAAATCACAGTACCTCATAGACATCGCCAGTAACTACAGATCGGAGAGTGTTCATTGTAAGTCGGAATTCCTTCTTCAAACATTCCGGCAGGCTCTGCTTCCGACCTTCTCTGATCTGAAGAATTAAAACAACCATTAATATTAAGAATACATTCTTGCCTTGTGCAAAAAGGAGCTGTAAATGCACCACAATACATAACAAGATGTCAAAAATTAGTACACTGCACAACATATAAATAAATTGTTAACCAAGGAGAAGCGGACAGCTACTATAGCTTTTAAGCATTCACCATACATAAGAAGCACACAAATATTATTAAGACGAGACAAAATCATCAGCATTAGAAACGATGTCAGAGTTTGTACCGATCGAAGAGTCATCTTCAGTGAAGTAGGAGATGATCTTCGCATGCCCTTCAGTACTGTAGCGATCCATTGGTTTCCATCAATGCTCCCTTCTGATTCCTACAAACAACAACAACAACAAAAGACGCTACTTATGATTTGCAGGAAAAAGTTGATTGCCTTGTTATAGGACAGTGAAGACTGGTGGTGATTGGTGAGTGTACTGTGTCTAGTTTTTCCAGAAGCTATTGGTTGACGATGATATATTTTGGGCATAAGATGAATACTGTCCACTTATTGTTGTTTAGATTATTTTGTAGCATGAAACCAAGATGAATATTCTATAGTCTGAGGAACTCAACACTTTTCAAGCAAGTAATTGAAAGAATCCTTACAAAAGCTTTTATGATGTCCTCGATAGTCTCAGCAGAGAAACATTTGTTGATAGTTGGGAGCCTATCGAAGTAAGATTGTCATTCCAGTGTCAATTTATTTCAATAATAGAATAATAAATGCATGCGCAGCAAGTTACATTTGGAAAAGGACATCAGTTCTTAACTTGTTTAAAATACTATCTTCATCAGGTTGAACATCAGTTGAGAACTCTTCAATAGCAGCTCGAACAGCAGACTCATCTCCTGTGTTTAAATTCAGCAGGCATTTTTCAAGTTCTTCCAATTTCTGCCATTCACATTATAATCATTTTTGGTTAGTCCAACCACAGAAAGACAATATATCAACAAACATTTTGATTTGTCGAGCTACATGTAGAACAATCGAGGAAATCATGCACCGGAACCATCGTGAATATGAATGGTAAATGCTGAATGCCTTACTTCAGAAGGAACAAAATGAGTAGCAAGACCGGCAGCAATCATTTCCTTTGCATTCAACCTTGCACCGGTCAAAGCCAGGTACTCCCCTAAGAATTATTCAAAGAGAATAAGCATATTGGCACAAATATCTATGTCAAGTGATACATTACAGAACCATATTGTCCTAAGATATGTTTAATTTGTCACACAAGTCACTATCAGATTTCTCATTACATCTCAAGAGACAATACGCCTGTAGTAAGGTGATGGTTTGACCTCTGAATGGAAAATGCAATTCAGTACTTACCTAAATATCCAGGGAGTCTAGAATGGATATAAGAAAAGCTGCAGTCTGTGTGTAATCCAACACTAGCCTCAGGGGTTGCGAAGACCTAAACACACAAAAAACATCACCGTGAAACTCCCAAGACAGAGTAATCATGATACCAAATGGGTCCGTTTCAAGAATAGGAGTGTTCTCTCCTTTCTATTTTTTTCATACCAAAAACGTGAACTTTTGATGCTATATAACCAATTTTGCCAAAATAATAATACTAGCTGAATTGAAGAGATAGTGACATGTAGAGGGGTGATTTACACTTTTACAGATAAATACAGCAAACCAACAAACAAACATATAACACAATATGGAATAAAAAAAGCCTCCAAAAGAACTGGACTATGGACTAGTGTTGCATACTGTTTTCTCTGTGACAACTGCAAACTTCAGTGGAGCAACCATGGCTGCACCACCACCCATGACAAGTCCATTAACAAGAGCCACCTGCATGAATTGAAATAAAACCATAGAATTTGAGTACAGAATTCGCCCCCAAGTTAGAAAACAGTCCTCCCACAAACATAAAAGAGGGCATCACCGCGGTTTTCTTATACGTGTGGATATGGTAGCAAAGCCAATACATCCTGTAAACAACCTCGAGACAGGAGTCATCTGCAAAGGAGTTCTGTTAATAGGTTTAAATGCCATCAAGTGTGCGCAAATGTGAGTCTTGGGGATGGAAATCAAATTATACAGTAAGGTCATGTGATGTGGTACCACTGCTACACTGAAACATTCATATCATATCCATACCTGATTTTCCTTCATAGAACATCTTTAGATCCCCACCAGCGGAAAATGCACGTCCAGCCCCCTGTTCATCAGCAGACCATACATTCATATGCTTGGGCCAATCGATGGGTATCATACAAAGTCATAACAAAAAGTTTCATTTGTGACATGATACGCCTCATTTCATCGCTGTCTTATTGCCAAACTTATCCATATCAAAACGTTACCTTATGTATCAGTACTAACTACTGAGTAAAGTCCAAATGTTGACCAGGCACACCTTACCGAATCCTTAAACAAGCAACACGTTTCTCTACATAGTTTGTACTACTAGCCAAGTGCTCCATGCATTGCAAGGACTTTGAAGAAACAAACTAGAGTAAGGTAAATGATTTGTTTGAGCTGTCTCCTGGAAACAAATCACGCATGACATCACTAGGCTAAAACCTATCCTTGTCTGAATTATAATTAGTTATGTTCTGCCCTAGAGCTTTATCAATGCAGGGTGCTAAGAGGGCAGCAGTGCGCGCACCTTGAAGATGACCAGCTTGGCATCCTCATCTTTCTCCCAGCTCTCCAAGAACTGGGCGAGGAGATACACCTGCAACCAGAAACCGAGCACGGCCCAGCCAATTACAGCTTCCAGCTGCTGCTTCCGGCATAAGATCGGAAAATGCACGAAGCGAAAGAAATCGCACCACTCTATCGGAGATGACGTTCAGCTGGCGCGGCCGGTTGAGGATCGCCACCCTCGCGCCGCCGGTCTCCTGCCCGAGCACCACCTGCACAAAGAAACGGCGCCGCGCGTTCTCACTCTCACCACACCACATACTACAAGAGAGAAGAAAATGGCCTCGTTCGCGTGGGGCTGATCGGTACCTCGTCGGGATTCGCCTGCTGCTGCTGCTGCTCCGGCTCCGCCATCAGGGAGGGACCCGAATTCCGCGGGAAGGGAGCTCAGCTCGAGTTAGGTGCTCCAAGAGAACGAGTTGGGCGAAGCAGGCGTGGAGGGAAGTTTGGTGAGGGGGAGCCGGTGGAGGGGATGGTGTAGTAGTAGTGGTGGAGCGGTAGGCGGGGTTGGTGCGGGAAGAAAGCGAGGGCGAACGGAAGAAGACCATGGACAGCTGGGTCGATGCAGTTTGACTTCTAATTCACACCTCTTTGAGAATTTATCGGTTTTCACTTCGGGATCATTTTGAATGATGCGTTATCACTTATCAGTGGACTAGTCCTCCCTCCGCCGCCCCATTTCCTTTTAAGTGTGACTTTGATTTTTCGTCTTATTTAAAAAAAACTAAAATATAAGTCACGTATAAATTACTATCCATATTTTATCATTTCATAACAGTAAAAATACTAATTTTAAAAAATTTTCAAATAAAACGGAAAATCAAAGTTGGATACGGATAATCATAGTTGCACTTAAAATGAGACAGAGAGAGTACTCCCTCTGTTTTAGATTATAAGACGTTTTGAGTTTAATCAAAGTCAAACTGATTTAAGTTTAACCAAGTTTGTATAAAAAAATAGTAACATTTTTAACCCCAGACAATTTATTATGAAAATATATTCAATTAATAAATTTATTATAAAAATATATTTAATTATTGATTTGATGAAACTAATTTAGTATTATAAATATTATTATATTTGTCTATAAATTTAGTCAAACTTAAAACAGTTTAACTTTAACTTTAACTAAAATTAAAACGTATTAAAACCTTTTTTTTACTAACAACGTATTAAAACCTTAATCGGAGGGAGTACTAATCTCGGAACTATACAAATCACACACGATTCGAGAACTCAGTTCTTCACTTAACGATTCCAGAACTCAGTTCTTCACTTGGTGAAAATTTTGAATGTACTGGACGATCTGGTACGTACAGTATTACTACGAGACAACACTGCTAGAACACACAGCTATTCTAGCTTCATGCAGTTTCGTCCGTATCGTCTGGTTCAGTTTGTTGTATGAGCATTCGTTATCATGACGATTGACGAGCGACAAAAAACACTTCTAGGTAAGTTGAAAACTTTAAATGAATAGCAGTAGATAATTTGAATGGTTACAATTACTAAATAACAAATCCTGTGTACCACACAGACGGAATTACAAGGGTTGATGTCGAGTCGACCTCACAGACGAAAAGTACTCGTAAGGCAGTGGCCGATGCTGCAGGTGCTCGGCCGCCCAACCAGAGTTCTTCATCCTTCAGTTTAGCTACTTTTTCGGAATAAGAGCTGTTGGTAGAGTTCGTTTAAGAGCTTTACGACTGCATTTACATCAACAATTATCTCGACAAACATATACTCCAAGAAGATAAAATAACCACAAACCAGCAAAGAAACCACGAACCATTCGATCAAAAAACATAAAAGCCTCCCGAGAATCTCAGTCCACGAACCAAACCAACATTTGGGCAGTGCTAAGTGTAAAAAGAATGATGGAAAATATTATATGTTGGCATGGATGCATACCCAAAAAACCAAATAGGTCAATGGAGTTCAAGCAACCAAGCAACTAATGATATAGGCAACAGGGAAAAAAAGGAAACCAAACATGTCTTGGTAACCTCGGCAAAGTTGCCTAACAACTTCACAGGTAGCAAATGCAACTGGGATGAGTTTGTACATAATTGAAATGACCAAAATTTGCATACCGTCTTGCATTAGGAAGAGATATAAAGCCCAAGTAAAAAAAATGATTTATGGAGTCACAGAACATTGAATTAGATTATGAAAACAAAACGAAAGAATGATCAGAACTTAAAAGTACATCGTTATTTTAGCAGCTGATGTTAGCTAAGATGCTCATCCATTAAACCACTAGGTTTATGGAAAGAATAGCACCTAACAGCTAATCAGATATTGGCAACAGGGAAAAAAAGGTAACCAAATTAACTGTTGGTAACCTCGGCAAAGTTGCCTAACAAAACCTCACAATGCGACTAGTAAGAGAACTTAAAAAGTAAAACTACTTTATTTTAGCAGCTGATGTTAGCTAGGATGCTTATCCAATAAACCACTAGGTTTATGGAAAAGAGAGAGCACCCAAGAGTTAATCAGATATTGGCAACAGGGAAAAAAAGGGAACCAAATTAACTGTTGGTAACCTCGGCAAAGTTGCCATCCTAACTACTCAAAAGTTTGAATGTGATGCAAGAAAAACATTTTTATCCAGCATCAATCAATATCCCTATCAGTAAAATGATGCATACCCAATATCAGCCAAAATAGATAGCTAAAGCTTTGTGCGGTTGTGCCAAACAAATAACCAATGAAATATGAAAGCATGAAACAAAAAACAATCATGAAGAATTAACTTGTATTTTTCGTTTTACAGAATTACGTAATAAGCACATAACACCCAATTGATGCAAGTCACTAAGATTAGCATATACAGCAAGAAAATTGAAACACAGTTCAATCAGACTATGATTTTACGGATTATTCAATTGGGCTACCATAAGCAGTGAGCAAAATAGCAACGTTATAATATTTCAGTAAACCAATATCAACGCAAACTGGGAATTGTCAGTATGAGGCATCAGATGATCACAAAGCAAAAGAAAAGGATACCAGGATACGATACGAGAACCTAGAGAGACCGCAGCATGGACCTACCAGAACTTTTCAAAAACAGGCTTCATATGGATAAGATTCATCTTAAGTTCTGAACTACGACTACACCATACTGGCAGATCTTACAGAACATGGAAGGCGACTTGGATCACATAAACAAGTTTGGCCTTGAAGCTTTGAAGGTTGTCTTCAGCTTCCTGGTAGGGGGCCTGACCTTCCTGTACACCAGTGGGAACTTGATATCTGACTTGTGGAACTGCTTAGTGTTGTCACGCTTGCAGAGTTTAAAGTGGACAGTAGCAGTCTTGATGATCTGAATGCAAGGGAATCTGACACGGTGGCGGGAAGCCATCTCAGTGTACATCTGCTCAACGGCACCATTGAGGGTGGTATCACGGTACTCCTTGTACATGTTGTGGTAGCCAGTCCTACTCTGGTAACGCAGCCAGATGCCATAGTTCTTGATAGTTGTTGGGTTCTTCTCAAAAATCTGCAGATAAAACAACAAAAGGAAATATTATCAGGTAAACTATTGAAAAAGCTGATAATAAACTAAGCGTGAACTAACTCAGCCAATTTAAATCATTGTGTATCCACAATCATAATTTATCATAAAATCTCCAAGGGGTAAATGTACAGCAGAAGAATCAGAATAAGTCATAATACAAGTATACACAGTTGTACATCAGGAAAAAAAACGACAATAAGTCTAGCAGTAGGCAATCAAATCTAACACCGAGCATGGAAAAAAAGACATCAGTGAAATAGACTAGCATTCGTGTAAAAATTAGCAATAACATTGTATGGCACATGAAATGACTAGTACATTTCGTTTCACCGATTAAGAACACACTATATAGAGTCAAAAGTGCAGAACTAAGTAGTTCGCTCAACATTGATATTAATACGCCATTATACTCTGCAGAAAGGAAAGCACCGAGATGCACGCATGAGACTAAGGTAAGGTGGGAAAGAATAGATCACCTCGTTGATGGCAAGGATCTGCCCGTTGCTCTTCTTCACCTTCTTCAGCTTGCGGAGGAAGTACCTGCACGCAGACAAAGTAACGTCACTGAACGACATCCAAACACCTAAACCAAGCGCGAAACAATGGCGCATTCGCGAGGGGGATCCGAACCCTCACCAGAACTTGGACTTGGCGCGGACCTCGTTGGTAGCCCAGAGCTTCATGCGGTAGATCTTGGGGTGCTCGTCGGTCGGCGTCGGCAGGCCCCTCCCCACCACCTGGTACTGGTGGAACTGCGCCGCGCAAAAACCAAGAACGAAGCAAACGTCAGATCAGATCTCGCGAGATCAAACCAGCCCTCGAAGTGGAGGGGAGGAAGCGGGAGAGATGGTGCTAACCCTGAAGGCGCCCATCTTCGCCGGAGTTGCCGAGGTCGCTGGGCGGGGAGGCGGCGTGCTACGGTGGTCCGAGATGGCGGCGGCGCGGAAGGTTTTGCGGCGTCCAGGACTTTTATAGGGGAGGCGAGTGTGGAGAGGAGGAGCACGGAGAGAGGTGGTGTAAAACCCTAATCGGCCGGAATGGTTGAATATGGGCTGGACTTTCCATCATGGGCCGAAGCCCATATGTAATAACCCCAAACGGGCCAAATGCAGTCAAACTGATGCGACACTGAGCTTCTTGAGGTTTGTAATGTTAAGATTTTGAAAAATAGCTGTTTGGTAACCCCTTCTATGAATATGGAGAAGCTGAGATCTTGTAAGAATATGGAGAAGCTGAGATTTTAGCTTCTGTCTTATAGTTTATTTTTTGGATTCTTCTAGCTTATAATTTATTTCTGGATTTGGATTCTTCTAGTTTATAATTCATTTTTTGGATTCTACAACCACTTCTTACAATCTGAATAAAAAACTAGACTGTGGTAGGAGTTTCTAATTTTGAGAGAAGTTGCAGCTGCAAAAACTCTCCCACAGGCCCTTAGTATTAGCTTATGGCGAGAACAAGGGAGCAGCAGTTTAGCATGTGCAATTTGAGGAGCCTTGTTGATAAGCCACAATAAAATGAAGAAAGCAACGAAAATTAATTTATGAATAAAATTTTTATATCTATGTTATTAGCTGTTTAAAACTTAAAATCATTGCAGTGCACTTCACAGAATCACAGTTACAGAGAAGTTTAGGAAGGCCTCGCAATAATGCGTCGCCAGCTGATGCCATATTCACGTAGTTTATCCTACATCTCTACATGGATTTCATCATCTCCTGGCCTTGGTCAACCAGCAACTCTGCTGAGGAGACCTAAAATACGGGCAAAAATAACACATAATCGTACTCATACAACGTGATGCCTTTTTTCCTCGACTTGATGTTCCAGACGTCTCGATGAGCAAGCGTGTAAATCCCTTCTTCTATCTCCAGTTTCCCGTCATCCTTGGAGAGTTGGAGACTTCGAGGATTGCAAATGAGTATCATTGTACTCCATATCAATCTTTGGACTTTCTGAGTGACAGCTCACCTATCCTGAAAATAAAACACAAATTCTATGGTGAGTTTATACTGTTTCCGAGAATACTTCATCACAAACTGAAAATAAATTGGGCTATGTGTTCACAGCAGCTTCACATGGTGATAAAGCTACTGATGGTCCTGAAAGGTTAATTTGTAAAACTACACTTTTACCATATACTTATGCGGCAAAGAAATCTGGTCATAGTAGGAATATTACACAAATAACACTATCAATAAATACACACTGATTTTCTTTCTTTTTGAGAAAGAGAGGTGAACCCTCTCCCATTTATGTTATCAGAAACGGACAGGTTAAACACAGAGGGTCATCTCACTGGGTTAAACGCCAAGGAAATAGACATGCCAATAAAATTTCAAAAATCATAAGTTCGTTGGCAAGTAAAGATCTTATGAATTATAGACCAAGTAAATTAGGTTATAGAATATGATGTTTACAAAATGAGCTTATCTAGCTAGTGTAATCATAGTTTTGCCACTGGCCTAAGTGGTCAGGCCCTTCTGTGGCAGGCATTGGTGTGTCGCTATTGTAATCATATTCTTCCATTGAATGGCACTTTGGCAGCGCTCCTGCCCTTTACTTCAAAAAATGATATCTACAGAATTCCTACTAGACAAGACAAAATGATTTAATATGCAGGGGGGGGCGATGTTTTCTTACGTTTCAAAATATAATGTCTCCTCCGTGTTCTGGTACGGCGCCGAGCGAAGCAGACTGCAAATGTACATATAACAAGACCTATCTCAATGACTACAGCCATTTTTAATCCTGCAAACAGGACAATTAAAATCACATTTAACAAAATGCACATCCATTGGAATGGCTACATCTAAGTGGCATGCTGAACAGAGATAATACCTTTTAGCTTTTGGATGAGATCTTCTATATCTAGAGTACGTTTCCTATCATGATGATCATCCTCTGCAACATCCTTTATGTTCATACCAACGCCGTCATCCTTCATAACACCCTTTCTGTTTATACCAACATCATCATCCTTTCTAACATCATTTATGTTCCTACAAGTGTTCGGACAACGGATGCCACTTTCATACTCATCACTTCCATCACAACAATCTATAAGAGCATAACAAAACACAGTAAAAAAAATTTGCTATTGATGAAAGTAAATGGAAGCGGATTTTTTGAAACAGAGAACTTGAACATAGGATAAAAAAAACTGTATTCTCTTGATATTAACATTGTTTTGTGAAAAAAGCAATAGCATACCACATATTTTATCATTCACAACAGACGAGAACAACAAACGAGGGGTGTCTCCAGCATTTCTACAGTAAAACCTGCCATCTGGACAAGCCGAAGTACCTGGATGACACAAATAATGTGAGGGACAGCATTATATTAGTGAACATCTTTTGCATTGGTGCTATTATCAACTACTATGAAGCAACAGATAAACACATAGATGTGGAAGAATTTTCTATGTTAGCATTCAGAACGTCACAAATGAATGCTGTGGCGGTGTGGCCGGTCACTGGCTCACCTCAGCTGTACTCCCTCCGTCCCAAAATAAACCAGCCCGGAGGGAGTGTACACGAACGGCAGGCCACAATACTATCAATAAACTTGATTTAATGTAGCTGGCAGCTAAATATGTTAGTAATCTATGATTTGCATTAGCACGGAGTTGGCGTAAAACACAGCAAAAGCAATCCTCGAAAGCACTGTAAAAATCGCACATTCCTCATGTCCTCTGAAAGATCAAGATCACATCCTTTTTTACTAACAAAATCGCACATTTTTCTCCTTGGTGAATTGGGAAAAAAAGGATTGTACTATCGCAAGTAATAAATCCATAACAAGATAAATATTCCCATCACACCAATTTTAACATCCAACGCAATATTCCATCAGATCTCGTCACACACGCGAAATCGACCAGATCCCCAAGACCCCGAAGTTCGCATTTCGCAGTTAAGGTCGGGCCGAATCGGAAACAGAGATCGAGGCGGTGGGAGACCTGGCTCGTCGGTTCCATCGGAGCAGTCGCAGTACCCGTCGTTGAGGCGGCGCTTCGGGAAGGATCCCGAGCCGTCCCTGCAGGCGATGACCGCCGGCGCGAAGTACGCCTCGTCTGCAGAGGCTATTTGGTCAGGTCGAGTAAGGAAAAGATATGAAGGAGCGAACGCCTAGGTATGCGGCTCTGCCGTCACCTTGAGGAGAAACGCCGACGAGCGGTGGTGCGGCGCCGGCGGCGCCGGCGAGGAGGTGGAGGAGGATGAGAGTGGCGGGAGCGGAGGAGGAGACTTGGCGACGACTTGGTGGTTGGGTCGTCATCTGCCGTTGGATGCGCTCGCAGTCCGCCCGGGTGTGCTGATCTCAAGGAGTTCGGGTCCATCCCGACCGAACCAAACAGTACTCCCTCCATACTCGTAAAGGAAGTCGTTTTGGACAACGACACGGTCTCCAAAACATAACTTTGATTTTTTTTTCTATAAAAATATTTATTGAAAAGTGATATATGTATACTTTTATAAAAGTATTTTTCAAGACAAATCTATTCATATAATTTTTATATTTTCAAACTCAACAACTTGAGGGTTATTCATGATTTATATTCCCAAGATTTGACTTAAACATTGTCCTAAGCGACTTAGTATGGAGTAGTACGTCCGTCAAGTCAACCATACCCACTGAAAAATTAAGGGTGTGTTTGGTTCCTGGTCAAGATTGGATGGGATACGGCGGTCCATATTTTGCTGGATATGGCGGTCTAGTTTTTTGTTTGGTTGTGTGAATATGGCGATCCAATTTTTTGTTTGGTTGTAGGAACAAAGGTGGATCTGGTGATCCAATTTTTTGTTTGGTTGGAGGAAGTACGGTGGATTTGTAGGTGTGGTCACCTCTCACTTGAGATGGTGAATATACCTCATCAAATTAATACATAATACACATTCCATTATAAATACACACTCCATTATAAATACACATTCCATTATAAATACACATAGAAAAAAGAAAAAAGAAAAAAAAAGCAGCGCCAGATCTGGGCTCGCCGACGCCGCTGGCAGCCTCCTCCCACCGGCTTCCTCCCGCCGCCGGCCGCCTCCTCCCACCGCGCAGCTCGCCTCCTCCTGCCGCCGCCCCGAGCTCGTCGCCACTCTCGCCGGCCACCGCGCTCGTCGCCTCTCTCGCCGGCCGCCGAGCTCGTCGCCCCTCTCGCCGGCTGCCGCGCTCGTCGCCTCGCTCGCGTCGTGGTGGTGAGGAGTGACGCGAGTCACGCAACTCGCTTGCTCGGCTCACCCGAGCCTCGAGCGGTTGCATCCGGCCAAATCAGCCGGATCCCTCTATCCAGCATCTGGAGGGAATATTCCCCTCTGGGCCGCCCTATCCCACTCTCGCCCAGCATCCAAACACCCTCCAAAAAGTGGCAGCCATGTCTTATCCGGATATATCCCACCAACCAAACACACCCTAAGGGATTATCACAAGTGAGCTTTAACATATAGAGATGTTAAATACATGAGATAGATACATCCTAATACGAATCTATAAATCCTTTAAATTTTGTGATAAAGAAAGTACACAAAAGACGGAACTCGCAATGAAATGGATGACTACTCCCGCACGAGCATAACTTGTCGGCCGATAGAATCGAATACAAGTCTTCCCTCCCTCACATCCCCCTCTTGCCTCTCCATCCGATCTTAGAAAAATAAAGCATGTGTCACGGAGATGACAACTTATACTTAAGCATACACTGCTACCTCGATGAATCGCTCTTTCCAAAACACCATTGTGCTATACCCTTGCCGAAGATCGTCAACGGTCGCGCAATCTACGTGTTTTTTTTCTTTTTCCTTTTCCCCTTCCCTTTTGTTCTTTTGATCAGGAATCGAACTATCGATGCTCCCAATGTTAATGGTCTAACAGGCCGACAGGGAAGAGCCTATTACCGATTGCGCGCTCCACTGGGTTTGATAGTGCGACACATATATATAACCTTAAATTTAATCTAACGAGTTGCCACGTTCTTGAGAATGCAACGATGCACAAATAACCTTGTTAGATGCATTTATGATGGGTGATTATTAGAGAGAGCCACATCGATCCGGTAATGACAGTCAAATATATCTCCTTCACTCTTAAAAATAAAACACGGGCTATAACATATTCTACTACTATAAATTTGAATAATGGGTTGCACTCTATATTACGACGTTGCTTTTATGAAACGGATGGATCAATAATGCTCCTTTGACCCTTGAGGCCTTGACCGATATCGTCGAGGGAGCGGGTAGCTCAAGTCTGCCCGCTGTGTCTAGAAGTAGTAGCCATTAGAAAACGCTCTTGGCCCTTCGCGAACAACACGAGCTGACGACGACCGCTGTCTCCGTACGTGGCTTTGGAAGGTTCCACTGGCCTGGCCCAATCGATCGCTGCCCCTATCCTCTCGTCGTCGCTTCGGCCACTCTCACTCTCGTTTACGTTTGCGCGCGTACGTAATGCCGCACCGGCACGACGTCGATGGCCTCGATCGGTCACAGAAGATCCAGAATAATTAGCCGATCTGAAAAGGAAGACGTGCCAAATCACGCCACGGCTCTGCAGTGAATTTTCCCAAGTTCTTTCTCTGGTCTTCTCTTTTGGAGTATATGGCCAAGAATTAGTTGTATTGCTTTTCTGCCCAAGAATTCAGACGTGTGTGTACCATATGGCGCTAAAAAGCGTCCACGCAGTCTCCACATCCTGTCAATGCCCCCACGAGAAAGCTATTAAGCGCTACTGAAAAAATAAAGAATGAATCAATGAAATGAAAGAAAAAATAATGGAGGAAAAGAAAGTTAAAAGCTGGAGTAGTAGCGAGACAGCATGAGCCGACTCGAAATCAACTGCTATTAACCCCTCCCATCCCTTGGACCCTTATAAAGGGATCCTCTAACTTAAGAACACCCATAATGGTTATTTATAGTCTCTCTACAAAATATTCATATCAGCATATTTTCTTACTTGAAAGAAATTAAATGAATAGAGAGAGCAAAGCTATATACTAACCTGGAGATAGTCTATATAGAAAAACGAGGCAATAGATTAGAGAGCTATAGATACCCATGTAGACATACTATTGAGATGGTTTACTATTAATCTAGTTTATTGTTGAGATGTACATGTTTTATAGAGAGCACCTTAATTTACCATTGCAGGTGCTCTAACTACTATGTAATTGAACCACTGACATGTGGAACATAACAAAGTGGGACTTATATATCAGTGACTCAATTGCATGCGAAGTTAAGTTAGGCTGTGTTCGATACCCTTGAGTTCCTCGTGTACGCTTTTCAAATTGCTAAACGTTTTTTCAAAAAGTTTTTATACGAAAGTTGCTTAAAAAATCATATTGATCTTTTTTTTAAAAAAAAATACATAATACTTAATTAATCACGCGCTAATGCACCGTTCCATTTTCGTGTGCAGTATATGTGTTCCCAACCCTGAGAGCCAAACACAGCCTTAGAGGAGGATCTTCTTCTATTGGTCACTAGAGTAGGTAACCATACATGCATATCCGTGCATTAATAAACAGAGCGCTATATTACATCTTTGCCTACGTGAGATGCAAGGAATCCAACTGGGATATTACAATTTAGCTACACATGAAAAGCCTAGCTTTGCTCGCCGTGTGCCTCTCCGTACAGAATATCTGCTACTGCTCGCTAGCTGGCTGCTCCAACGGTGGATGGATGGGCCTACCCCGATTGGCCGATTTCATCAGCAAAACTACGTAGAAAAATGGGAGTAATTGGCCAAAGGCCAAAGCATGCATGAACCGAACCACATGATTTGCACCCGAGGAGGTTGCGAAATCACATTTTGCATGACACATGATGGCCCCACTTTAGTTAAAAATAATTAATCCTTCCATTTCCAGAGTTCCAGACTTCCAGTGCTAGCTCTTCCTCGGGTTCAAATAGCGCGACAACATCACGCATCGCCTCCTACCTGACACACCACACTGCAAACCACTCTCTCGGTCTCTCCATCCATCCACCTCTCTCGATCGTCTCATGAGCTAGCGCGCCCCGCGCGTACAGCCCCGCATGTCTCTCTCCTTGGGGTTTAGCGCCGGCGCCGGCGTCGGTGCCGATCGCCTCGCCGCCGCGCCCGCGCTCCAGGCCGCCGGTGCTCTGCCGCCACGCGTGGACGTGTCTCTGTCGCTGGCGCGCGCGGCCAACGGGCAGCCGTCGTCGTACCTCCCGCTCAACGAGAACGACTCGCTGGACATGGTCCTCTTCGACGTCCTCCGCGAGGCCTCCGCGGTGGCGGCGCTGTCGTCGTCGTCGTCGTCGTCGCCGGAGCTGGGCGCGCGGACGACGGCGCCGGTGGTCGCCGGCCACCCCGCCGGGCGCAAGGGTGGCGGCGGCGGAGGCGGAGGCAGGGGAGCGGCGGCGAGGGGCGGCGCCGCTGGCGGGCGGCACTACCGCGGTGTGAGGCGGCGGCCGTGGGGGAAGTACGCCGCGGAGATCCGTGACCCGACGCGGCACGGCGCGCGGCTGTGGCTCGGCACCTTCGGCACGGCCGAGGAGGCCGCCGCGGCGTACGACCGCGCCGCGTTCCGCATGCGGGGCGCCAAGGCGCTGCTCAACTTCCCGCCGGCTGTCGCCGGTGACGGCGCCCGTCGCGGCGCCGCCGCGGCCGCGAAGCAGGTCGGCATGAGCGACGGTGAGTGCGTGATATGAAATGAAGATCAGTTTGACATGTACAGCGCGTAGGATGAGGATCAAAACCCAGGGTTAATTTGCAGTAGGCACTTGGCCTGAGTGTTAGTGTGGTAATGTTCTGCCTTATTGATGGTACAGTGGTACCAAGAGCATGTCATGTAGTTTGTTACTCTGTGCTTAGTGCTCACATTTTTTATGATATCTTTCGTGGTGTGATACCAATTCCGTGAGCAAAGTTTCACTTGAAGGCATCAATCGTGCTTTCCAAGCACGAAGAAAATATTGTAACATGGCGATATGTCCAAGATATCATCAAAGTGCAGCGTTCTAGATTGATGACAGTTTAGCCTGTGTAAAGCCAAGTTCATAAAAAAGGAATACTTTTAAGACCATTTTCATAAACAACCTTTAAAAACCTACATTAAAAAAATGACCTATGTATGAACTCTTGAAAAGAACAGAATCCGAGTGACCGGGTCCAATGCTAATAATCACTTATCACTGTGAAATACTGAAATATTACTGTTTCTTACCGAGATGCCAGGGAAACGAATCCATGCACCGCGACCACACTGGCAATGCCTTGAGATGTTACATCATTAGATTGTTTTACAAATTACAATTACAAGGCCTCCATTGACCAGTCACCATTCTAGATCAACTTACTCCTGAAGTTCACGGATAGCTAGTGGCACCAGATGATTACACAATTTAAGTACACGATGGCTCAAGACTTTTCCCCATGCCATGCTGCAGTTGGCAGGTAAAATCGTTATAAGAAAAGCGTTAGATATTCCCAAGTGGAACACTGGCAATGCCGGCAACTTGTAATTAAAACCGAAGCAACAATTTTCGAAATATTTTCCATGGAAGATTCGCCGTCTCGTGCATGGGCCACCACCTAGATGAGCTCAGCCGTGACGTGATCGCCGGCTACGTGGGAATCTATGCTTTCTCACTGACCGAGGATCCTCTATGGCTAGAGCAGCCATCAAGCAAGCCCAGACCTGATGACGTTACTGTGCATCCGTTCATACTTCATCTCGTAATTTCGATGACCATGAAAGTATCAAAACCATCCGAAAAATCTCTTGTAATTGTTCTCACATATCAACTGCCAACTGTTCACTCCAGGAAATTCTAACCATGGAAGAATCTTGCGCCAAACGCATCATCGCAGAATGATGACCAGGACCCGCACTAAACCCACCAGAACACATGCGTTCCCATCCTCCATAATGATAATACGATGCTGACCTGACTTCATGCGGCACTTCAGAATCAGAAACCAAGAACTGAAAAGCCTTTTTTACCTAAAAACTCGTTTTGCCTCTCCAATTGTGGGCCTAGGGCAGCCAATAGGATCTGCAGAAAGTACACTCTTCATCACGAACAGCAGACGGAGAAGATGAGATTGCACGCAATAGCGACCATCACGGCTGATAAAAATATTTGTCTGCTACTGAGGACATCCACTCAATTCTGGTGCACCGCTTGTTGATGGTTATCTGTATAAAGCACTGTCAATGCTGCAATCGTGCTTGGGGAGTAGATATTTGACGGCAGGCTCGAGTTGTGCAGCTCCTCTTGAAATAGGCCACCTCGTTGCTTGATAGGTTCATAAAGCATCTCCAGTAACTGTTCAGCTGATTCAACTTGGAGCTGACGGGCTTCATCATTACAAATGACCTCACTGGTCAGATCAAAATGGGATGAAATATGATCAGGTCCAAGTGTCGAATACATACATACTATTTCTCAATAATGAAGAATGAACATCATTCAGAAAAAAAGAAGCAATGGAAGCACGTTAAGCAATTGTGTTAACTAACAGGCATGTCAAGGCATATGAATCTATATGAATACTGCTACCTATACCCATATGGATGCTATCCATGGGAGATAACTATGTTCATATCTATGAGTTTTTTCTTTGGGTGGGGGACATTACCTTAGTTTTGCAGCTAGATTTTCCGCTGTGCAAGCCCCAAAAAGGATCTCAGGGACAATTGGAGAGTTTAAAAGAATGTTGGGTAGAGAAATAAAGTCTATCTTTTTCCTCAGATGAATCAAACATTCCGTGATGAAATGAGCCCGGTAAGCTACCACGCAGGGTAGCTTTGCTAACATCAGCTCCATGACAGCTGTTCCTGAAGTGCATAATGCTGCTCTACTAGCCTGCAAGACGAAACAACACTCTTCAGTTTACTCACATGAATTCTGGAAACTGCAAGAAATCGACTGCAGACCTGCGGTATTTAGCACGCAATTACATTACCAATGAAATTTCATGACGAGTACTGGGCTGCTGGCACAAGAAGCCCACCTAGGTTGCTATCTGTCTCACATATTAACTATCAATTACATCATATAAATTTCATGTTTCTCTTTCATTAATAGAAATAACTACTATAAGATATGTTGGCTTGAGGTGTAGCAGATACGTGTTTGAGAAAAAAAAGACGTAACAGATGCACCTTAACAAAAATATGGTACCTCACAAGAAATAAATATGTTTTTCTCTAGAAAACAAAGAACTAGTACTGACACAATCTTTCTTATGTGTATAACTAGTCTAATCATTCATAATAATGCTGAATCTTACTGTGGTTAAGGAATTGTTTCATATACTGCCTGAGTGAAAGGGACAGAATATGTTAAAACAACATGCATGGGACAATCTACTAGCTGCAGTAATCAACAGTGTTCTAGATTAGATAACTTTTTGTCTGCATATTGCAACAAGAAAATGTACTTCAGATACAGACTTAGCAATTCAGGGAACTTTGTCAAATTAACACTGTTCTGGAGCAAGCACAGGGTACAGGTGCAGTGCATGATATGAAACCTTCCGTAAAAAAACAAAAGTCCATGATATAAGCATTGGGGAGATAAGATACTTTGAAACATAACCAAATTTCAAAATAATAGTACCCAAAAATTGAATTGGCACTCGAGAACTAAAATCATGTGAGCTTACATTGAATGCATCATATCTTTCTTTTAGTGTTTCCCCAGTTATCAGTACCACTGGAAATGGCCCTGATCGAACAACATTATCAACATATACCCTCACATCCCGATGAGGAGCAACTGGGATGACCAGTGACAGTTCATTAAATGTATGACTTAGGTGTTGCACAGTTTGCAAGAAGATGGGAAGCATACGGGCTACCTCCTGCATCCTGCTTCCAGGCAGTATGGTTATGATTGTGGAATCTAGCAAAAGTGGATTTTCTCATTAGAAAACAAGCACATATAAATAACACAGAGTAAAAATGCAAATAAGATTAAGCCTATGAAAAAAAAATTGATGCAGCTTCATAGAGGAGAACTAACTAGCTATTGATGCACAAGATAACATGTAATTTGGAGCAGTATATCCAGATATGATTTCAGTGAATGCCTAGATGCACAAGATAACATGATAAATGCAAGGATCCAGGTCCAGGCATAGTCCTGCAGATTTGCAGTGTATAAAAAGAAAACAATATGTGCTCAGTTATACATGTAGCTTTCAGGTTTAACTATATGTTTTACCAGAGTTGCATGTGAAAATTATGATAAATGCAATTCACAAGAAAGTTGAAATATCTGTGTAATATATGCTTTGCATTTCCCGTAAAAAAAATGCTTTGCATCTCATTATTGAAAGCTGATCTGATTGTAGCACCATATTATGAGTAAGCTACTTAGAACTTGCTACAAAAAATAGATTACTTTGCAACGACTACTCTAACAGCACCGAATTATATAGGAATTATTAAACCTTGATGCAGCAGCCATGAGTTTTCACTTATACAATACTACATTACCCAGAAAGATAGTATAGTAGCACTTGACAAGTGATGGTGTGCAAGTGTGCCCAAAATTAAATGGCAGTTGCAACTGCCGAATAGTTTGCAGATTTGAAGTTGCACTGTTAACAGATAACATGTAACTGTGATGCTGTCTGTCTCCTCGGCTAAGTTCATAGAAATGGATAAACCACATAACAGATATATAATTCATAGAACTGATAAATACAAGCAGAAAACAAAAAACAAAACATAAGCATTACCACTAAAAGAAGCACACCCAAATAATTACACATACAATCTACCTGGGGAAATTTCATGCTCCTGTCGAAAATCTTCACCACTTCGTTGATGCATGGAATTGACAGAAGATAGTTCCTTCTCCTATATTATTTTGGCAAGCATAAAGAATATGTAAGTCAAGTCAGTGGATTAGCACTAGCAATTTATATACATGCCATGAGCATCTCCAGATTACCAGATCAAAATGCTTAGTTTATAAATGAAAATGTGAAATATTTCATCTACAATACAAGACAACCATTACTAGTTATTCCATCCATGTCATCAGTTTTCGAAACAAAGTAGAAAGACAATAGTATCCAGATCAAAATGCTTAGTTGATAAAAGATCACGTGAAATATTTAAATCACCTGCGATAAGACAGCCATTACTAGTTATTCCATCCGTGCCAACATTTTTCCTAACAGAGTAGAAAGACAATAGTACATCCTTCGCACAATCATCTTCATCTCATTCCCATGAAGACACTAGATGCTTGTGCACATATCTTAACAACTGAACTAGAAAAGAAGCTACTAGTAGCTATACATCAATGAGAATGATCACTTTATAAAATGAATAAATGACAAAACCTTACCTTTATTCTCTTATACTGCTGCTATGCATCGGCAGTAGTAATTTAATAGCTACTGGTTATAGAGAGAAACATTCTGGTACATTAAATTGCCATTCTATGTAGTAGATGGTGCATTCATTGTGTAGTGCAAAGCATTTATGCAAAGAAATCTTAACGAGATAACTGGATAGAGAAGACACTTAAGAAAGTGCAGTAAAACTGTTGAGAGATTTGGACAGCAATGTCTTAAAATTCAACAAAAATATATTAGGCTGATGGCACTGATGTTGAAACAAAGCACGTAAGTCCATACCATATTCAAGCCAATAGCATCATCCAATAATGGATGGCCCACATATGTAGCAGGCAACCCATTTAATCTGCAAATTTCTTCCTCAAATGGAAGGATACACAACAAATGGTCCACAAAATTATGCAACTTTGCAAGCCTTCTTTCACCATCTTTCCAGGCCCAGAATGATGGTGCAACATAGTGGACATGTAGAGGACGGGCAACTTGATTGTATCTACCTAGACAACAGAAAGTGTTTATCATATTTGCTCACGAGAAATTAGGAATGGTATTGTAAAAAATGCTTATGCTAATAGACTTACATTTCAATTGCTTCAGGAGGCGAAAAGAGAACCCCTTTGAATCAACAGTAACTACAGCATGAGGCTGAAACAATACAGCAGCATCTGCAGTATCCTCAATCTTCCTCTGTAAAACCAAAATGAGCATAATTAAAATACAAGTCCAGAGAACATGAACAAAAAGCAAAGCATGAGAGTATGAGACAGAACAACATTGCACCTTGATATTATATATGTGTGGCAGCAGTTCCCACAATCCCATTATGGAAATTTCCTCCATGGGAAAAAGTGACTGCAAGCCTTTATTGCGCATTAATTCCCTACATCAAAGAAAAGAGTCCATAGCTCCATTTAAGAGGTAAGAAACTCAAGGATCAGAGTTGAAGTAAAGCCATGGGATCCAACTTGAAATTGAGTCTGGATTGAGCTCCATTTAAGAGGCAAGAAACTCAAGGATCATACTTGCAGTAAAACCATGGAATCCAACTTGAAATTGGGTTTGGATTAACTCAGATAGATGGAGAAGTGAAATGATGCAATGATGCTGAATTAATTATTACATGGGAATGTTGACCACACAAAAAGTTAACTTTCTTCATAATTAAACAGATGGATACACACTGTTATGGGCAAGGTGTAATTGCATTAAACACCACCAGAAGGATAGCCGGGCGGCATCGGCTGCTAGGGATGAGAAGCGGAATGTAGGATGAGTTGATGAACTAGGGGGAATATTATAGATTGATCTTTGTTGCTTAGATCCAAGAGACTTGCCGAATACCCTTATATAGGTCAGCATCTAACAATCCAATCCCCTAACTCTGGAATTCCATTTTGCTCCCAATTTTCTTTCTTTTCTCTTCATCTTTTCCAATCTTATATGCCAAGCATTGAGGATTGCTTAGAATAAAAATTTACTGTTTCTTCAATGTGCTACAACCTAATAAACCTACTACAAGAGAGAAGAGCATCACATACTATTGTAACAAGAATTACAATGAAAAATCTGTTGCTTGTCTCTCCACTAAATGCTAGACACCTTGCTCAAGTCTCAAGGTATTGGCTGAAACTCTGTCTTGCTCTCCATATGCAAATTTGAGCATTTCAAGTGTGCATCGATGAATCTAGCTCTACGTACAATACAATTAGAATTTAATTTCCAACAACATTCAGAAAAAAACTTTAAGTAAGCGGTTCCAAAATAAGTCTTTCTTTGACTGTGTGAGCATGCCAAGCATAGCAACAATGGAAGTTTTGTTTATGTTCATGTGAAACGAAACAATCTATAAGCACGCAATGGACCTATGAAAATTGACATGAAAAATCAAATCAAACAAAAAGTTGGACAAATGCTGGTCCGATTTAAGAGCAACCTAAAATAATGTACAAACTCAAGTTATAATGCCCTAGTACATCGATTCCACAGAAGTACTGAAACGAAAATGGGGGGAAAGGGAGGGATACCAGACCCGCCAACACCAGCAAAACGGACGGGGACCGGTGAGAGCGCCCTGAGAGACGCCATGAGGCGCGAGGCGAGCGAGTCGCCTGAGACCTCACCGGCGACCACGAAAACTCGGAGCTCGCCGTCCCGGGCAGCGGCATCCACCACCCTCCCATAGGAGAAGGCGCGTGTGCGCGCCCCGGTCGCTGCGCCGCCGCCCAGCAGCCCTCGCAGGCGCGAGGCGGCCGCGATCCTTAACGATAGCATCGGCCGCCACAACTATGGTGTTGGACAGGAGAGAGTCGACGCCGGCCGCCTGCGCCCGTCGGGAAGTGGAACGCCCCAGCGGCGGAGGCGGCCGGCTCGACGGGAGAGAGATTGGGCCGAAAGAAGCCCAGGACAAACTACCCAGGCCTGTGGTCAGATGGGCTTTTATACATTTGGTAAACTGTCGCAGTGACACGCCCGAATAAAACCCTTGGCCGCAGCCGCCTCCCTTTCTCCCGGCCGCGCGAAATATCACGCCACCGCCGCCGCCGCCGCCGCGAACGCCATGGCCACGGGCATGCTGCTCCGCGGCCTCCGCTCGGCGGCGAGCCGGACGAGCCCTGTCTTCCCGACCTCCGCCTCGTCCCCGGCGCCCTACGTCTCGCCGCTCCTCCGCCGCCTCTACTCGGCCGCCGCCGCGTCGGCAGCCGCCTCCCCGGCCCTGGGGCCCGGAGGCGCCCTCGACCCGTCCCGCATCCGCAACGTGGCGGTGATAGCCCACGTCGACCACGGGAAGACGACGCTGATGGACCGGCTCCTGCGGCAGTGCGGCGCCGACATCCCACACGAGCGCGCCATGGACTCCATCAGCCTCGAGCGCGAGCGCGGCATCACCATTGCCTCCAAGGTAACCCACCTTCCACCACTCGCGCGCGCCGCGTGGTTAGTGAGGGCACACGAGAGGTTAAATGTCCATTCCGTCGAACATACTGCGTGCATCACGTGAGGGATTAGAATGTTGGCTTGGGGAAGGAAGTGAGATCTGCTTCAAAGGCCATTCTCAAACTTGCGCTACTGTTTTCCCTGTTATACATCGCTGAGCACCTTGGCAGATTTCAGTGCGTAAGTAAATTTCTGGGAGGATTTATGTCACTTATGGTTCAACTGCTCTGCTCATTCTGTACTCCGTAAAGCCTGCACATCTATTGTAGTTCAATAAATCACTCCCGAAATCTGATCTGCTGAGATAATCATTATCTCATCCTTCTGATTTTTTTTTTTGTTGAAACTTCTTCATTGATGGTCCAATAGCTGCATAGCATTCAGTATGGTAACTTTTTATGTGGCATCTCACTTTTTTCGTCTCGGCTATTTGTGTAGGTCACTTCTGTCTCTTGGAAGGAGAACGAACTCAACATGGTTGATACACCTGGTCACGCTGATTTTGGTGGCGAAGTACACACTCAGCACTCTTTTATAATTTCATACAGTTAAGAACAAGAAGAAATGATGATTTTTCTATGGTATCTGACATGATCCTCACCAATTATGTGACAGGTCGAGAGAGTTGTTGGAATGGTTGAAGGGGCGGTCTTGGTTGTTGATGCTGGGGAGGGACCTTTAGCGCAGACCAAGTTTGTACTTTCAAAGGCTTTGAAGTATGGCTTGCGCCCAATTCTCCTTCTCAACAAGGTTGACAGGCCATCAGGTTTGCTTATTCTCAGATGCTCTGCTCACTATGGCAGTATTTTGTGAGCAATGGATGGCATGTACATAACAAAGTGATTCAATTGTCTTAGATATGAATCAAGCTACGATCTTAAGCTGAGCAAGTATGAAGTTTTGATGTGTAATTTAGTTTAAGCAGATAAACAGAAACATATACTTTGGGGGTAAATACACAATAATTTTTATCCAAAATGACACAATATTCCATTTCCCGTCACAAAATTAGGCTACCTTTTGTTTTCTATGTTTACAGAAAAAGAGAAATATCCAGTCATGTAATTTTTAGTTAGAAGGCCTTTCCTTTTGAGTAGCCTGTTATTAGCATTGAATGTTTTTTAGCGTTAGCAATAATTTTGTTTGAAAGATGAGCTACTGCGATATATTCACTTCCCACAAAGTAAAAATGGCCAACTGCAGTGGGATACACCAGCTCAGAAATAGATAAAGCATTATATTCATTATTTTTGGCATATATATATATCCCTAGTATATTATGTTTGCTATAGCTCTTTAACTAACCAATTATACTCCAACAGTTTCGGAAGAGACCTGCAATGAAGTAGAGAGCTTGGTGTTTGATCTATTTGCAAATCTTGGTGCTACAGGTGCATTTCTAGTACTTCAATTTGGTGCCTTGGAAGTTTTTTCATAAATATGTGACACTATTTTATTCGGGTTTTGCAGAAGAACAGTTAGACTTCCCAGTTCTTTATGCATCGGCTAAAGAAGGCTGGGCTTCTCTAGAATTCACCAAGAGCCCTCCTGATAATGCGAAAAATATGTCTGCATTGCTTGATTCCATTTTACAGCATGTGCCTTCTCCAAAAGCTGACCTTGAGGCTCCATTCCAAATGTTGGTTAGTGTATTGCACAGCATCTGAAATGGATATTTTATTTAGACGAGGGAAAACTTGCTATTTCTTTTGTAATTCTCCATCCATCTCTAATGACATGTTTATTAGAATGAGTGAACGACTAAGTATTATGGCGATTTGTTTATTTGTAATAGAGTTCCACTTGATTTAGCAACCAAAACAAAATGATGCCTTCGTTTTTGGCCAAGTTTTCTCCACTCTTAGTCAATAGCTATTTGTAAGATTCCACCTCCTTTTCAGAATTTAAGACTTCACACACTTCTTCTTGTTCCGAAATGTGTGTTATTTAACTTTTGCAGGCAAGTTTTCTCTAATTCCCCACCCTAGAATTTATCTTAAATTTACCTCTTCTGAAGATATTTATGTAAGGTTGTACTGGTAATTCTTAAGCGGAGCCAGTAATTCATAGTCTTCTACAGGTTTCCATGATGGAACGCGATTTTTATCTAGGACGAATACTGACTGGACGAGTAAGATCTGGGGTTGTCCGTGTTGGTGACAAAGTGCATGGTCTTCGTAGCACAGATGATGGTGTTCAGAAGATCGAAGATGGAAAGGTTTAACTGAATTTCTTGCACTTCTTCTCGGCAATGCTTAAACGCTGAAGACACTTTTTTCTCATTCAATATGTTTAAATTATTGTATTCATTAAATGCCTTAAGGACCTTTGCAAACTACTGAAACAAATTCAGGTTGTCAAGCTCATGAAAAAGAAAGGAACAAGTATGGTAATAGTAGAGGCTGCAGGAGCTGGCGACATAATTTCAATGGCTGGATTGGCTGCTCCAGCAATTGGGCATACTGTGTCAAATTCAGATGTAGGTTGCTAATTCGTGCTGCTGAACGTGTTTCTATTGTCAGATATTCCTTGTACTAATAATGGTTGTACAATATAGATTTTGACTGCCCTTCCTACAATTGAGTTGGACCCTCCCACAATATCTATGACTTTTGGTGTGAATGATTCACCACTGTCTGGCCGCGATGGCACTCATGTAAGTAGCAAACAATTAACCTAGACATCAAAGTGTTCCTATTTATTCCTCATATTGTTTTCATTGTCCTTTTTGCTTTTGATGAAAATTCATGCATATTTGTTTTGTTTTCCTATACATCAAAGTGTTCTTATTTTGCTTTTCATGTTCCTATTTTGTTTTTTTGCTTAAAGTTAGGTTATTGTTTTAAGATAGATTTCAGATTCCTGTAGGAGCTGCTAATATGTTAATGGAACCATGATAATCAGATGGTGTTATAACTTCCACGCACTATGTTGCTCTGGATTTGGGGATGTCATATGCAGGATTCTAAAATTTAAGGAACTAGTTAATTCATATTGGATCTGAAAATTTGTTGCAGACTGAAATATATTAGTTATTTTACCTTTTCCTTTTTAAGAAAAAGAGAATATAACATTTGCTCACTGCAATATAACTTGTATCACTAGATCTTGTTCATAGTCACTACTTGAAGTCTTGAACTACAAATAATGGGTAGATATCAAATGTTGACTTGCTGAGCATGATACTACTAGATCATAATTTTCCTGTCAAAATAATCAGAAGGCAAACATACCATACATTTTTAATCATCTGAATTCAGTTACTAGCGCATAGGTTTTCCTAAATCTATCGGTGGAGCTAGTCCTCTGAATGAAGTTTTAAATTGGTAGGTGAGAGTAAGGACTAAGAAGCTAACACCATTAGTCTTGGAGGTCTAAATCCAAGGTATGGTACTAGCCTCCTAGGTGTTTTTGCAATGCTATCCAGGCTGGTTTTTGGGCAGTATGTACATACTTTTATTTAATGTGAAGTTTTATGTCATTTGTTTCTGAGGAATGGTGCGGTCAAATTTAAATTAGGATATAACGATGCAAAGTATGGAAGCCTTGGTGCCTCTAAGTAAAACACACCAGCGTTCGATCTCCTTTGTTTGAATGACATAGATAGATCCAACCACAGCTATTCTAAATCAACTTCATAGGTTGCCTATGCTGACTACACATAGTCTGGAAAGAGCCTAATTACCAATCTGTATGGTGCTATAGTAATATAAATTTGTATTCAATAAATCAAGCAATAATAGCTGCCCTCTTTTTCTGAGGTCCATCTAAAATTTTGTAGCTAACTGGAGCGAAAATAGGCAACCGCCTAATGGCAGAAGCAGAAACGAACCTGGCAATTAATGTTCTTCCTGGACCATTATCAGAATCTTATGAAGTTCAAGGAAGGGGAGAACTTCAGTTAGGTAAGTATATGTACCACTGATGAAATCCCTTCTTTTTCTGATATATGCTATTTAACTGCTTTTTTTTCTTGATTTATTTGAGAGCACTTCATACGTCAACCTCGTGTACAATATAATGAAAAGTTTCCTGCCAACTATAGCATTTGATGATCTGCATAACTTCCAGGAATCTTGATTGAGAATATGCGCCGCGAAGGATTTGAGCTTTCAGTTTCACCCCCAAAAGTGATGTGAGCACCAATATTCCACATATTATACTCTTTGTATGCTTACGTTTTCACTTCAGCCTGAAGTTCTTTAGTTCAATTTTCTTTCCAACAGTATTAGAGAAGCTAACCGTTTGTAGCTAGATATTTTGTTCTATTACTTTGTTTCACCCTGAAGTAGTTATATTCCCTGTTCTGTGGAAATACACTTTCCACTGATATCGAACTCTGTATCTGAGCAATTTGGCAGCACTGTTCCCACTATTAACTAATTTATGTATTAATTGAAATAGGTATAGAACAGACCGTGGAGAAAGGTTAGAGCCTATTGAAGAAGTAACTGTTGAGGTAGAAATATGGAACCTTGTTTGAACTTCTTTGTTTTTAGTTGTTTACTTTGTTCTAAACTTGTATTCATAAACTGTTAATGTTTGAACATATTGTAGGTAGACGAGGAGCATGTTGGATTTGTCATGGAAACCCTGACACACAGGAAGGGTGAAGTAATGGACATGGGCCCTGTTCCAGGGACAACTGGGAGAACTCGGATCTTTTTGACCTGCCCATCTAGGTGATTAGTGCATATAATTACCAGCTGCATGATGTGTCACCTTCAAAAGCATATTATAGTTGATGCCAATTTTGGACTCGATTGTCTTTTGCCATGTATTTCAGTCTGGTTCTCAATTTTTTATGATACGAAATGATGCATTATGTATGCAGGGGTTTGGTGGGATTCAAAGGAATATTCAGCAGCTTTACACGTGGAACTGGGTTTATGCATCGCGCTTTCCAGGGTATGCTATTTCTTATTAAGTCCTAGATGATTTCCTTAACTCGCCTATGCATTTTTTTGAAGTAAACCACGCCATTGATGCCACCAACTAGATTTTATTGAGAGTATTTGACCTTGGTTTCTCTATGATTGCAGCATATGCTAAATACAGAGGTCAGCTGGGCAATGTTAGAAAAGGAGTTCTGGTAATGCCAATTCCTTCAGTTTCATAATTTCTTCTGTTTACTCTTATCTGTCTTCATACCAAACAAGTTTTACATTATTTTGCAATAATAGACAGCAATGAATTTTTAAACCAAGAATTAAGCAAATGAAATAAAAGAAGGAATATGTCATTAAATGTAAGCAGGATTTGATGAACTGCACCTTATTCTGCTCAACTCAACATGACAAATGTAAGTGCTCTTATGTGTATATGTAGGTATCTGTCGGCAAGGGACTTATCACTTCACATGCACTTATGAGTTTAGAAGCTCGTGGTATTCTGTTTGTTTCTCCTGGGATGGAGGTATCGACATTTATTCATTTTGTTACTATGATCTACCATCTAAGAGTAGGGGGTTTCCTTATTCCTCTTTCTTTCTCCTTTCTTTAAGGCGTACGAAGGCATGATTGTTGGAGAGCACTCACGTGACAGTGATCTTGATGTAAGTTGATTATATGCTTATCAATGAATTAGGTTTCTCTTCTAATACACAAACTAAATAACTCTTCTGTTGTTCAGATCAATCCTGTGAGAACTAAAGAACTTACAAACATTCGAGCTCCAGGAAAGGATGAAAATGTCAGGCTTTCTCCACCACGATTGGTATGTTGTGTTTTAACTTTTACCAAGACATCAGCATTCAGGAGATATCACTTTATCACCCTACAGACTAAATGGTGCTGCTTTAAACACTAGTTAACAACTTAATACCAACGGAAGCCTTGCAAGCTTTATAATATTCGCGTCACACTCTCCCTTGGGTTTTGGGAACTGAGGAGACCATAAATCTAGATTATGTGCATTCTTTGCTGAAAAATGTCATTTGCTTCCTTCCTTTAGCTTCCTCGGAAATGATTGTTACATAATCTTAACTAAAGGCACTGAATCATGCAGATGAGTTTGGAAGAGGCAATTGGATATGTTGCTGCAGATGAGCTTATTGAGGCAAGTTTTCTGTATTTGCTATTGATGATTCTACTTGTACTTGTGTGAGGACTAAGTGGCACAAGCAGCGCATAGAGATGAGCTTTCCATTTTTCCCGATTCTTATTCCGATTCTTTTTTGGCTTGTTACTTTTAGCTCTAGAAATAAAAAAAAAATCCTGGTTTTTTTTTTGGATTTTGAAATGACTTGTTGACGACTATTGCCAATGTATAAAACCACTTACATTTCAGAAAAAAATCCTCTGCCAGACGGAGATTCTGCAGGCTAATGAATGGGTGCATTGTTATTTCTACCATATAATACAATGGCATGTTACAAACAATATTAAGAACCAAACAAAGAAAGCAATCAATAAGCATCCACCTGCAGTTTCTGCTATATAGTTTGCTACTAGCATTTGTAAAGGATTATCAGAAATCTAAATTAGAGATGTGTTCTCTGTGCATGGGTTGGAATGTAGGAATGCAGCCTACAAAACAAAATGCATGCTACAATATATGCATGTTAGTCCACATTCAAATCCAAATTTAAGTTACTCTACATGCTGCTAGCTTTTTTTTGTTTATTAGAAGTGCAGATTATCCTAAGAAAATAATCTTATTTTGTGGAATATTACTCCCAATCTTTTACCAAAAGAAAATAATCTTCTTGCTTGATTTAAGCTTAACTGTTCCAACTCCTATTCCAGTTTGCTCCTGGAGTTTCATATTGACATTTGAGCTTCATCAGGTTACTCCCAAGGTCATTCGGCTTCGGAAGAAATATCTGGATGCCACGAAACGTAAGATGATGAAAAACAAACCAATGGATTGAAGCTTCAGTGACACTAAACGAAGTTTTGTGAGTGCTGCTACATTAGTCTATAATAATCCAAAAGGCGCAGATGCATCCTATTTATGTATAGGTTGGCGGATAGCTTTTTCAAGTGCTGCCAGCGTTCCTCACCATGACCCAGCATGAAAATTTTATTCAGCCGTGGGATGATAATGATTCACGGCATGCTAAGAACGAATAAGCCCGTGATTGGAGCTACTGCTATAACAGAAATACAGAACAGGGTGGGTGGGCTGGTAACATGGATTACCTCTGGAAGGCGATTATACCTTTTGATAGCCTTTTTACAGTAATTGTTGGAACGACCATAGATATTGCCCTTGAAGGTCATAGTATTCTTTTCTAGTTGAGTGCTGAAAAAATGACAGCTATAGTCTCTTTTGATGCTGGTTGTTTTTGTTCACATTTGTATGGGCATGTGTTACTGAGAGATGAAAGGAAATCATTTGAAACGCTATGATGCATGAACTAAGACAGAAGTACAGAAGGTCGTCATGAGCATTGTTTTACACGTAATGCCGTATATTCGAACATTTCGCTTTCTGATGAAATCATGAAACCGCTCGTTGGTACGTCGTATATTTTTCTGAGATATAAAATCGTTGACAGGTTGACATGAGTTTGTAGAGTTTCCTAGTTTTTTTAGCTAAATTTTACAAAACTACATATAGTTTGATCTACCTATGATGTAAGACATTATATTGCAAAACTGTATACTCCCTCCGTCCCATAATATAAGGGATTTTGCGTTTTTGTTTGCACTCTTTGATCACTCGTCTTATTCAAAAAAAATTTAGAATTATTATTTAGTTTTTTTTACTTGTTTTATTATCCAAAATACTTTAAGCACAACTTTTCGTTTTTTATATTTGCACAATTTTTTTCTAAGACGAGTGGTCAAACATTGCAATCACAAACTTAAAATCCCTTATATTATGGGACGGAGGGAGTATTTAGCACCATTTTTTCACAAAACTATAGATTTAGATTTAATACCAAATATCATGAAACTACTGGTGCAATATTGATTGTTATCACAAAACATACAATATTATTGATTGTTATCACAAAACTATATATTTTAAAATTTAAACCCTTGGCACTAAAGTTAGATTCAAGCTTTAGATAAGTTTGTATATGCAATTTTACAATACTTTGTCTTAAATCTATAATTTCGTAATAACTGTATTGTTAATTCTATAGTTTTGTGATACACTGATTTAAATATGTAATTTTGTAATAGTTTGGTTAAAATATATATGACTTTGTGAAATTTATTTTTTTAATACACAACATACTCCCTTCCCCTTTTTAAAATATTCTTACTATTACATAATATTAATATAAGTATTTCCAAGTTGTTATAGCAGTGAATAAGGTTGAGGAGAAACGACTTTTGTGTCGCATATTAAATAAGAGACGGTGGAATAAGGTTGAGGAGAAAATACTTGGTGGAGGTGGAGGGAAATTGAAGAAAAAAAAGAAGATTGATGTGATAAGTATGTATTCTCTTAGAACTAAGGTAAGCGTCATCAAATGTGAAATGCTTGTATTTTATTTTGAAACAGAGGGAGTAGCTATTTATGGAGTTCAAATTGTCATAAAATATACTCCTATCTACTTACTTTTCTCAATTAATCGCAACCAAATTTTATGTAAGGCTCCTTTCGAGCAAAGGAATTTTGGAGGGTTGGATTCCTATGAAAAGAATTCATTTGAAATATAGAAATGGCCTCACCAAATTCATCAGGATTGCCTCCAAACATAGAAAATTTTAGAGGATTCTGAAATATTGGAGACTTCCTAACATGAGGTTCTACCTCTTTAAAAAATTCATTTGCATCCATTTTTCTTCATTCATGTGTTTTTACTGTGCTCCATCCAAACGATCATTTTCCTTCTGATTCCCGTGTTTTTCCCGCACTCTATCAAAACGATCATTTCTATTGTTTTCATGTGTTTTTCCATCTATAAATTTAAGGTGACATGGCACTTAAATACTACGATTTTCCTATCCTTATGTTTCTGTTTGCATTTGTGTTTCAAAGGAGTCCTTACTTTTTTTTTCTTTTCTTTTCTTTTTTTGCTTGCTTTCTCATGTCAATCAATCAGTCATCTGGTTTTAATTTTATATCTCATTAATTCCCATGAAGAACTCCAGAAGTGCACGACGCTACATATCATTCAAAATCAGCAATCACAGGATGTCACTACTTCAGCTTGCGCATAGGCAATTTTGAGTGAAAGCTTGAAGTGACTGCTACGAGCCTACGATCTTTGAATGAAAGCATGGAGTGACTGCAACGAGCCTACGATCAACCCCCTCAGTATGAATCTACGACCTACAGGTCTTGCCTTGTCAAAGATCAAAGCCCAAAATGTATGGACACTAGCTGACTTCTTGATGTTGGGCATAATTGAGAAATTTCAGGTTCTCAATGATGATTAGTCTTATTTTTCTCCTAAAGAAGATAGCTAGGTTATCTTAATGTTAAGCAGCATGACCATGGATTATCTCCAGTATTCACAACGTTCTTGATTTATATATCAACGTAAGTAAACGCAAATTTTGCATAAACTGATCATACTACATATGCACCCTGCCAAGCTCAAGTTTACATCAAGCCACGTCGACAATACTACAGTTAGTCAATGCATAATTTTATGGAAATATCGAAATCGAGACCGAGTTTAAAAGATACTAGGGGCATATATATAAGAAATAAATATCCAGCCGACGCAGCTCACGCCTTCATTGTCCACATGGTTGCCGCAGTTATTTGCGTGCTTCAGCCTTCCTCTGTTCTTTGGCTGCCAAGAATAAAATTAACATCAGTATACATATTGCAATCTAAGAAAACATGTTACTAACTGAATGTGTAAAATGAGCATCACTTCATCTCAGTGCTAAACACTTAGTTACCTGCAAAATGCACCCATAATGTTATCAAAACTAGTAAACAAAGGCATCAAAATTTCACAAGCAATTGAATATACACTCCATGATGCTATGATCAAACAATATGTTTTCATATATGATATGTCTGCAACCAATTCTGAATGACACAAGAAAACCAAAACCATGAAGCAATATACAAATAGCAAGGGAGATGTACCAGCTTTCTCCTCTTCACGTTTCTTTGCAGCATCAGCTCTTTGTTGTCTTATTAAAGCAAGACGTTCTGCATTTGCAAAATTATAAAGGGTCATGGCTGTTGGCAATTCACAGGTAATTCTTCAATATTGAACGCACCCAAAAAAAATATACAATGCCAATTCTACAAAGATATATAATAATGTCAAATGGACAGTTCTGACTGAATCTGACATTAAATGGTAGATGTGCGTCTCACATATAAAATAGAATCTTCTTTGTTCTAGAAAGACAATTATCTTGAAGAGTAAAAGGAAAACATTTGCACCATTGTGAGACATCTAAGAGGATTGCATTAGTAAATTTTCAGGTCGAAGTTCAGAAAGAATACAAGAAGATTTTTGGTTAAAAATCATTAAACAAGACGCAAAAACTTCATCCATAAGATCAGTGAAGTCGGCTGAAAAATATGCAAGAATTGTAGGATTTGTCCACATATAACTTGTTTTTTTAGTATAATGCTAGTATCGGTACTGAATCAGTACTATCCAATGTCCAGTAAGATGTCAAATCTAAACCCACTGATGTTTATATCTGATTAAAGATATCAACTGGGTTAAAGGGCCCTGATTTATCCATTGTTACTGATACTAAATTTTGTACATCATGCTAGCATGTTAAGCTATTTTCCTTTGTTACAGTGTCTGTTTCTATAGGTATACTGAACCAGATTTAATGAACGCTCATAGGTCGCATGCGATATAAATACATAAGTAACTACAACCAACAAGGAACACCAAAAGAAGGGAAGAGGTGGACATAATATAGATAAGAATTCTCACCCAAATCTTTCCTAGCTTGTTCTGTTTTTCCTTGCTCCTGAAGCTTCATATAGCGCTCATGAGCTTTCTGTTTCTCGATCTCCTCTCTATAATTCAAACATATTTGAAGTATTGTACCTTAAAATTTTCCTGAACAGCTAAACACAATGCATGGACTGAAATAAGAAAAGGTACCTTTCACGCCTCGAGAGCTCAGTTGTCTTTCCGAGCTGTAAAATGCAAAGTAAGTTGGACAAACGCATGAAAAATATACTAATTGGTACACATGAACAAAAAGATTCAGACGTAACTATCAAATAGTATGAAGATCAAGGGGGAAAACAGAAAATATAGTCCAAAATATTATCAGTAGTCACCAACTTACATCAACTTCCTTGGCTTTTATATTCTTTGCTTTCACTAAGTTCGGGTTTTCAATCTGAATAAGACCTTCAGTTCCTTTATGTTTCTGGAATTGTTGCACAACATGTCAGATAGGTAAGAAAAGGAACTGAACTATGAACATATACTTGCAGAGAGTAAGATTACTTACAGCCTTCCCTTCAGACTCATCTTCAGATTCTTCCTCTTCAGATTCTTCTATGTCGTCTTCTTCCTCCTCCTTTTCCTCCTCAGCTAAATTCTATTTGATACTCAGTTCATTCATTAGAACGAATATGACAAGGTAGTGTTGAAACAAACCAAGGTTTGGTGCAAATAATTGAGTAAACATTTGCAATTGCAATGCTCTTGATTTCATTACTGCGGATTAACAACATTCATCCATGTGGATACTGGAAACGCCCAGAATATAAATAAATAAATAAATACAAGCGATTAGATGTGCTATTCTTTGCACTGGAACAGATGCTTTGACAACAAACAAAACTAACCAATGAAATAGTTGTTCTTCTTATCCATTCAGACAATGATTGTTCACGGTGAAATACGAAATGCCAAAAGCAAAATAGTTTAGTTTAATATTATCCTAAACCGTGTAACTGACAAAAAAGTTTTTTTTTTCTGGTTCATCTAGGAGCGACACATGGTAGAAATGTGGACGAACCTTCTTAAATGTGCGTGGACGACCTGAAGTACCAGCAGCTGCAGTTATTTGAATGGAAAAGATGATCAGAAGCAAGTAAAAATATATATATTGCACTTAGCAGGATATCAAAAACGAAATCAAAATCCAGAAGCACAAACTAAAAAGAAATGGTCTTCAATTGTACATCAAGAACTTAAAAATATTATTGCACTCCTGTATACAGTCTCAACAGAGTTCCTTTGTCTGAGACTAGATAAAGACAGAGGTGCAATCGATTTCTCACTGCGTTTAAACTCCACACAAACCCTTATTCCGTGAAGATCTGAAACAGTGAACTGGAATTTATAAAACTAATAAATCAAAACGAAGAAACAGAATCGAGCTGTACTACTGCATCATGGGATAGAGCCAAGCATCTAAAGATGCAGATAAGTGCCTGACTACATGAGCATCAAAATCAGGCAACATAAACACCGAAGCTAAGACCCATGTTAGATCAACGAGTCACTCCCTCCTCCACGACCCAAACCATCAAACACCATCGAATTGTATGCTAACCCGTACAGCATCACAAAAAAAAAGCGCTCTATGCATCGCGTTCAAGTCAAATTCACAGCCGCTCGTGTTCTACGAGCACATCCCAGCCTAGCGAAACCCGAACCCCCCCGCCGCAGCATCAGATCGAGCAGCCCGCCCATGCCGGCGGCGGCGGCGGCTGACGGCTGGCACCAGATTTCTCAGTGAAAACGAAACAGGGCCGAATCGAAAATAGGAAAGGGCGCGACGTCGGTACCGATCTCCTCGGGGGTGGAGAAGTTGCGGCGGCCGGTGGGCTTGCCCTTGAACTTCCCCCTGCCCATGGCGGAGGCGGCGGCGGCAGCGGAGGAGGAGGATGAGGAGGTGAGGGGGAGAGAGCGGGGAACTGGGGCGTGTGGAACGGAGGGAGGAGGGTTCGCCTAAGCTGCACGCGGGGTGGGAATCCGAAACCCTACTGCCGCCGCGGCCGCTTTTTACAGGGCGGTGGGGGCTGAGGAACGAGAAAATCTGGGGAGGAAATGGAGACCGGTGGTGGTGCTGCTGAGAATCGGGTGCGACGCGACCGACTGCGCGAGTGCGTGCACCGTACGTACTGGTAACCATTCCCCAAAAAAATTGCACTTGTAGTACACCATTATATAAGCTTAGGAGCTGTTTGGTTTACGTACTAATATTGACTAGATTTATCATACTTTCTTAGCTAAATTTACCAAAGGTGAGGCCATCAAAATCCAAACTACACTCTAGCCAACAAAATGAAACCATGCCACATTTTTTAGAGTCACTTACATGTGGGATCTAGATTACAAAATAGAAATCTTACCACACTTGTGGAAGCCAACCAAACACTCATCTAACATGGTCAAACTTGCCTAACCTCAAGTGTGGCAAAGTGTGGCAACTTATGGCCATCAATCAAATAGCCCCTAAATTGTTAAAATCCTATTAGTTTTATGGGCTTTGCTAAAATATCAACTTCAGTCAGACTATCTAAACTAAAATACCATCCTGAACACTACACTCTTCACTCTTCTTCTTGCCTCCAATGTTAGAAATGCTCGTCGGCAGTCGTCCCTGTCTTTCATCCATTCCCGGCCACCGTGTCGCGGCTTGAGAAGGTTGCAGCGCTCTAGAAGTTAGTGGAGATCAGTGACGCACGAGCTAGAGGAGGCCATCACTATACCCTTCTTGTCTTGCCGCTGACTGTCGTGCCTTGTCGTTGCCTTCGTTCCATCATCGTGCGTTGTTGAAGGAGGTTGCTGTCACTCGCTCCTCGTCTTGCCAACCAGCTGTTGCGCCCTGTCGTCATCGTTGTTCCCTTGTCAAATCAGAGTTAAAGGAGGTTGTTGTCGCCTACTCCACGTATTGTCCATAGGCTGTCGCGCCTTCGCCACCACCGTCATTCCATCGTCTGCCGTAGTTGAAGGAGGTTGCCATCATCCGTTCCTCGTCTTGCCCGCTAGCTGTCGCTCGTTGTAGTTATCACCACTCTCTCGTCGCTCCAGAGTTGAAGAAGGTTAGGGACATCACATATGGATTTGGATGTGGTTGGCCAACATCAAGGCTCGAGTTTCTAGCTCACGTTTTTATTTTTCTGAGAGCTAGAAATTCATTTTGTTAGGGACATCACATAAATACCCTAATTCAAAGGAGTGAGTGAGTGTTAAGGAATACTACTTTTTCATGACATGGTTAGCCCTTTTTAAATTTATTGGTTGAATTATTATCGAGGATTATTTGCTACACGCTTCTAAAAATATGTTTTTTTTCTCAAAAACTTTCCTGTACTATTTATTTAGGTCACTTATTCTAAGCTATTAAGGGGCGAATGGTAGAAGCAGATTCACATCGTTAGCCATTAGGGGCCGAACGGTAGAATTGAACATTAAAATATGAGGTATGCTACAGTACTTTACCATAGCTACCCTAAAATAATGTTGGTTTGTTATGTTTTGGTTTACTGTAGACTATTGTAGCGGTTGATCTAGTGCTCCCATGTTTGATCCAACGGCTGGAAATAGGCAAATAGTTAATGGCATGGAGCATTGTAGCTCTCTGCCTTTGGTGTTGGAATGACGAGGATATGATCGCTATTCTATATGATTCTTGTAGAATTTAAAAGGCCCATTTAAATCACAGGAATGAAAAAACAGAGGAATAGAAAAAACATAGGATTCTGATAGGAATATAAGTGTAAAACAGAGGATTGCAAAACACAGGAAAAACATAGGAATAACCGTTTGATTGGACCACAGGAAAAACACAGGATTTTGAGGTGAGATAAAGACTCAAAGGATTTTTTCCATGAGGTTTTACCTCTTGTTAAATTTCCTCTAAAACTTGTATGGGAAAAGGCATTCCATAGGAATTTCATAGGATTCCATAGGATTCATTCCTTTGATTCAAAGGGCTTTGTAGGAAAAATTCCTATAGGAATGAAATGCTCTAAAATTTCTATGAATTTACTTTGAATCAAAGGGGCCTAAACCCCTTATTTTTAGTTTTCTTTAAAGAATTGGATTTGCAAATAACTCAAAGCCTCATTGGTTGCCCTAATAAGCCAAAAACCAAAGCTAAAATTTAAAAATTTAAACTTAATTTTGGAGTTAATTTTAAGATATTTTCAACGTAGTTTTGTTTTCAGCATTGGCTTTTAAGTCGCTAAAAGAACACATATATCAAATCCTACCTGTAAACAAACTTTTATTGACTTTTATTCAATAATAAGCTATTAAACAACTTATTAGAAAATATGGGCAACCAATAAGGGCCCCCATCGAAATATTGGACTAGCAAACTTTATTTGGAATCATTTTTCCCTCATTTTTTTAGATTTCAAACATATGAGCTCAAACCTCTTTGTGTTTATTTCCTTAGAAAAGTAGAAGGCACTTTATCTCTCCTCTTAACTTTATTCTAATAATATTTTCCCCTAAAATTTATTCAATTTCTTGTGGAATATTCAAACATATGTTTAATTTCAATGCGATTTCAATACCTACAAGATTGTGTATATCATGACGTCCAATTTATGATTTTTTTTTCTCGTTCTTATTTTTTTTCTCAATTCATGTGTTCCAAAGGAGTCTAAAAGAGGTCTTATTCGTAAGATCTTCCCGTCTATTACACAGCCCAAGATTAGGAAATTAAGGGAGATGTGTATGTTAGAATCAAGTTTATCGAAATAATGACTCTTCCTCCATTCATAAGAAATGGACCCTGAATCCCTGATGTGTACCGATATATCATCAGATATTTGTCATTTTCACGGAACGATAAAGCCTCTATTCACGATCAACGAGCATCCAGTGACGCTATTTTCATTGGCAACATAATGGTCCCATCGGAATCTTGGGAGGCTTGTCAGGAGCTGGACAGCAAAGGAATAACTTCTCTTTCAGAGATAGACAGTTGGGACCAGACCAGACATCAAAGAACGAACCATTGATGGCTCCATGCCACTTCAATCGACAACTTTCATCAGTTTAGGCATCTGCTGTTCTATCAACTTATGTTGTACCAGTAGTCTCGTTGCTGTAGCAAAAATGGTGGTAGCCATCGACAGCATAGCAGAACAGATAACGAACCAGCTGAATATTGCTACAAGATGCTTTCATCTCAAGCATGTAATTGGGGTTCAATCATAGAGAACACAATTTTATCAACAGGTTAGTGCCTTCAAAGGCCACCAACATTGCTCCCAGATTCAGAACAGCCTCATGCATATACAGCGTCACAAATAAACGGGTCCATCAAATAGCTGATAGACCCACATAAAAGGTTACAAGTCTAGCAAACCTGGCAATTTATGTTACATATGCTCTGCACCAAGGGAGATGCTATGTCAAGACACTAGGCTATATTACATTGTCGAAGTTATTGTGCACAAATACGACTGCAGCGCAGGCATTTTCGAAGAGGTTCCATGTTGATGCAACCCATGACAATTAGAATGATGGGGGCCATGCCAATAAGATTAGACCCCATAAGTATAGCTGGAGCTGTTAGAACTTGAAGGCCAAATATGCCGTTGATAAAATATGGTTACCCTTCTTCAAGCTCCATCATTTGAGCTCCAATAGAAGTCACTTCTTTCAGTTGAGTAACCGTATGGGAGATGAGGCCCATAAACAACATTGCCATTCAAATACGTCATCTGGTCCGGTTGTGACACTGCCTGATAAGCATTTGGAATACTGCCTTGAACTGTAGTGTTCTGAACTAAGTAGATGTTGCTATTGATATCATTTGGGTTAGCCTTTGTCCTGCTGCGGGCAGACCGTTTGTTTTCGACAGGGCTATCTGCACTCAGCCTAACCATTTGCTGCTGGATTTCATTCAGTGGGTTACAAGCTAATTTTGATTTAGCAGTTTTCTTTGCATCAGAGGACTTGAATTCAAGCCTGTATAGGGCAAAAGCATCACAATCATTGATCTCATACTCATAGAGGTGCCATTCATAGCTGTTAGATGGTTGTGGATCCATGTAATAGGACCTCTTCAGACCCCCAAAGTCTTTCATCACTTGCTTCCTTGATTCATGCCAACCACGGCCATTGTAATCTGGCAATGACCTTTGCTTTCGATTTCCACTCTCAAATGCTCGTCTTGGCTTGTCAAAGAACAGCCACTCTCTAATAGATTCACCCTCAAAAATGTACAGATCAAAAAGTTCTGCAATGATAGAAATGAACCAGCGATTAATTCAAACACTTGTCCATGCCAATACAATGGGAGGAGTTATGTAGCAATAACTTACCAGGTGCATTCCATGGGGACTTCGCAGTTGCAGCCCCTTCACAGACAGGAATACCAACATGCTTTCCTTGGATTTTTGCACTGAGGGCAGCAAACAGAGGGCCATCTTTTAAATCGATACCTCTTGGACGGATCACAGGCATTGTGCCTGGTGGACCCTCTTCCTTCACGGCCAAATCAGCATGATACATGCTGCAATAATCTTGCCACCTTTCTGATCCTTGAGCAGGCCGAGGGCAGTCCCAGAGAGCGCATTTGGGCCTCAGGAATGCAGCAGGTACTGGAGACATTGTATTGAGCAAGTCTGACATGTGGAGGAAAACATCTCCAGCATTTTGTCCACAGTTACTCGTATCAAGATATGCATTAGGGGGTAACTCTTGTGGCAAATTGAACTGTGGATATTCCAGCTGACCAGTACTTTCCAGATTATTGAGAACATCTGAATTGTATCCAGGAAGATACATCTTGTAATTATCATCATAAAGGAAATCCTCAACAGTAAGTTCCTGGTTAACATAATACATCTGCAAGGACAAGGTGAAATCTTGTTAAAATTAGCTCTCCTCTGTCAAACTTTAAAGTCAAGATTTAAGAAATGTGGCAGAAAGGCAAAATCGCAAGTAACATGATGATATGTGTTCTTGCCTATTGCATGCACGTCGAATACATGAAGACAATCCATTGTAGCAAAAGGAAAAAAAAAACATCATTAGGAGGATCACATGACAATTACAATGCCAAAGAGGTCATAAGAGCTCAGAAATAGGCAAAAGAAAAGTTCCGGGCAATGTCTCAACCTAAAATCTAAAATGCAATACTGATAAAAGAATTATCTATCATCAGAAAGAGCAGATACATAAGTCCTTTGTTTTATTCTCTGAATACACTAGAAATAAGATTTATTGACCACATATTGAGTGCACAAAAATTGCATTAGCAAAGGAAAGATTCAGATCACAACTACAAGAAAGCAATCACAGATAATTTCTTAGTTCAATTCCAATACAAGAACAATCCTTGTACCAATCAAGAGGAACAGAAACAGAAGCTTTTTGTTCTTCTCCAAGTGTCCCACACAATTAAACACACTATAGCTTCGCTTAATTAACCCAATACGCAAATCCCAGTTACAATAAGCAATATAACGAACATCAGATTTCTTAACTACACGATCCAAGTTTACCGTTGTAAGATAATTTTGGAAGATCCAGCTAGTCACTTATAACCAGCATCCAATGAGCAGCAAACGTTTACTTTGAAGTTTGAGCCGTCAAAACAACGATATCCTTGAATTTAAATTTCAAACAAACATCGAAGATTCAGCCATTTGGTAGTTGTAAATGGAATGCGCTGGAAACCAAATCTCCAGCACAATGATCTACAGCTAAGTGCATCACTGGCTCACATTCTTCAAATTCACAATTAACAAGTTCTCATCTACAGTTTAATTTCAAGGGCTGGGCATGCATGTTGACTAATGCTTGGCTGGGCCAGCCACAAAAACCTGTTTGGTCCCGTCCCAACCACAACCATGACAAGTCCCATGCTCATGTTCTTTCTCAACCTCGCAGACCTCCAGGAGCTCTCTCCACCCATGTAACTCCTTCACCCAATCAGCATTACTAGAAATCATCAACTTTGAGATGATAAAGCATACATTGCTTAAAATTGTCCAAGACGCATGCCAAGGCTATAGAGTGTGCATCTGTACGACCAGGCACATTGAGCTTCTGGCCTTCCCTTCCACATTGACCCCCTTATTCTAAGATGGCAGAAACCCACCTGTTTAACTGAAATTTCAGTTTTACTGGCTTGATCAATGTCTTGCCAGTTTTGGTTACACCTTTTGTTGGTATTAAATTTATGCACTCGGTCCCTTATCCCTCACAAAATACCCTAATTCTAGCAAATCAATATGCAAACCCTCAATTCAGAACACAATCATCCCAAAATCACCATACACGTAAGTTTAGAGATAAAATCACCCGCCACAAGTGTAATAAAGTTCCAGCAGAATGAATACCTGGATTATGAAAGATGGGATAAAGTTGTTCAACAATTGCAGCAGCAAACTTAACAGCGGGGAAAGAAAGGTAAACAAAACATTACTAACTTGGGAGTGGCAAATTGCAGCAATGTCAAAAACCCATGTCATATGTATCCCAAAGAGCAGAAGAACGTTAACAACAATGCTTTGGACACACTAGCTGTGCATCTATATGTTGCTATATTGGAGCATAATAACCTACTGATAGCAATAAACGCCACATCAACAAGCTATAGGAGCCCCCCCCCCCCCAAAAAAAAAGATGCTGGCTGAAACAAGGCCATAAGTAGCCCATGCCTCAAAGAAGTGAATTGAATGGTACAGCGCATATATAACGTTCAGTTTCTACCTTATGTCACACATATAATAAGCTTAATTTTATCTAAAAATAGTCAATACACCTAGATCAAAGCGCCGTCCATTTGAAATCTCCATTACAATGCGAAACCAAAGCTTTCCTGTTGTGGTTACGGTGAGGCCTATTGCATTACCAACAGAGGGCAAGCACAAGTGCACATGAAGTTTGTCTACACAAGAAAAGCAGAAACTCCCACTAAATGATTTAACGGGTCTGTTTTTGCAGATCACATTATATCCAACTAAACGCACACAACAAGGACTTCATTGAACATCTCTACAAACACAACAAAGTAGACAAATATAATTGATAAACCAGAAAAGCACACCACAGGCACAAAATCACACCGAACCGAAAAGCCAAGCCGCTCACATCTCTGAAGAAACACTCACGTTTCCAAGGATCCACATCCACCCTACTAATAGGGTGCCATTGTACCATAGTTCGCATAAAGATTGGAGCTTCCGTTTGACAGACTAGTAATAAAAAGTTAAAAAATCTTATACCTGATCATGGAACACCGCGGCAGCGGCAGGTGCCAGCATCCCTCCACCACTCGCCAGAACTCCCTGACCTGGCGACTGCGGCTGCTGCGGCACCGTCAGATCAGCCGGGGAGGCCACCGCTTCCTCCGGTGGCTCCGGCTTCATGTCCTGGCCGCCCTGCGCCTGCGGGTGGCCGTGGGCCTGGTTAGCCGATGGCGGGTGCTGCTGCTGCTGCTCGACGAGCTTGCTGGTGGCGTCGTCCTCCTCCTCCTCGGCCGCCGCCAGCTGCAGCAGCCGCAGCGTCTCCGACGGCGGATCCGACAGCTCCCGGTTGTTCCCCTGCTGCTAACCGAAATCCGCCCCCCCAATGAAAGCGTGAGCCGAGGAGAAGCCTAGAAATGGAGGACGGTGGGGGGTGGGGAGGGGCGTGATGCGCTTGCCTGGAGGGAGGAGGCCGGGGAGGAGGAGACGCTGAGCTCGGCGCGCCACTCGCGGAGCATCTGGTGGAGCTGCGCCTCGAGAACGGCGGCGTCGGTGGAGCGGGCCTCCTTGCGCGCGGACTGGAGCCCGGAGAACATCTCCTGGAGGTCGTCGACGCGGGTCTTGGCGCGCGCCCTGAACTGCTGGTGCCGCGCCGCCCCCGCCGACGACCTCCCCGCCGCCGGGCCCCTCCCCATCCCCTCCTCCTCCTCACCCGCGCGCGCCGGTTCGCGAGTTCGCGGCGAGGGAGATGCTCTTCGTTGATCTCCTCCTCCTCTTCGACGGGGAGAGGAGAGGAGAGGAGATGGGCGTGTGATGTCGTGTTGCTGGTTCGGCTCTTCCGCTTTTGGTCCGCGGCCGCTGCCACTTTGTTGGGTGGGGGTGGGAGAGTGGGCTGCTGCTGCTGGGCCCGCCTCGCCTCGGCTCGCGACGGCGGCGGCAAAAAAGAAGGGGAGGGAGTAGGCGACGCGCGCGCGCGCGCCGCGGATGGATTAGGCTAGGGACGAGTACACGACAGGGGAGGGAGGGAGGGAGGAATCCACGAGTCGTGAAAAGCCGAAAGAGCCGTCCCGGCAACGGCCACGGCACAACACAGCTCGGGACGGCTTCTTTTTGTTCGTGCAGTCTTGAAAAGAAGAAACTTCTGTTTGTGCCTATCCTACTATACTCACTGCCGCTCTCTCCCGGTTTGTTTGTGTTTATGCTTTGCTTCGAAGTCTCGAATAAAGTCGTCATCTGATTTCGGTCTTCCTTTGGAAAGATCGTCTTGTAGTTGTAGTCGTATTTTAGGGTGCGGGTATACGACTATACGCGGTCTCTATGAGTGGAGCGTTTGGATATTGCGATCGGAAAAAGGACATGCATGGTATCTGGATTCTGGCCATAGATAAATCTTTTGAGATACAAGTGCATGTAAGTGTCTCGTGATATCCAAAGGAAGATCAGATTTCATGAAAAAATAAAGGTCGGATGAATTATCCAGTCCAGCCAAGGTTCTAACTTTTTTTGTAAAAAGCTGGAGTTTCATTCGTCCATCCTCCTTTACATACTATCTCACATAGTGCAAGACCCACTAGGATGCAAGTAAAATGAACAAGTATGTTTTTCTCCCATTTATCACAAATTTAGTTATTTAAAAAAACTACGGTACTTGTTAGAAAATGAACTATCAAATGACGCTTTTATATGTTGCACGCTTGCATCGCAAAAGCCCACTTTGCATGAGTAAAAAAAAAAAGAAAGAAAAACGCACCAAACTCCATATCCATGAAAACCAAAGTTGACCACCCAATCCGCTTTCTCGTTACACCTGTACAAAATGAAAGTCCGCGAGATTAGCCAAACTCCCTATTCGGGGGGACTTATCTTCTTCTTTCTTTTTCAGTCCCCCTACTCTTCATTTTCTCCCTCTTTACCTCTTTCATCTCTCCATCTATCAATGATGATCCAGCTAGTTAGGGGGACTCGAGTCCCCCCAACAACCATGCTGGATTCGCCGCTGCGTTCGGCAGGAGCAGTTGGGAATCCACTCCACTCTTTTTTCACGCGCAAGTTTTTTAAACTGTTAAACGATATGTTTGTTGAAAAATTTTTCCATACAAAAAAATGTTTTAAAAAATCATGTTAATCTATTTTTTTAAAAAAAAATAACTAGTACTTAATTAATCACGTACTAAAAAATCGCTCTGTTTTCCGTATAGAAGAGATTAGTTCCTATCCTTCCTACCGAACACAGCCTTAGTAATAGCCCGAGATTCAACCTGAACCCTAACTCAACGATTGCATGCTCCGATCCATCTCGACTCGACGCCCCAAGCAGCCAAGCTGAGCAAGCACCACCTCCAGTTTTTGCCGATTACGGCAGTTTCCTCGATGAAAGCATGTGTCTACCTCTCACTACCTGAACCTTTTTAACGCTGAAACAAGGGAGTGATACCAAGTGGCTACACGTAAGTAAGGTGTACGCGTGTAATCGGATCAGCGGGTAAGGGCATTCCCAACCCAATAAATAGAATAGTATTCATAGCATTAAATAAATTGCCAACTAGGAAAAAATGATGTGGCAGGTGAATAAATGAAGAAAAAGAGGGAAACCATGTCTTGCATGAGACATGGTTTCTACACAACATCTAAGACATCATGTGAGATAAGTAGCATTAAATTAATGGAATAGTGGTGTTTATATTAGAAGAGTAGTGTCTAGTACTAGTTTCTTAATGATGTAGAGTTTATGGAAAACATGTCTATGTTAAAGGTTGGGACTGCCCTAATAACCTCTCACGCCACGTCCGATCGACGGCCCAGAATCTCTCGTGCCCTCCTCCTGTGGCTGGGAACCGGACACATCGCCCCCACCTCGCCCGCTCGTCGCTCCGTCGCCGCGAGGTCGCCTCGCACCCCCTCGGGCGGGCCACGTCTGCTCGCTCCAGGACACGCTGAACCCCACTCCTTCTGTCCCCACATGTCATAGACTAAGCCGTCCATGTACATAGCCCACATCCCCTTCTCCTCCCCCGTCTCCTTCTCCGGTCGGTTTCCCAACCCGAGAGGGCCTCGCCGCCATTGCCGCCTCGCTCCTCGTCTCGCGGGAACGCCGCCGCCGCCGCCGCCGCCATTAGGGCTTAGGGCTCAGGAGGCTCGCGGCGATGTGGTGGAGGGCCGCGAGGGCTCGCCGGCGGATCGCCGGGGCGCGGGCGGCGTCCACGTCGGCGGCGGCGGCGGGGGAGAAGAGCTGCCGCGCCGTGGTGGTGCCTCGGTTCGGAGGGCCGGAGGTGCTGGAGGTGAGGCAGGGGGTGCCGGTGCCCGATCTGAAGCCGGGGGATGTGCTCGTGCGCGCGCGGGCCGTCTCCATCAACCCTCTGGACCTGCGAGTGAGCGCTCTGCTCTGGACTCCCTCTCCTTGGGAACCGTCTGGTGAAATGATAACTTTTTTTATTATTATTTTCGATATGTCGGGTAGAAAAATTGGCACGGGTGCACGTTTTGGGTCAATCTTTGCACTGTAGGTAGTAGTCACTGATCAGTTGGTGGTATCTGCTAATGCAACAGAGTGGTGGATTCTTGTTTAATGCTATATGAACTAGGAAGGGAAGGAGTGCAATCAGCAGTAGGTTTATAGTTTGTGATCCCCAGATGAGAAATGTTGTGTTCTCATTTTCTTTTAGGAACCAAAAGGCCAGGTGACCCCAGTCCCAATTTTCATGGAATTAGATACCAAATAGGTCTACAACAGCTTTGAGTTAAGTTATACTCTGTTTGAAGCCTGGAATTAAGCAAAATGCAGTTGACATGAACAATCGGATATGCATATATTCTTGTGCTTTCCAAATTATGAAATGGAATATATTGTTCTTTTGGTGAAATTTAATTCATCTCATAAAAAAATGTCTCTCCTCAGATGCGGTCTGGTTATGGGCGTTCAATATTTGAGCCAGTCCTACCTCTGATCATTGGCCGGGATATAAGTGGTGAAGTTGCAGCTACAGGGACTTCTGTGTCGTCCTTTACTATTGGGCAAGAAGTGTTTGGTGCTTTGCATCCAACAGCCATAAGAGGGACATACACCGATTATGCAATTCTTTCACAGGATGAGCTTACTTCCAAACCATCTACACTCAGTCATGTGGTATGAATTCATCAGATAACTCTTCTCGTCGTAACATTGATATTTCAAAATATCATTTCAGGATCACGTCAATTTCTTTCACCATTAATCTTCACATAGTATGAACTGGACAGACCTGGTCCTTTCCCTGGATGTATGCAATATGTTTATTCCATTTCAGGAATGTACAACAGTGCATCATATTTTTGTATTTAACAGGCATTGTGGCTAATGGATGATGATAGGAACTCCTTTGTGTAGATTTAAACAAAAACCCATCCTTTGAAAGCTTTTTAATGAAAGTTCTAAAAGGTTTTAGTTCATGTTTATTGTTTATTGATGGGGAGAACAATTTCTATCTTCTTAAGTAGATAGCTCAGGACTTGGTTTCCAATGTTACCTGTATGTGAAAAAAATACCATACTGCAAGCTAATCGAATCAAGTTTTGTTATATTGCAGGAGGCTAGCGCTATACCATTTGCTGCTTTGACTGCATGGCGTGCTTTACATGGTACGGCTCGAATTTCTGAAGGGTATGTCTGGTTATACGCCACTGTTTGTGAAACAGACAACAAGTTCTTTTTGTTGCCATTGTTGCTGTTTCCTATAACTTGCATCTACCTTTACTTTTAATTTATTGGATTGTTAGCATGGTAGGTAAGTATGTAATTAGTGACTTTTAAATGGGTTTGGTATTAAAAAGTGTGCTCCTCGTAGTTTGCTTGTGCGGCAGACAGCTAGAAGCATACTACTACAAAAGTTACTTCATCTCCTTTCATAAAGTTTCAGATTTTTTTCACATATATCTAGGTACATATGTAAATTCTTAATTTTAATGGTGATCTGCACTACACTTCCCTCTCTTCGGGTTCTATTATATAAATATAAATTATGCAGGGAAGTTGTAATCTCTTGTAGTCAATCCGAAAACCAACCCTATTATTTAGGTCCAATTCACAGCACAAGCTTTTCGTTATCAGTAAAATGTTATTTCATGTCTGGTTGAGTGGTTACATATTGAAGTTATGCTCACCTTTCCTTTTTGAACTGAATGCAATTAATTTTCGTTTTAGACAAAGAGTACTTGTGATTGGTGGAGGTGGGGCTGTTGGGCTAGCTGCTGTTCAGCTTGCAGTAGCTGCAGGGTGTAGCGTTTCTGCAACCTGTGGAACTAAAAGTATTGAACAAGTGTTGGCCGCTGGTGCTGAAAAAGCTATCGATTACACTGCTGAGGTAAACGCTTTCAGAAGTCCAAACTCTTGTACTTATATTTTCTTTACGATGATGATGATATAGTGAATTCTTTTGCCCTTGCACTATTTTCGGTATCAACGCAGGCAAACCATATCCTTAATATGTCTAGCTATCTATTCCATCTGTTTCATCATATTATAAATTGCTTTGACTTTTTTCTAGTCAAACATTTTTTAAGTTTGATCAAATTTATAGAAAAAGCTATCAATATCTAAAATGCCAAATTAGTTTAGTTAAATCTAATATTGAATATATTTTGATAATATGTTTGTTTCGTGTTGAAAATGCTACTACTATATTTTTCTATAAACTTGGTCAAACTTAAATAATTTTGGCTAGAAAAAAAGTCATAGCGACTTATAATATGAAATGGAGGGAGTATATATTTATTTGTCTTTGCTAAGATAGGATTGTTACACAGCAGGAATGGATATTTAATGGTACCATGGTGCCTTAGATGTTGTTTAGTCGTTGTGGTTCGTTGTTCTGTTACCACATTATCTGATAAACTCATGCTTACATGCAGACATATGAACTCTGAATCGCTTATTCATCCACTTTGCACTGTGAAGCTATGCACAGAACTGATAGCAGCTAGCAGTTTTTCATCTTCTTAGCTGTGGAATCTTTCATTTCTCCTACAAGACTACACATATGCAATGTTACACTTGACATATCATTTTTCTTAGGTCTAATGTGACTATTTTCTTTTCTTCTTGCATCAATACAAAACATAGTACTTTATACTTATAGATTATCAGGGAATGATATTAGTACTACTGCACAGCAGAAGAGTGTTTGAACCGGTTTTCAACATCATTCAAAACTTGCAACTCATTGCCGCTTGTGGCTGGTGGTGTGACTGCAGCATCAGTGGCCAACACGATACAGTTTAGACGGGTTGGGAGAAACCTGGAACGAACAGTCCTATTGCTCAGTAGTATTATATGTGGCTTTGAGCTATTGTCTAATTCTTTGTGCCTGGTAAATATAGGAGAGGATACTGAAGTTTTCCGTTATTCTCCATGAGTGAGAAAACATTAGTGAATTTTGTGTCAGGGCATATAGATCATTTCTGCGATTGGATAAAATTGTTAGCTCACTAATTGTCCTGTAGATTGTTTTTTTTTTTCTCTTTAAGAAATTTCCCTAGATGAGTACCATTGTCTCCATAATGTTCATATTTTATGGTTTACCTTACAGGATACTGAATCAGCAGTTAAAGGAAAGTTCGATGCCGTGTTGGATACCATAGGAGTACCTGAAACTGAGAGAATTGGCATTAATGTTCTGAGGAGAGGCGGACACTATATGACCCTTCAGGTCGTCAACCTGCCCCTTTTAATTTTTTCTGTGTTTCTGCTTTGATTGTCATTTGTTCATTATTGTATCATCCTTCTTTGTGATAGGGAGAGGCGGCTGCCCTAGCAGATAGATATGGATTAGCTGTGGGACTTCCTGCTGCTACTGCTGTTTTACTAAAGAAACAAATGCAGTACCGTTATTCTCATGGAATAGGTTTGTATCTATTCATATAATCTTTTCTTTTTGTTGGGTAATTTATTGTGTCTTGAGGGGATATATTTTGCTTTAATTATAGTAGCTGGTCATAGACTAATAGACTATCTACGTTTCCACTTTAAAACTTTGGCTGTGTTTACCCGGCAAAAAACTTTGGCTGTGTTTAGTTCACTGTCCAAATTTTTTTTGACGTATACGGGCACACATTTGAAGTATTAAACGTAGACTAATAACAAAACAAATTACATATTCCGCCTGTAAACTGCGAGACGAATCTATTAAGCCTAATTAATCCGTCATTAGCAAATGTTTACTGTAGCATCACATTGTCAAATCATGGCGTAATTAGGCTCAAAAGATTCGTCTCGCAATTTACATGCAAACTGTGCAATTGGTTTTTTTTCCGTCCACATTTAATGTTCTATGCATGTGTCCAAACATTCGATGTGACGTTTTTGGCAAAAAAAAAAAAATCTAAACACGGCCTTTATTTATGTGGACTTGCACCAACTAGAACTTGGTCAGTATCTGACTAACTGGCGAAGAGCAGGGCTTGCTTTTGCCAAAATCCAACAAGCATGGCCTGGTCTCTCAGATAGCTTTTTAGATCAATACGCAAATCTATGCAACCTTACTCGATTTCGCTCATAAACATCCCAACCATTTCCCAGAACTGCAGAAAACAACTTAATAACTACTATCAGTAGCTTTGAAAATAACCCTCAAGAGAAAAACTATACATGTACAGTGAATATAAAATATTTTCATTTTTATTTAGTGATGCATTGAATTCTTGACTGCATACATGCGAGTTGAGGCTGATAGCAGTGGGCCGCCTGCTCTTTAAAGTTTAGATCCAGCACTTAAGTGATTAATAATGACTAAGTTGGTCACCATTGGTGTCGATTGCTTGTGAACTGCTTGTCAGTGTTTGGTTAACGACTTAATTCTACAAGGGTTCAATTTGTTTGTTTCTTAATAGATATGATCAGGATATGTGTGTCTATCATGCGATCTTATGATATACAATTGTATTCATGTCTACCTTTGTATTTAATTTAGGGATGAATTGCTTTACAGAAGTTATCTATATGACCTATTCCATTGTTTATACAAGACGTTCTCATGTTTCTTACAAATTTAATATCAGATTATTGGTGGACATACATGAGAGCTGACTCTGAAGGACTTCATGAGATACAGAGGCTGTCTGGAGCTGGGAAATTGCAGATACCGGTGGAGAAGACATTTCCCATCAGCAAAGTAAGAGAAGCTCACGAGGCCAAGGAGAAAAGGCTGGTGCCTGGCAAGGTGGTTTTAGAATTTGACTAGTTTTAGTAAGATTCTTCTCTTGTAGGAACAGAAGAACCGCACCTGTCTGTAAATCGTAAGAACTTTCTCCTTTTTCTTTACCTCTATTTTGGAAATATGTATCGGTTTGTTGGCCTGACAAAATTTGGTCGTCCTGTCAAGATGCATTTGTCATACATGGAAATGCAGTAAGCAATAACGTGAGGCCCGAAAGAAATTTTCATTTCATCTTTTACTCTGGCACATATATCTCTGCTGAGAGTTCTTTCCCTCCTAGGAGTACATGAAAGGTGAAAAGCATGATTCGATCCCGGTAGCGCTAGTGCACTAAAGAAATTGGGAATGATAATTTAGCCCTAATTACTTAAGTTAGATTTATTAACTAATTCAGCAAAAGCCTAAGTCGACAAGGAAAAGTAGTCAAATCACCTATAATACAACACTGAACTCCTGCTGTCCGGGATTTGTTTCCTAGTGTTAAGAAAATATGAAACATCACATAAAGCAGACTTCATTTGCTAGAAAATGCAAATGGTGGTGAAATAACAATGAGGGGATGCAGGCTATTTTGCCTTTTGAGCTATGTTAATGGCAGGTACTTAGTCTTGCACATCAGTAAGCAAAGCAAGAATACTGCAATGTACACTTGACTATAGCATATCCGAAAACAGTATCAAAACTTCGAGCCAGATGGTCACTGATCCGCCCACCAACAGCTTCAGCTCAGAGCAAACACCGACCTCTCACGTATGCTATTCACAAGGTCAGAACTCAGAACGAGCGCAACAAGTAAGAAGTCCAGCCGTTCGCCGAATAACTACAATCGAATCGAGCTACGGGATGGGAGGAAAACAGGGGCAATCAATCTGCGTTAGTCCTTCCGAAATGCAGGGCAGGGGAGACAGCCTATGGGCTTTGGACAGTACCACTGGAGAAGCTAAGCAGCAGCGGCCGTGGGCTGCTGATGCTTTGCCTTTGCTGCTGCTGCCGCTGCCGCCGAAGCTGCCTGCATCGGAGTGGCAGTGGTGGAGCCGCGGGAGTTCGGAAGGGCCCGTCTCTCGTCCTGCTGCCGCTCGATCTCACTGATCCTCTTCTTCATCATCTGCACCTCACTGGCTAGCTCCTCTATCCTCTGCTTTCTCGCCTGCCATTTCAAGAACAGAGACAGTTTAACAATCTCTGCAGAACGCTTGCGTATTGCAAAAATTACAGTAAAAAACTACGCATGATACCATGTTACCTCGATTTCCTGCTTACGGATCTCCTCTTTTCTGGCTTCTGCCCTAGCACTTCTCTGCACCTCGTAGATGATTGCAGTACCAGCGACCTGAAAAATCATGTGACAATTCATGTCAGCTGTAATCTTTTGACATAATCAAGTACTTCTCGAGCATAGGAAGTTAGAGAAAAATAAGAATTCTGGAAGAACCAGTTTTCAGGCTCTTCAATTATAGCATTTCAGAGTAAAATGTTCAGAATTTTCTGGTATTAACAGACAAAAACTCATTTAGAATAACTGAGATCAAAGTACTTGCCGAGAAAACAAATAGTTCACCAAGAAGATCTGCGGCAGCTTGAATTGCCTTCTCCTCATTCAGGGGCCGAATGTGAATGTCAGTTGCACGGCCATAAAGCCGCCTCTGCATGTTTGTAGTGAAACGATGGTTTACCTGAACATAATGTGCCATACACCTTGTCAGTACAGTAGTAAAAAAAATTTTCTGCTCAAACTAAAACAAAGGCATGCATGAGTTAGGATAAGAAGAATTCATCCATTTTACTGTGCTCAGGTCGCCAATAATCTCAGCCTAAAATTCTTTGATGTTCTACAGAAGGATTGAGCAGCAGCATTATCTATTCATGGTTTCAGATTAATCTTATTTGAAAGATACCCATCATCAGTATATGCAGATGTATTCATAGTTTCAGATCAATCTTATTTGGAAGATACCCATCATCAGTATATGCATATGTATTCATAGTTTCTGATCAATCTTATTTGAAATATACCCATCATCAGTATATGCAGAATCCATTTTAAAGGTTAGATTTGTGAAGTAATGTGAATTATTGGTGGTGCTCTGAACAGATAAGGATCATGGCTATTGTTTCCTCAGTGTTGCAGAAGCCATGTATTACTGAATAACAGACGTAAGGAATCATTATAATCTGGCTCAAAGCTTGAAGCTAAACTGTCCTTGCTTATTATGAACATCAAAATCATGAATTACTAGCATGTGATTCTGACATCAAAGAATTGACCTCAGGTAAATGCTGCAGATTATTCCACTTGATATGAACACCAAAATCCATAATAACTAACATGTGTTTCTGACATTTATCCACATCAAATAATTGACCTCAGATAAATGTTGCAGAAACAATCGAGATGAATGTACATTTGTAGGAGATCAAAGCGGAATTATGAGTTATGCAGATCCTTGTAGGACTCAATAAAAAAAAATCCAGAACTCGCTACAAAAACAGAGAGATCCATTACAAAGCACTGTTGTATCATGGCCTGAAAGCTCCATGACAGAATACTGCAACCAAACCAGAACTGTGCATAAACGCAACCGTCCAATGTAAAGATATACCAATGAAACAACCCATTAATTTACCAAAAAGCATCAGAAGTTCAGAACTAGCTCGTCGTACTTTCGTATTTGCATTTCATCATACACATCCCCACACGTCGCTAGTTCCCAACAAAATAAACCCAAGAGTCTCGGAGGAACATCCTCAAATCTCCAAAGTCCAAACCGCCCTTACGGAAAAAAAAAACCGCTCAAGCAGTTCAATCCACCCAGGCGACGCGGCAATCTATGAATCCAAGCATCAACAGGGCGGAGCCGCGGAGAGAGAGAGATGATCAGGGATGAAGACGAGACGTCACCTGGGCGAGGCCGATGATGAAGCCGCGGAACTTGGGGTGGATCCCGGCGTTGTGCTTGAGGCGGGCCGCGATGGGCTTGCTCAGCGTCCGGAACGCGAGCGACCCGAGCTTCACCAATGGCAGCACCATCACTTCTCGCCGCAGCGCCACCCCTCCCTCTCCCTCTCTCTCTCTCTGCTTGCTTCTTCTCCGTGCGCGCTCGCGCTGCGGCGAGGGAGTAGACGTGGCGGTGGGGTTCGTATGATCGGTGGGAGGCGCTCGCGCTGCGGGTTGCGACGACGAGGAGGAGACGCGGCGCGGGTTGGCGAGTTTGTTGCGCTCCGCTCGCCTAGTTGGCTCTTTCTTGGAGAGGAAGGAGAGAGGGAAGCGAGCAGGAGGAGGGGGGGTCGTTCAGTTTCAGGCTTATTGGCCAAGTTGGTGGTCGCGTCTGGTCCTTTTTGTGATAATCTCGCCCTAAATCAGAAAGAGAGAAGATCAAAGATCAAACAACTTCGTAGAAAGTGAGAGGAATCCTGAACTCTACTCGTTGGTTTATTTTAGGACGGAGGAAGTATTTTCTGTATTTTTTTTTGTGTCTTTGTTTGATTTTGTTATCTCAAATTTTGTCAGCGTGGAAACTTCATGTTATCCCATATAACCAGGAAACAGCAGAACAAAGGGCAACATGTAGACCGGAGGGCAAGCAGATGTCCTATACAAAGTTACTGCTGAAATTGTCCAATGATAAGTTGTCAATTCCTGAATCTGGTAAAATATATTGCTAATAATTTACTGTAGAAAGTAAAGCATATAAAAAACCAGACGACTCAGTTTACAACAAGAAGCATGAGTACATGACAATTGACAAATCAGGTTTTGTTTCAGTGAAGTAGCCTGGTACGAGTTACTTGCAGATCAAGTCCATTCCCAGTTAGCCGCCAAAAAGAAATGGAAAAATAGCTAGTCATATATAATCTCAAGTGACATAATATGCCAACCACTATGGAATCTCAAACGAAACCACAAAAAATTCAGTTTGAAAACTTAAGCATCGATACAATTGACTCGAGAAAACATAGACTAATGATGCAGCTGCTAAGATAGAAATCTCGAAATCATGTATTGCCTGTCTAGCTTTTCTGCAAAATTTCCATGCCAAATCAACTAAGGTTTTCATTCCTCTATGTGTGATGCATGGTGAACACACATGCGCCATGTGCCATCAACCTTCTCGAAGACGTTTGTGGCGACTTGCTTCCCCCATGTTCTTCCTTTGGTCTTAACCACTTCCAAGCATGTGACGTAACCAAGGTCACCATGCACATGAACCTCTACATTTTTCAGATCAATGTTTAGTGGGAACTCATAATCTGCGCCACATACCATCTCCCAGCTTTGCATGACCACGTCATAACCTGATATCCGACCCGCAGCAGGATGGATAACATATACATGGTCACCCTTAGCCCATAAAGAGTACATCGCTGCAAGATCGCCATTCTTGAAAGCATTGTAAAACCGTGTGTTTGCTGCAAGGAGGGAAGCTTTGGTATCTTCATGGAGGATGCGCAGATCATCCCTTATCTTTGCAGCCCGGGAATAATCTTCTTCCTGGATGGCTGTCTGTAAATTACGCTGCAGGGTTTCCTCGTCAATTGACAAATCTTCAGTCGTTGGGTAACCATCAGCATCTCCACTTTTAACATGAGCAATTTTGCATCGGCCCAAATTGGATGATGCAACTTGAAGCCCTGCACTGAAGATAACATATTAGACATTCTGAAGAAAACACAGGTTTCCTTTTTATAGTGAAAACTGAAAAAAATCTATGATGCAAATATTATCAATGATCTTTCTTCTAGCCTCGAATTTCAGCAAGTAGCTTCAATACCTGGAGGTTGCAACTTGGGATTTAGAACAACTAACTGAATATGCACTAACAACTGATATTTGATTTGCAAGCTACAAAATTCACTTCTATAGGCCTCACCAAATATCATACGGTCCTTAGCATCTACCTAAGCGCGTATTTGACCAAGCACGTATTACCTGCATAGTTCAATTTTCCTCATCTAAACGTACGACCTCTCCCATCCAGCCAACAAATTACTCCCAAAACTGATGAAATTTGAAAGGGGCATTTGAGAACAGCAATAATCCCCAACAAAATCGAACTTGTGGGGTTACCACTACTGAATCCGCGCGCGTACATCAGGCGTGAGTTCAAGCAATCAACCCCCAAAAATCTGAGATTCAGAGACAAGGAAGGGGGTCTCACATGTTTCTCGGCGCACCGCTCCGCCTCCGGCCGATGCAGATCCGCGTAGTGGCGGGGTTGGCGTAATCGGTGAAGAACCCCGCCTCGCAGAGCCGCGCGGTCGCGGACGGCCGCAACCAGCCGCTCGCAGCCGGCGCCGCAGACATCGCAGGCTTCCGTCAAATACCTTTTCCTCGGCTGCTTATCCTTGATACACTTTTGAGTTTGACTCCCCTCTTCTGGTCTACTAGCACTCTACTACTCCAGTAATTTAATTTTGTGGTTGTTTGGATCTCTAACACTACGGGTTTAAAATTGCCGAACGAAATTTCCGAAGTTGGTCCTATCGGACCGCCCCAGCCGATACCATATTATTTCGGCCGCATTTTTTTTATTTTTTCGTGAATTTGGTTTTTTTTTTAAATTTGATCAAATTGTATTAAAAAATTCATACAATTTTAATATTTCGGCCACCGCAGATACAAATAGCCCAACCGAAAGATTAAACCCTTATGTCCCCCAATGTACTTTTACCCAAAGAAGGTTTACTGGACCGTAAGGCTATGTTATTTTCTTAAACTATAAAAAATGCACATGCGTTGTAACGGGTGAAGACTATTTTAATCTTATTATTGATATAATTTAGTTAATGTGAAATTCACCGTGTTAAATTTGTTTGGATATATACTTTGTTAGAAAATCACGAGCTGTAATTAGGAGTCCAATTATCTCAAGTTAATATACGAGTTTTTTTAAAAAAAGATTTCTCATACGATGATTCAAAATGAAACATCAGTAATAAAAGTTGAACCAAAATAAAATTTACTCAAACTGATTTTGAGCAACTTAAAAGTTTAGGCTAGAAGTAAAATATGATGAAAAAAAACATTTAAATCAACTTGAAGTTTAGGTTTTAAAATTTAAATTTTAACTGCGACTTATACATGCACGATATGTTAGTAAAGAAAAACAACTTAAGTAACTACTTTTTGACTTCTGACTTGATCACTCAGAGCTAATCTACTAGTAACATTTTTTTATCAGCACTTGCATGTTAAGCATTATGGATTTCGGCAGCACCTTCTCCTTGTAAATGCATGCGAAATGCGATTTCACAATGAAGACAAAACCCAACAACTTGAAGGAGGCAAGAATATAGGATTCTTCATAATTTCGTAGTATCCTAAAGTTGTCATGTTTGACTACGGAACCAAAAGCTAATTAATCACTCGGGCCAAACACTGAGCAGCTGAGCAATGGACGCCAGCCGCAACTCCGACCTCGCCGCCGACGAGCTCCTCCGGGCCCAAGCTGAGCTGTGGAACCATATCTTCGCGTACACCAAGTCCATGTCCCTCCGCTGCGCCGTCGAGCTCGGCATCCCTGACGCCGTCCACCGCCGTGGCGGCGCCGTTACGGTTCCCGAGCTCGTCGCGGAGCTCGCGCTGCCGCGCTCCAGGGAGCCCTTCCTGCGCCGCCTCATGCGGCTGCTCGCGCACGGTGGCATCTTCGACGCGGCCGCGGGTGCGGAGGACGCCTACGGGCTCACCGCGGTCTCGCGTCTCCTCGTCTCCGCGCCCGGGGGCGCGGGGCAGGGGCTCTCGCCGTTCGCGCGCGCCATGCTGCACCCCATCATCGTGTCGCCGTCCATCTCTCTGGCCTCGTGGTTCCGCGCCGCCGCCGCCGACGACGACGACGAAGGAGCGGACGCGCCGCGCGTGCCGTTCGCCGCCGTCCACGGCGGGCGCGAACTCTGGGCGGTGGCGAAGGACGACCCGGGGTTCGGCGCGGCGTTCAACGACGCCATGGCGTGCGACGGCCGCTTCGTGATGGACGTGCTCCTGCACGGCCACCACCACGGCGGCGCGCAGCTGTTCCGGGGGATCACTTCGCTGGTGGACGTCGGCGGCGGGTCCGGCGGCGCCGCCAGGGCCAGCGCCGCCGCGTTCCCTCACGTCAGGTGCACCGTCCTCGAACTACCGCAAGTCGTCGCGACCGTCCCACCAGGCGACGGAGGCGTCGAGTTCGTCGCCGGGGACATGTTCGACCACGTCCCCAAGGCCGACGCCGTCCTCCTCAAGGTCACACCATCACAGGCGCCTTCTCCTATAATCCTCGCAATTGCTTGCCTATATTCCAATAAACCAAAAACGATTTATCAGAAAATAGAAATTAATTAATATGTAAAACTTCTTATATATTTGTTCCTATCAACTTAAAAGCCAACTATAAAAAATACGTTAAAATATCTTAAAATCAAATTAAAAATTTAATTTTAGCTTTTACTTTGATTTATTAGGCCAACTGATGAGACTCTAAGCATGACATCTATTTTTGCAGTGGATCCTGCATGGGTGGGGGGACGAGGAGTGCGTGCGGATACTGCGGCGGTGCAGGGAGGCGGTGCCGGCGAGGGAGGACGGCAGGAGGGTGATCGTGATGGACCTGGTGGTGGGATCGTCGTCGAGCTTGGGAGATGGCGCGAGGGACACGGAGACGCAGCTGCTGTGGGACGTGATGATGATGGGGGTGGTGGGGAGCCCCGAGCGCGACGAGCGGGAGTTTTGCAAGATATTCCATGACGCGGGCTTCAGCGGCTACAAGATCCTGCACGTCCTGGGCATCCGGTCCGTCATCGAGGTTTACCCATGATTCCCTCTCTATTATGGATCTTTGTACCGGGTACATCACAACGGTGAGATAGGTAAACGAAAAATCCATATGGAATGCATCTGATGTAAAAACACAAAAAAGTGCATAATAAACATACAAAACATAGTGATTTGTATACCGATACAGAATCTAATGTTGATGAGCAAACCATACATAGCACTTCTGAAATAGGCTCATAACTAGGTCTAGATCAGTAGCTAAACCATGATTCCCTCTCTATTATGGATCATGTGCCGGGTATCATCACAATGGAGGAAAAGGTAAACGAAATCCATATGGAAACCATCTGATGTTAGAACACAAAAGAAGTGCATAATCGCTTATATACAAACCTGCCGAGATTTGCGGCTCCTGGAGATTTTTGAGCTGGCGTGGCCACCTGCGCGTGCTGACGCGTCAGCGAGGCGCTGGATGGCGGGTGGTTTTCGTGAGCTCTCGCACGTCCGTGTCGTCGTTGGTGATTTTGCAAAAACACCCTTCATTTACTTGATAATTTGTTATAGATCCCTGGTCCTTAGTTCTAACGTTGTGCGCTCTTACTTAGAGGACCTCTTAAGAAAACAATATTCTATATGAAGAAGCGAAAAAACGGAAAATTGAACCGCGCTCTGAAAACTAGAAGTTTAGGGGTTGTTTTTGCAACCCTCACCCCTTTCCCCAAACCCTAGCCGCCACCATTCCTCTGCCTCCTCTCCTCTCGCTCCGCTCTCTCTCCTGCCCAAGCGACGGCCGCCGCCGCGTGCCGTCCCCTCATCCTCTTCTTCCCGCAGTTGGCGACCTCCCCCGCGCACTCCCTACTGCGAGCTGTTGCTGTCGCCGCGCCGTCGTCCTGCCATCGCCATCCTCTCGCTCCCGCACCGCATCCGCCAACGAGGAGGCCGGGACTGTCGGATCCGGTGACTCCGGCCTCCTCGCCGGCAGATCCGGCCGCCCTGAAGCGAGGGGAAGCCAGGAGCCGCCTTCTACTCTTCTACCTCTATGCCCGGCACTGCCCCTCTCTCCCTCTCCCTCTCCCTCTCCATCCTGTTCATTTCCGGATCAACGGATGCCTGCGATTAGGCGGCCACGGACGTGCGTGTGGGACGTCGAGGAGACGGGGAATCACTGGATCCAGGAGGTCGGTGAACCGATTTGGAGAGGGAGCTGCATGATCTGTGGCATTGGTGTCCCGTTTCGGACAGCGGCGGTCTCCAGTACGGCGGGTGCTGCTGGATCTGCCGCATGGAGGGCTCCTCGTCAGCTCCATCCTACCTCTTCTTCTGCCTTTTTGGAAGGAGGTGAGGAGAGGAAAGTTTCCTCTGGAATTTCATACTGCATGTTATATCTTTGCCAAGTTGGTGGTCTTAGTGTGATACTGTGATTAATTTGGACCGATGAAGATATGTGTATTGAATTTTTCTTTGCAAGTTTAAATCAGTGTAACACTATGAATGTGAGCGTGTGAATGCAGCTTGTAGTGAAGCTTTGTTGAGCTTACGCAAAGCAGAGAAGGGCATCGGCGCGGGGTTCCTAGAGGATGCTGCCACCTCCATCCCCTTGCGTCACGGCCGTGCTGCCCTACTGGTCCTCTGGCACAGCATCTAAGGTCATCTGCCACCACAACCAGGTTGCATCTCCACCGAATGTGACCCCACTTTGATGGCGGCGAGCTTTGCTTTGGTAGTGTTGCTGTCAATTTGGCTGTGCATTTCTTTAAGGGGTTCATCTACGATCCATTGTAGCATGCAGATGACTTTAAATTACAAATGAGTTAATGCATAAGATTCTTTGTTTCCAAGTATAAGAAATTGATATATCTTTTGTTGAAGTATGAGTATGCTGATTTGTTCCAGCAAAATATAGCAATGTACAATATTTTTTGTGGATAATAATTTGATAATGCTCCATCCAAATGTAGTCATGCATCTTCATCAAAATAGATTGTGGCTTTGCATTTTTAGTTTGTTCATTACTAATTATGCCCCTTGAAGGTAGTGACTTCTATAAAATTAATTTATAACGAGCATGTTTGTAACTTGACATTAGATGACCTTTTACATGCAGAATCTGAGACTAAACGTATACACTAATCACACTAATCACTACTACTGCTGCTATATATTACTGTTGTACCAAAAATATACAAGTGCATTTGATAAAGGTTATACAGGTCTGGATCAGAACTGTATATTACTGTTGCACCAAAAATAAATTAATGAACTGTAATTTTCTCTGTATTATTTTTGGATGTGATTACTAAAGCTCGCTATGTGTCTGCTCTTTTTGCACTATAGATGTTATGTGGGGCATTCAGTATCAGCGCCGGAACCGACGCCAACAGCCAGAGCAGGCGCCGTGATGTTGGATCAAGTTGTTAGGATTAGTTTCAGTGATTAAGTTTGTTAGGAAGATTAAGTTGTTAGTTCCTGGTTAGTAGCTGTTTGGTTTTCCATTGTAAGCCTATATAGGCCATTCGGTTTAAGTGATTAATCAAGAAAGAAGTTAATCCCAGTTCCTGTTAGTTTCCACCACGGCTCCGGGGAGGTGAGGCGTGCGTCCTCGCCCTCCCGTCGAGCACAGCTACGCGCTATGCCACTTAGGGCCGGCGCCTAACAATAGAAAATCAATTTATCTCAATTTGTTGCACAATCCATCTATAGCTTCAATTCTATTCTAAGCTATCTAATCTTCCCAACGCCAATCAGCTGCTGCATTACAATGGATTACATTATTGCTTTGCGAATAATATGAGAAGAACCAAAGAAAACATGATGGATTGGTGCAAGATCAAAGGACTGGCATAGCTGTCCACTTCTCTTATTCTTGTAGGCTTTAGCTGGTGCAATGGTTTCAGTAGCAAAACTAGGCTATGATAGGCTGATGCCTGCCTTAACACGCCAAGACTCCAGGTGCACACAACATAGTAGATCAGAACAAAGGATGCCTGCATTGGTGCCATCCTCCAGGAGGAGAAATGGCACCACTGGCAACCAGTTTGGCTGATCGTTGTTCGTTGCCTACCTTGAGTTCACCGTTTAAATTATATTTGACATGTTCTTTACGGAAGTGAAAATTTAGTTGATTATCTGTTTACCAAATAGGCATATATTAGTTCTATAATTTGGTTGTTTGTGAACAAGAATTCTGTTGCAAGTTATAGCTGAAGATTGGTAACTCTATAAAAAAATTAATTATCATGACATAATAGACATTAACTCTGAACATATTAAATTATCATGACATCCCCACGATGTGCAACAGAATTTAACTTGATATAAAAAAAATGATGTTACATTGTTTTCTAATTTGCATTCAGTAATGCCTATGATATTTTACAAATGTAACTGACTTGTCCTTCAGATGCTTCTCATGTTCTACATTGGATGCATCCAGTTTTTATTGCAGCTCACTTTGAATCTTCTACCTAATGCTTCTAATATTTATGTCCTTTTTTATTTAATATGTGATGATTAGGTAATGCTTAGACTAGCATATAAAAGATTGGCTTGATTAGGGTTCTAAAATTGAAGTTTTCTTTGAAACGACTAATGTTATTATTTGCTCTTGCCATAGAAGTGGTTTTTCAGGACTATTGATAATATAACTATTGGTTTGGGATGATAAAGCTTCAGTTTAGGACGATGAGCGCTGCCCTGTAGGTTAAAATCCCATTTTAACTAAGTTATGTATTATTTGACTAACTTGCACTTTCACCCTCTTCCTTTAAACATACTGATAGTATCTGCTCATAAAATTATTGTGCTTGCTATGATTTAGGTATTAAAATCACATACCTTTTATAATCTATGTAAAAGATGTACAACCAGAAACCAATAGGTTAACTTGACAGATTGACCTTTACAATCCTACAATACCATCCATTCCAACTTTCTTTGCTGAATAAATATGCTGCTGTGTGCATTATTTGGTTCACATACCTGATTATTAGAAAATTACTGAAAACAGTTTGGATTGTTTACCTGTTTGTTTTTTTAGTATGGATAAATCATTACTTTGCTTTTGGTTGGTACCTTTTTGTGCCCCCCCTGCTATTTGAGATGTTTAATTAATTTCTTCACATTCGGCTAAATTTGTACCTGCTGGTGGTCCTTCAGTTAATTCATTCACAGATTACTTGACATCGGCAATTGCTTCTTTGATTCTTACAATCTGAATATATACCAAAAAAACAACTATGTTAACTTGCTTTTTTCACATTCAGAAAAAGAACATTACTAGGAAACAAGGATGCTTAATTGTTCTAATATTGTTGAGTAGTTCAATGCCATAAGATTATTGACTGCCAGTATTGATAAAAAAAATTGTATTTTTGCATCACTTCTCAGGCAGCTATGTACACGGGAGAAGCAATTCATCATAGCAAAAAATATTGCACTTCCATTTGCACATCAACAAAAGGGCCCCTGTGTGAATTCGGTGAAGGCATCCAAACCATATTAGTAGAATTTAGCCATGTGTAATATAGTTTTATAGTCCTATACTCCTATGTGCTCTGTTTCAATGCTACCACTATAAAACTACTATGTACTGTCTATCCTGCCATCAAACATGTGGCACATTTTGCTATTTAGGACTGTCCACAATCTGCATATATGTTGTGATTAGCTTTTAGCCTCTATAACAACTATCAATATAAATGCTCACGTCACAAAACTTCATTTTTTGCACTACACTAAACCTAAATCTCACACCATGTCGTTAGCCTATACTTGACCTTCACAGACCTTGCAAATAGCATTTGTTTCAGTTACCTACCAGAACCAACAGATGTAATCAATGATTTCCCTCTCCTGGCACCACTGGTGCAACGCGCGAAGCGCGCGTTCACCTCTAGTAAACGTACAAACATAGTGATTTGTACCGATACAGAAACAAATGTTGACAAGCAAACCATACATAGCACTTCTGAAATAGGCTCATAACTAGGTCTAGATCAGAAGCTAGCCCACGATTCCCTCTCTATTATGGATCCTGTGCCGGGTATACATCACAATGGCGGAAATAAACGAAATCCATATGGAACGCATCTGATGTTAAAACACAAAAGAAGTGCATAATAAACATACAAACATAGTGATTTGTACCGATACAGAAACAAATGTTGACAAGCAAACCATACATAGCACTTCTGAAATAGGCTCATAACTAGGTCTAGATCAGAAGCTAACCATACATAGAACTAAGGAAATAAGTTCATAATAATTAGGTCCACATTTCTGCATAAACAGGGTGCCGATGGTACATTAACGACGATAAACATCATCGCCCTTCCGACTCGACAGCTAGAGCTGCAGTCAAACATACAATCGAGTCGCTTTATTCGCCTGACCGCACGTAGGTATTCAGGCGTGAGGCAGCAATACCTACATGCAAAGCATCAGGAACGGTGGGACCATAACCAGACCGATGCCGTTTACATCTGGGATGAAGCGTGGAGTGGCTGCGTCTCCACATGTACGTATCCCTCCCTGTGTAAATGTCAGTGACCAAATTAGCTTTTGGATAATGGTAGAGTACGAGGTCCAAAGGTACAGGAGAAGTGAATTTTCAGCAGTAAGGAAGAACTAGAGCATACCAGTTACTCAAGTAGCATCATATTCCCAAAGGAGCAGCACAAAGGGCATGAAGAGCACCAGGCGTACTGCAATTGTACCCAAACAAGTCTAGCATCCGTGGATTTTGGCAATCAGTTTCATAACTCACTTCCTTTTCACCATCTTTGTCTGTTGGGATAATCTTCTCGGTCAAGGAAAAACCAAAAAGGCGGCAACTAGTTCTGTCAACCTCCCTTCCACCATTACCAGGCTTAGTAGCATTCCCAGGTGTTGAAGCCTTTCCAATTTTAAACTGGTCCCAGCTAGTTTCACTGAGCAACTTGTGCTGTCGCAAGGCTGGTTGGCTGTCATTTCCACTTTTGTCATTGTTCTTGCTTGCCAATTCAAGCTGTGGTACCCCTGTTTGGTATAACATAAGACTGGAAGGTGGAGAAGGTGGCACAGTTGACAGGGAGAGACAATATCCTTCATTTGCAGATGATAGTCCATTCATGGTAGCTGGGGTGCACACATAATTCTTTAATTCATATCTGCTTTTCGCTGAACATGCATCAGGCAACATTCCTTGAAACGGAGGAACTGTCTGAGAAATTTCTTGACCTTGCAAGACCTCTGGGAATCCAATAGATTCACCGAAGCTTACAGATTGGTGGGTATAGCCAGAGTACTGCACTGGAAGTCTGCTTGTTGAACTGCCCAACATGCAGCTTCGTGTATCAGTAAGGAATCTCCAAGCATCAAAAGACTTACTTTTTGTAATGTCGATTGACTGAGGAGAACAAGTAGCACGATGGGTCCTAGAACCCATCAATTCTTGACCTTGCAAGACCCTGGGGAACTTTTCAGTTTCCACCGAGTCTGGACGACCATTTCCATCTACAGGATTAACACAAAAACCAATAAGCATATAGGGTTAAAGAATTTATAGATCCAAGTATTGACCTCGTGCTCTTGGAACTCACACAGAGCTGGCACGTCCAAATTGCCCTGAGGGCATAATTTGGTTCTTTTAGAACTGGATGCCGACAGAGAATGAGCAACAGAGATTGAACCACCAACTATCTCAATCTCCCATGGAGATACTCTATTTTGGCTGTTGCAGTCAGTAGCATCCTCCCATCGAACCTGTATGAAAAGACAGCAAATCAAATTGCTAACATTAGCGAATTTGGGTAATATTGACAATAGATTCACCATAAACGATTTATAATGGACAAATCAAAATCTATAAAAATTCTAAGCTGTTAGGCTTCCTATGGGGCCTTGATAATGTGGTCTTGGTCCAATCCAATAAAAAATATTTAGCCCCACCTAAACAGACATGGATGCCATCATAAAAGGTGTTGATAGCATTAAAATGTATATGGTTACAGTTAGTAAATCCTCTAAATAATTGGTTTTGCACAACTTTGATGATCCTTACAGCTTACATTATGAAAGCAAACAAGTTCCAGCCCATATTAGCAAGCAATAATAACATGCCTCTAGTATTCTCTTCACTGTTTTGTTTCTCCTGTGTGCTCAATGAGCTTCATTGGGCGGCATAGGGCGACAAACATTGGCAACTGGCAGAAGACCAACGAAATTCCTCATCAAGAGAGTTTTTTTTAGCTGCCAACCAGATGTTATAAACAGCAAAACGGATAAACAGATTGTACACATCCTACATCATTATTGTCCTTTTCAATCCAAATATGCGTGAAACAATTCTCTATCTTATTTTTTATCAAGGGGCCAAACTCCCCATTTCTATTAATAGAAATGCAGGAACTACAAAGTTCTCAAACTACAAAAGCCTAGATACTTAAGAAATTTTACTCCAGCAGAAACAATTCTCTATCTGACATCTGCTAATGGTAAACCTACATGGGAATCTTGGGATCAGAAGTGTGAAAAAGAAATGCATGCGAGGACCATTTGTCTTAAGGTGCCTCAAGGACTTACAAGACCATTTGTTCTGATTCCCTTTAGATGGGTTGGCATTTTATTCTTGATATATCATCCCAATTGACTAATATGATTTGTCCCAACCACTAATGTGGGCTAAGCAAGAGACTGCAAAATGTAGGAATCAAAGTGATACAAATCATCTAATCATTTTTATAGCACACCATTTTTATTACGTATTGAATTTATTTCGACAACTTCTCAGTTCTCACTTGAGCATTTATTAATGTTTGCACATATTTACTCACAAACAAAAGATCATAGAACATCCTAAGTAATTTCTCTACTCCACAAGATCAGGCTTGGATTCAAAATTTGAGTTTGACAAGAAGGATGTTGCACCCATATTCAAGAGTTCAGCACTTCAGCTAACTTGATGAATTTATTTTAATGTGTGAAATAACCTCACATTTAATCCGATAGACAAAACAGTAACTGAAATTGACTATATGTGGTGCCCTAATATATGTTTCAAAGACTTGGCAGGTAGCCAAAAGTTAATGTTCCGTAGTCAACAAGCTTAATAAAAAAGCAGCTCAAATGCATACCAGAAGGCTTCTCCACTTTGAACCAGGCCATCTGATGGGGTCTACTTCACTAACACCGGCAATCATTCCAGAACGCCTACAACACAGATAGTAAGACCCAAGAAAGTATTATGCAAAAACAAAAAAAGATAGTTCAACTGAAAAATGCAAACCTCTCATTAACATCTTCACTCTCAAAATGAAACTTGAACCTCATTCCAATACAAACTGGATGGTTGAAGCTTTTCACGAACTTCCAATATGGAACAACGTACTCAGAAGCAGTAGCCCTACAAAGTCCAATGATTACAATATGTGAATGGATATATAGTCCAACTGCCCCAGAGAAAATGACATTGTATTGAGTTGGACCACACAAAATGAAACACTATATGTTTTATTCAGCAGACCTTGGGTTGTAACAAATGTGAAAAACACTTCCATGTTTCAAGGAATCAGCCACAGCCGACAGTGTGCGCATCTTTGAACTTTCGCTACTAAAAGCTTTGAAAATCGCTTCATTTTTAAGCTGAGTAGCTCTTCGAACACCCAATCTTAGCTCACCATCATCACCCCTGCAAACGCTTAAAATGCTTCGTTAGAAAATATAGACAAGAAAGCATTAGCTTTATGGTTAACACCTGGATCAAGTGATTACCGGAGAAATAACACCGCGTCCCCTGAGACCAGTTTCTTTTTATTGACAAAGGAGCTCCATCCAGTTGTTAAAAGATGCCTGCGAGGTTGACCTGGAATGAAAAGAATGTTAAAAATTCATAATGTCATACTTTGCTCCATCACATGCTATAACTACAAGATAACTTGTGCATTTCCCTTGTAATCAAAATGGAGATATTGGCTTGGACAACAATAAGATTGGAGAGCATCCTCTATCCACTGTTTCAAGGACACTACTATCTGAGCAAAATTGTACAGTTTTATTAACAGAAGTAATTTTCACTGCAGAGATAACACACCATATATAACAAAGTGATGGAAGTCACAAAAGAATAACATAAATTGTATCAGAAGATGAACTAGGAAGGAAATAATTTGCATCCTAGGGAATGGCAAAGACGACTGAACGCGCAGTTCAGACAGGCAAAACTACTGACCACTTAGAATGTCAAACATTCAAAGAGTTGAAAAGCTACACCTGCCATATATTTTGTAGCATTGACTAAAATACTTCCTGACCTCTTTCAAAGCTAAAACAGTCACACATAATTTAGCAATGCTCTGTATATGCCCGATCATCAAACATGAGTATGACGTACAAGTTTCCGATACAAAGGTATCAAATCAAACATTTACTAGCAATTAAATAAATAGATTGTGTAACAAGGGCATTGCATATCCCTTATCAAGTACTCGGATGTCACCTCTATAAATATGGCGGAACCTCCACTTTGCTCCATGCAAATCCTTGGCAACAAGCTCTTGAGAAGGCCTTAGCTGTTTGTGGTCCTATTAAGGCACGAAAGAAAACAAACTTCGTTAGAGTTACATCACAAGACAAGCAGTCACTTGAAGAGTCAATAGGAAACAAATCAAACTTCTAATCTCATCACCAGAGGTGGAAAGCAATCCTCAGCAGCCCGACGAGGAACAGAGAACCCTCCATGTGTGCTTGTATCAGAGGCCGTTAGTGTTTTGCAGAACATGTGCAGCATCCTGGACTTCCTTTCCTCATCACCATCCTCCATGTCATCCTCCCTTTCGATTCCACCACCATGCAAGTTCCTCTCAAATACCTGAACCAACCAAATGTACCATTGATAAATCAAATCTGTTAATAGAATTTGTTATGCCAAAACAATTCATCGTATCGGTACAATATACAAATTAGAGGCATGATAGATGTGCTAAATGAAGCTACATTGTGCAGAGAAAACGGCACTCATACTATATCAAGCTGGCCAAGTAGATCTAGTAAGTCCCAAATTATGTGGCTCACTAAAATTAGAATGAACCAACAATGTCTATTTTTAGACATCCAATAAAAATCAAAGCTCATTCAACACCCATCACATTGCAGCTTATGCCACGCCCAAAGCTGAAAAGAGGATGCAGGCAACCAACATTTGACGCCCCCAAGAATCTCATCCAATCCCCAATCCCGGAAGCACATGAATCAATAAGATAATTGAAGCAGCGTTGCACCTCGCCCTCCGCCCGCAGCGCCAGTCGCGCGTACACCTCGTCCGTCGCTGCATCCGCCTGCACAAAGTCCAGCATGTAAATGCAGCCCACCACGCGCGGCCTCACAGCGAAAACCCTACCACGAGCGACAGCGGTTCACTCACGCATAGCTCGACGTCCACGACGCGGCACGCCACGTGGGGAGGGAGGGCAACCGCCACCTCCCCGCGGATCCCGCCGCCGGCGCCGGCCGCGGAGAGGTGCCCCTGCGGCAGGTACACGACCGCGCTGCCCCGCCGCGGCAGCGACACCACCGGCCCAGCGCACGCGTGCCACAGATCCCGGCACACCGGCCCCGGCGCCGGCGCGTCCTCCTCGCCGCCGCTCGCGGTGTTGTTGAGGTCGATGCCCATGGCGGTGGCACGCGCCCGGCCGCCTCCCGCCGCTGGGGATCCGGCCCAACAGTCGGTGGCTCGCTGCTCGCCGCCCCTCTCGGACGGCCAAGGGGGCCGGTAAAAAGAGGGGAGAGCCATCAGCGGCGGCCGCGAGGATGGGGAGGAGGAGGAGGATGCGGACGACGCCATTAATGCCTCCGAGGGCGTCGCTCTCCAGCCATCTCCTGCTCAGCGCTCAGCCCGCCCAGCCCATGCCCCCCCTGCTCCGCTCCTGCGGCGACCGCGCGCCCTCTTCCTTCCTCAGCTGCCGCTATCAATGCCGGTCGCTGTTGCCGCTGCTGCTGCTGATGCTGCTGCTACCCCGTCGCTGTGGCTAGCCTGCGACAATGCCCATGCCTTTATGACGCGGGCGTCGTGGTGGTGTCGTCTGTTCCGTCGCGAGCAGTGGCTGCTGCTGCTGCTGCTGGCTGGAGCGAGTCAGCGAGTGGGCGGGCTGCAACGGTGCGGTGCGGGTGAAGAGGCGACGGGTTGGTCGCGGTTTCCTTTTTCACTTCGGTTTTAGCCCTTGGCGCGGTGCGGGGGCGTGCTGCAGCTGCAGCGCGTTTACTGGCTACTGTGGGGCGGCCGTAGTGCTGGCAGCTGCAACTTTGGGGGTCACTGTTCCCCCACCAGGATGCCAATGCCACCGCCAGCGCCTCGTGGAAAGAAAAGGAAGCACAGTGCCGTCATCTGTTCTTAGCACAGTTCCGCTTTGGATGGATTCAGAACGGTGCGATTCCGACCCTTTTCATCAACACATGGTGGTAAAGTGAAGCTTAGTACATGCGTTGGTACCTGGGTGTGCTTCATCTGCGAAACTGATGAAACAAGCATACAGTGGAAGCATCTTGTGTTGATTGCGTCTCATTTGACGCTCTCTGTTTTACGGGACAGCCTACCCAAGTGTGATGAATTGATGCTCTTGGCCGTCACGACCAGTGTTGTACTTCTGCACGTTATTAATGCCCAGGCTGCGAGCATATACAACGTTTGCACGATGCCGTTCAATGCGACGCAGTCGACGGGTCTGACCAGCTCTGTCACGATGCCCTCTCTCTTTTTTTTACTAACAGTATACTCTTTTCAGAGATTTTTAATACTCACCGTGCATTCAATAATCGTTGAGTATCCGACCGGGCCCCTCCGGGCGACCACTCGCGAAATCGCGAGTTCGCGAGTCGCAGGCTACTCGCACAGCATGCAGGAGCAACGAAACCAACAATGATACCGCCGCGCCGATCCCTGCCTTGCTGGTACTCCTCCTACTCGGTAACGTACCCTACTTGCCGTGAGCCCGTGAGGCAACGTGCGGCTTTACCAGAGTCCACCCGTTTCCCCCTACGCGTGCCTGCCTGCCTACCTAGCGATGGGTGACGGCGCGGCAGCCGATGCCGCCAGCCCAGAGCGCCACTGCATGCATGCGGTGCACGGCCGCGAGCCACTGTTCGTCAGCCAATCTCGCGCGGGCCGGCCGAGTGATGAGACGAGGCGGCGCGCTCGGCTGCTATCCCGGGGGAACGTCCCCCGCTCCGCTGCTGTGTCCGTGGCCGTGGCCCACGCACAGCTCACGCACCGCAGGACTGCAGGAGTAGTAGTACTCCTCTGCCCTCTTCCCTTTGCTCGTCTTTTGGAACGAGAGGGAAGCAGCCAAGCAGGGAGACGGGCGCGCGGGCCCAGATCCGCCTTTTTCAGGCGAGTTCCTCCTCCCCTCCCCGTTGTGGGATGTGGATGGGATGGGTGATGGAATGGGGGCGGTACACGGGGTGGCATGGCACGTCGGGTGACAAGACATTAGAGCCGTTCTGCTTTCGCGACGACGGGCCCGGCCCGTTGCTGCCGTGCTGGTCGTCGACCGAATACGTTTGGCTCTTCGCTGCGTATGCGACGTCCCGGGTGGACCTGCGCTAGCACTAGCAGCCTTCTTCGATTACGAGTACTGCTGCTTTGGCCTCGCTACCTCTTGAATCTGGTTGAGTCACGAGTTCACGTGCGATGAGAAAGCATATCAAAGTACTGTACTAGTCATCTCTTTCCTTTCAGAGGGGTGTACTACTATCTTTTACCGGCGCGTCTTTTTGTCTAACACAAAGATACTGGGAGTACAGACATACATTATTATGGCACGGCACGGCACGGCACCATAGTTTTACAAAGAAACGGTCGAAAATATGGCTCATTCTAATTTTCCAACGAGATCACTATATTTATGGCGTCGTTATATTTTTAAGTACATAATCAGTTTTCAAAACTTGCATCGTAAATTCTCAAATTTACACTCTAAATTTTAGGGAATTAATATCATTTCCAACCATAACATTATTTAGTAAAGTTGCTAAAGTTGTTCCTACATTTAGTTTTTTGCTAAACTTTAATAAGCACTTAAGAAATCCTACCAAAAATTTTGATAAGCTTTATTTTGGCTAAAATTTTAACATCCCCTTATTCTTACTCTTGTGCTCGAGAAGAAGTGAGCATGTGCTACAAGGAGGGAAAAACACAACCATTAACTAGCCAACTTGTTGTCACGAACGTTGCTTCTAATTGCTTGAACTAGAGTGGACGTGTTGTCTAATTTGCTGAGCTGCACCTGCATCCTAAATGGCCTACAAATTAACTGTAACTGACCAAGAAACATGGCGACAAAAAAATGTAGTGTTACCATCATCCTAAATGTATTGTTCATGAAGATTGTTATGCATACGATATATCTGTCTGACTAAATTTGATTAACGGTTATAACATGATATCTTTTGATTGATTTATGAGTACATGTCTCTAGTTATATAATCGGATCATACGTATAGCAGTACTTATTGTCCAGAGCTTCAAAATTATAATTAAAAGTTGTTATATTTTTAGAGTAGTAAAATCGATTTCGAATTACGCACTACTCAAATAGCGCTTTGCTGGTCTATTTGGGGGAGCTTCTAGCAGCTGCAGCTTATCCAAGAATATCCAGTTGCTAGAAGCTCACCCAAACAGCTCAGCTTTTTATCCAGATTCTGAGAATCTGTAATTGTAGAATCTGAAAAATGAACTAAAAGCTAGAAGCGGGTTTTTAGCTTCTTCAGATTCTCAGCAGCTGCATTTTAAAATCTTAACCTACTCAAACATATCCCGGGGCCTCTTGGGAATGCCTAAAGCTTCCCAGCTCCCAGGTGGCTGTGATTGGTGAAGTAGTCCTATGCTTTGAGCGGCGCGACGCTGGGCCGCTGCCTCGCTGGGAAGATTTCATACGATTGCGAAATCTCGGCCTGCTCGCGCATGCACTTCGTCGTTTCCACGCGAGGGACTTGCTGGATTGCAAGAGAAAAAATCCACATGGACACGGTCGAGTTCATAAATTCCTATTTGTTCATGGCCCATATATGTGCCTAATTCAGAGAAGGCCCAAGATCCAAGCTTCTTATTTGAGTACGTCTTGGGCTCTTGCCACTCTCTTGACGAGGCTGAGAGCCTGAGAGTACTGAGGTTGGGATGAAGACATGGGCCGCGACAAGCCTGGTATGTGGCTTTGCAGTTTTGCACGATGTTCAGCACCAGGAATTTTTTTAATTTTTACATTTTTTATTAAAATATTTTTTTAAAAAAATTCGTGTTGCAAAATTTACAAATATAGATGCCTCACACCTTGACGGTTTTTTAAAATGGCTCTTCCAGAGGGCATTAAGGGACCTGAATGTAAAGTTTTTATTTGTGTTCAAACCATTTCCGTTGGTTTTAATTGCTTAAAAAACTAATAATGCTTATTCGACATTACAAATGATTTTAAATGAAAAGGTAATAAATTATAAAGTTGTAGATCTCATCGATATCTATAACTTTTATATAAAGTTCATCTCCGTCTGATGTCGTTTGTATTGTAGATTTGAGATTTTGTTAAAATAGGTTTTATATTTTGTAATGAACATTTGGGCAACTAACAATCTTAAATGAAAAGGTTGTTAACTACGAAGTTGTAGATTTCCTTGAGCTATAAAATTATGATATAAAGTTTGATTTCATACAACTTTATATGATACACTTTAAAATTGCAAATTCATAGAGTTAATAAGTTATACTGGAAATTATACATTTAGACCCCTTAACGCCCTTTGGATGGGCGTTTTTGAAAAAACTCTCTATGAGGGTGTGAAGTGTCTAAAGTTGTAATTTTTCAAAACAAAAAATTACTTTTAAAATATTTTAATTAAAATTTAAAAATAAAAAAAAATTCTAGCACCAGCTGATGGCAACGACGATCCAACATGTAAAAAAAGGGCGATGTACTTTCAAAATTATAAGACAGACTAGCAAAATGCCCAAGTTTTTTTTAAGAAATACATTACAAACGTAGACGCTCACAATGCGTGTGCACTCATCCCTATAAAACACAAGCACACCCTATCCCTATGAACACCTCTAGAAGACCGGATCGGCATATTCTGAGATTGGCGAAGTCACCATTTCACTATGATCATGTCATCGTTGCCAAACTTGTTGCCAAAACGAACAACCAACATCGACTTCCCATGGTGGAATCAACCCAAGCCAGCAAAGCACCACTTACTACACACGGATAGCAACAGGACCCATAAAAAAAGATTGCAACGTATAAATAATTTTGCTAAGCTTCATTGCACTCCAACAACGAAATAACTTCGACTCAACCCAATAAAAACAAACAAATAAAGTCGGTCATCCACCACAAGACAAGAATGGAGAAAGGAAAGGTGAAGGCCTCCAAAAGTCCACCAATGACAAAAGCTGCATCAGGAATATTCTCCAAAGCCACGCTCCAACAAGAGATTTTTTACTGTCCTTGAGGAGAGGAGGTACCATATCCTGGCCGTTCGTTACACTCCATCTAACGGCTGGGAAAGTTTCGGTACCTCGTGGTACCGCACCACCGTGAGAGCAGGTACCGAATGGCTTTTGATGGTGGGAGGGCACGATTGTACTTTCGCATGTACTAGTGCAGGTAGCGAATCGAGCGAATCCCCATCGGTCTGGGCGATGAGTTCAGCGCGGTAGATGCAACAGCCTCCCGAGCAGGGGGAAATCGCAGCGGCGACCCTAGGGGAGGTAGGAAAATGCAGGGACGCCGGCTCAACTACTACTCGACCTCCTTGGCTCCTCCTCCCTTAGAGGCGGTGATCGTCGGAGTGGACGATGACAACGGAGACCTATTAGATGACGGCGGCGACGGACTGTAGTCAGTGCCATGCTCCTCCCACCTTCCTCATCCTTCGGTGCCCAACTCCCCTCAGCGCCTCCACTCAGGTCGGGTCGTCGGGAGATGTTGAAAATGATTAACCCGCCCATTGATTAGTTCAATCGGATTTTTTCCTTTTCCGATATAGGTGTATATGTTTGTTTGCACAAGCAGTATCGCAGAGGGCAAGATCTGGTTTGGGAGGTATTCATGTGTTTCCCTCGAATCCCTACCCATTCAATTTTTCTTTTGTTTTTTCTCCTCTTTCTCTCGTGCTCATGAGAAGACACATGTCGCAGTCCATGGCGATGGAGATTCCTGGCCTCGATGCGCGACGGCGGCGCGATAGCGGCAACGGCCTCCATGCGTGACGACGGCGCGACGGCCTCGATACGATGGCGTGGCGGGCTCGATGCTCGACAGCGGTGGCGGGCTCCCTGCGCGACAGCGGCGCGACGCAGACGGCTGGCATGGACGGCCGTAGATGGAAGAGATGAGACCTTATTTTTGTTAGCCCGATCATACCCCTGATAAACTAACAGTTAGATTAAATTGATATCTCGTACCTCATATTACCTCGTGGTACCTCCTCAAGGATTGGAAAGATGCTCCTCCCACAAAGGACGCGACGTGAAACGTTGCTTTTTTTTTTTTTTTTTTTTTTTTGCAAATATGCCGTTTTGGCCATTGGTCGGTTAGCTTATTTCTTCTCGCGAACATAATCTTTTATCGAGCATTATAGAGGTTCAAATCAGGGCTGGCATTTCTACCACTCCAACCATCATAGACAGGATATTCAAGTTTGTTACTACTATACATTGTTTTTCCCTCAGCATCCCACCAAATCGGCACCCGAGGAAAGTTTTACAAGTGCGCGATGATGTATCCACACGAGTACAATATATATCAATTAACCAGTGCGAACAAGGTGATAGTAATAATAACTCAGGCTCGCATCAACACTTCGCATCGTGTGCTTGCAACTCACGGCTCATATCATGGGAGGCATTTAAAAACTCACGCTGCCAAAATGCTCAGTGGCCCAGTGCTGAACTTATCACTTGTTGCTCGTCCTTGTTCGTAGCTCATGGCTTCAATCACTGCGAGGCCGAGGCCTACGCTAATTCCTCATAGATCTCGCATGCAGGCAGCAGCGTGTCCCAATTACCATCGCGCACAGCGGCGCCATGCACGCACGCACGCTCTCCCCACAATCCCCGCCCCTTCACGCGCTGGCGAGTGGCGCCTTTTGATCTAACCTGCCCGAGTTTGCCTGATTGCTTCTCTGTTCCCATTCCCTTTCTACGCACACTGCTGCGAAACCAGTGCTCCTCACTGCAATTGTACCACACCGCTAGTGGGCACAGATCGGCCCGGCTATATATCAGTGAGTGCGCACGGAAACAATAGACAGTAGTAGTACGAGCTGCAGCGCTGTAGGCTAGCTAGCTGCCAACCCACCGACGCTTCCATGGCTTCCACCTCCTCCCCTCCTCGCCACCTCTTCTTCCTTTTCGCGCTCGCGTTCCTCGCAGCTGGCGCCGCCGACGCGTGGCCGGCGTGGGGCAATGGCCGCATGTTCTTCAGCAAGGCGACGCGCCCCGAAGCCGTCGAGCTTGACAAGGTGGCGGTAGCGACACCGGCAGCGGCAGCGGCGCCGGATGCCACCAACTCCAACCGCGCGTCGGATGAGTTTTCTCGGCCGTCCAGCGGCGGAAGCCACAACCGCGGGTACGGCCTCTACGGCCGCCCGGAGGAGAGCTACCCGGAGGCCTACTTCCGCCGCGGCGTGCACCACGACGCCGATAAGCTGACGACCACCAGCGCGGCGGCGGCCACGGCCGAGCAAGAAAAAGAGGAGGAAGCGACACCGGCAGGCGACGACGACGCCTGGCTTGGGTACCCCGCAGACGGCAGCGGCAGGGGGCGGCCGCGGCCGTACCCGCGCGGACAGCAGCAGCAAACGACCACCACCAATGCGGCGGTGGCCACGGCCGAGCAGGAGGACGCGGCGCCGGCACGCGACGGCACCGGGCTTGGGTACAGCGAAGACCGCAGCGGCAGGGGGCGGCCGATGTCGTACGCGCGCATGCGCGGCGGACAGCAGCAGCAGCAACAGCCGCAGCAGCAATACGGGATGAGCGACACGAGGCTGTACCAGAACGGCCGGTACGGCTACGACGTGAACACCGGCAAGTACGGCTACGGCCGCGAGTCCAACCCGGTGCGGACGCGGCCCGAGGAGTTCAACGGCGGGAGGAAGTTTGGCGGCAATGCGGCCGGCGGGCAAGAGTACGCGAACGGCAACTATCAGGAGGAGTTCGGCGTCGGCCACCGTGCCGGCGAGCAGGTGAGGAGGTATGGCAATGGCAATGTGGCCGGGCAAGAGTACGAAAACGGCAACGATCACGAGGAGTTTGGCATCGGGCAGCGCGCCGGCGTGCAGACGGGGAGGAGGTATGACAATGCGGCGGCAGGGTACTACGACGCGAACGGGCAGTACATTCCATGAGTATCTCAATGATGTTATACTGCGAAGCGTTTGTAGTACAGTGGTAGTATACTCGCGTTCACCTCCTTGTGTGCTGGAAGTAAGTTATGTTAGGTTACTTCGAAGGTAGATCGAGCTGGTCGCTCGCCCGCTCTCGTACGTGCGCTTGTTATGGGGTGATTGAAGGGATGAATCACTTTTGTCGGATAACTAGTGGAATGTACTCGTCTCACTGTACAAGAAATAATGCATGCTACAGTACTATATGTCACTACAACTTTTTTGCCATTGCCGTTCATCGTCGGTGCAAGAGGCGCTTCTGCCTGCTACTATGGGTAAAGAGTAAAAATTAGGCCCCACTACGCAAACGATGATTGATTAGGAGCATCTTGTTTGTCTCTGTTTTGTTGGGTTACACAGACAGCCCTGCTTGTAGCACGTGATTGCTCTTTCAGTAGCAATGCCATTTTTGCTGGTAACATCTCTGCAGTAAACTGGGAGAAATAGGAGTTGTGCCATTTTTGCCGAACATTACTGGAGTCAGTATTCTATCGTGGACTCCCGCTGGATAGTGCACAGTTGCACACTATAATTTGGGCCATTTTGACGAACTAACTCTATGTAGGCCATGATTTGTTCTCCCCGATCGAGGCGCATGCATAACGAAAGTCACGGAAGTATTGCCCCCACTTGGATTTGGATGATCCGGATCCTGCTGTCTGCACCAAACAACGAACCGAAACCACGTACCTACCGGGGCATTGCAAACGCTGCGTACGATACAACCAACCCCGTCGGTCATTAATGAACGTAGCGGCCATTGAGTTATATTTCCAGACTCGGCTGAAAAATGCTTCCAAGGTAGAGAGAATTGGAGCACGGGGCAACGGGCGCAGTGTCCCAGCGGCATCTCGTACACGAGTACAGTAATAATGAATCGGCAGGCTGTATGTACCACGGTGTACCAATGAATCGGCAGGCTGTAGTGACCACCGTGTACCGCTACATAAGAGCAGGTGCTATAGCAGATTATAAAAAACGGAGCGATAGATTAAGATGTGATTAATTAGGTATTAATTATAAAAAAAAATTAAAAAATAGATTAATATGATTTTTTAAAGCAACTTCCCTATATAAATTTTATACAAAACTTGTACCATTTAGTGGTTTGAAAAGCGTACACGTGAAATACGTGAAAAACGAGGGAGGTGGGATGGAAACCCATGGGGAAGAACACAGCCTAAGAGCATGTACAATAGCAGGCTATAAGCCAACTATAAATATATTTTAATGAGATAATAGAGGAGAGAAGAGCAACGAGCTATAGATTTGTAGCCAGCTGTAGCACGGACTTCAAGACACAATGTGTATACAACAGGTGGGACCATGTATTAATAATATAGTATGTAACTATTGTATGAATTGACTATTAAATTAACTATAGATGATTTGGAGCTAGTAGTTGGCTATACTATTAACCTTGCTATAAAAGAGTAGAGAGAATAATAGTGGACTAAAGATTTGTAGCCAGCTGTAGCACGGATTCCAAGATGTAATATGTGTATGACAGGTGGGACCATGTATTAATAGTGTAGTATATGTTTAAAGGTAACTATTGTATGAATTGGCTATTAAATTGACTTTAGATAATTTGGAGCTAGTAGTTAGCTATACTATATATTAAACTTGCTCTAAGGCTGCGTTCGTTCCCATCCCAGCCATTCCCAACACTCCCTCCTCGTTTTTCGCGCGCAAGCTTTTCAAATTGCTAAATAGTGCGGATTTTCTGCAAAAAGTTTCTATACAAAAGTTGCTTAAAAATCATATTAATCTATTTTTTAAAAAATAGCTAAAACTTAATTAATCACGCGCTAAACACTGCTTCGTTTTACGTGCCAGGTCTAAGAGCAAATATAATACATAGTAGACTACTCACTACTCCCTCCTTCAAAAAAATCTGAGACCTATTTCCTTTTTGCATCAATACCAAGAAACAATTAACTTACTCATCATGTGGCAAAACCAATGAACATGCAACCAATAAGTACTCCCTCTGTACTCGTAAAGAAAGTCGTTTATGACAATGTTTAAGTCAAACATTAGAAATATAAATCATGAATAACTCTCAAGTTGTGGAGTTTGAAAATATAAAAATTATATAAATAGATTTGTCTTGAAAAATACTTTTATAAAGTATACATATATCACTTTTCAATAAATATTTTTATAGAAAAAAGAAGTCAAAGTTATGTTTTGGAGACCGTGTCACTGTCTAAAACGACTTCCTTTATGAGTATGGAGGGAGTCCTAGAATAACTTCTTGGTTTTCGATTAACAATTTAATTTAGCACGTAGTAACTACAAATAGGACTTAGATTTCTGGAAAAATCAAAGAATGAAATATGTCTCAGATCTTTGGAAGGAGGGAGTATAAGCCAACTATAGTCTTATGTGGAGGAAAGATAATTTGAAAAATGGAGAGAGTTGGCCCTCATGCAAGAGCTAGTTAGGCCATTCCCAACCCAAAACACTAGACATAATTTCCATAAATTCCACATCATCAAGAAACTAGTACTAGACACTACTCTTCCAATGCAAACACCACTATTCCATACTTAAATTTAATACTACTTACCTCACACGATGTCTTGGATATTGTGTAGAAACCATGTCTCATGCAATATATGGTTTCATTCTCTTTCCTCATTTATTCACTGGCCATATTATTTTTTATCCTAGGTGACAGCTTATTTAATACTATGGACACCATCCTAGTCATTGGGTTGGGAATGGCCTTATTCTAGTCATTGAGTTGGGAATGACCTTATTCACATCCTTCAAAATAAATACATTAAATGTATAGGTGAGAAATAGAGAGACGAGGAGAAAAAAAAAAGATAACCTTATACTTATGGATGGCTCTATTATTAAACTTGCTCTAAATTGACCGTGCGCCTCCGTAGGAAAAGCCCACCAAACCTCTTTTGTTCCGCGCCCGCTAGCATTAACGACCCCGCCTTTTTGTTAGGACGCTGATTGGCATTGGCTGGACCGCAAGGTAGGTGGCTAGCGGGTGCCACTGCCGCGCTTCTCCTTCCCCACTTATCCTGTATCATCCACTAATCCCCCGCGCGCCAGCGCGTCTCTCCCAGATAATTGCTGCCCGTTCTTGCTCGCACCGTCGCACGCACGCACGCCGAGTCACGCGTATCACGGAGCGGAAAAAGTGCACCCAAGGTGACATCGAATTACAAAATCGTTCCTCAACCACAAAACCGGATATACGGCGTCCCCCAACTAACCAAAACCGGTCATAATAGGTCCCTCGGCGGTTTTAACACTGGTTTTGTCCTATGTGGCAGCTGACTCAACATGGGACCCACGTGGGCCCCATATGTCAGGCTGCCACATTAGCACATACTCTATTTCCCCCTCTTGTCTCTCCGTGTTCTCTCCTTCCTTCCTCCTCCTCGCTCTCTGCTCTCACACGAGCGGCAACGCGCGCGGCCGGCGATGGTGGCTCCCGAGTGGCTGCGCGCGGGCTCGCTAGCCTCCCCATTCCCCTAGTGCGGTCGGCGATGGCCGCGTGCGGCTGCTGCCATCATGCGGAGATTGACTCGACGACGCCGCCATCAAGTCGCTGCCGTCGGGCGTCGGCGATGGTGGCGCGCGGCTGCGGCCGGCGGGGGAGGCGGAGGAGGTATGCACGGACGCCCTCGCCCTCGTCGTCGATGTCGCCACCGATGAAGAGGTCCGCGCCGCTCACCAGTTCGTAGGCCTCGTCGTCGTCGACGCTCGCCACTCCGTTCCGGCCGCGGCCCAGCGGACAACTGACGAGAAGCCGGCGGCGCGGCGCCCCCGTCACGGACGAGCGACAAGAAGCCGGTGGCGTGGTGCCCCCACTCGAAGCCGCCGCCGACGATGAGGCCAAGCGGCGCGGAGTCGTCGGCGCCGCCGCTCCCCATCCGTAGCCGCGCTCGCCTGTTGCTGCTGCGGCCGCTGCCTCTCCGCCACCGCGAACGCCCGCCGACACTGCCTTTTCCCTGCCGCTGCCCTCCTCTTCCCCGCCGCTCATTCCCCGTCGGCCGCGCCGACCCTCTTCGCTGCTCCTTCTCCTCTCCGCCTCTCCTTCCCCGTCGGCCGCGCCGTCCCTCTTCCCCGCCGAATCGGTGACGCCACCGCCACCACATCTGCCCTCCTCTTTGCCGCGCTCCTTCCTCGCCAGCCGCCAGCCGCCTCACCCCAACGATGATGCACGGTCACGGCAATGGCGCCGCGCGGCACGTGGGGGAGGAGGGAAGGCAGACGACCACCACGGTCCTCCCCGCGTGACGGCAACCATCGGCGGCGCTCCCCTTCCCGTCCCGGTCTCCCGCGCCGCCCTCGATTTGCTCCCCTCCCCTTCCCCCGCTGACCACCGTTCCCATCCCCACCCTCGCCGCTGCTGCCGCCGCCGTCGCCGCCGCCCACCTCGCTGTCTCCACGCCCGACTTCGACGCCGCGGCGGGGGCCCTCTTCGCGCGCCGCGCGGTCGAGGAGGGTGGGGCCGCCGCGCTCACCTCCGACGAGGCCGATGCGGTGCCATCGCCCGCCGCTGTTCCTCTGCCTCGTGGGCCTCGTGGGCGGCGGTCGGCGGAGGAGTCCGCGCGCCGCTCCTTCCCCCACGTCGCCCATCGTCAGCTGCCGCCGCCCTCCTCCTCCCGCTGGCTGAGTTAGAGAAGGGAGAGAGAGATGAGGAAGGGAGAGAGAGGAGGGAGGAGAGAGAAGGTTGATGTGGCAGCCTGACATGTGGGGCCCACGTGGGTCTCACGCTGAGTCTGCCGCCACATAGGACAAAACCGGGGTTAAAACCGTCGAGGGACCTATTATGACTGGTTTTGGTTAGTTGGGTGACGCCGGATATCCGATTTTGTGGTTGGGGGACGATTTTGTAATTCGATGACAAGTTGAGGGACCTTGGGTGCACTTTTTCCTCACGGAGCACGGCGCGGACCGGCGGGCTGAGACACTCGCGGGCCGTGGCGATGCTTACCCAAGCTGGACGCTGTGAAATGGGCCGCGGGTTACAAAAACGAAGTACGCGTTCACGTTTCCCAGGCCCATCTAACCGTAGGGTTTTAGCGTCTCGCCCCCGTCCTCTGCCGGCGTAGCGCCACCGCACTGCGCACCCGCCCCGACGCAATGGCCACCGCCGCCGCCGCGAGATCGTTCCTTCGATCGGGAGTCGCCTCCTCCTCGTCCATCCGCGGCGCCGCCGCGAGAGCCGCATCCCGAGCCGGGCCGGCTCCGCTCCCGAGGAGGCTGCCCGCCGCTGCTCCCCGTCTCATCTTGAGGTACGCGCGAGATCTCGGAGTTGAGGACTTCTGGTTCACTAGGAATTTTTGTTTGCTTTCCTTGATCTGGATGGGGAGTTTAGTGCTTGTGTTTTTTTTTGTTTCCTTTTGGATTCTGCAGGTCGCCGGTGGAGATGAGCAGCGTCTGCTTGGAGACGCTGATGCCCATGCACAGCGCCACGGCGTCGGCGCTCATGACGTCGCTCCTCGCTGCCCCTGCGTGCAGGAGCTTTGGCTGGCTCTCCGAAGGTAATAATTTCTCCCTGATCTCAATCCCGTTAACTGCTTTTCCAATGGCGGTACATTGGCTTTGAGTTATGGAGCGCATTTGTTTGTTGCTGGACTGTAGAGTGGAATAGATTAGGTGCTGGTTTGGACAGATCAGAAAGACATCAAGCACTATTAAGTGGTAATAGGATGAGATGTTTGTTAGTTGTAGCTGTGCTACCAAGAGATGTATTATTGTTCATCAACACCTAAGTATAATAAGTTGAGGACCAGGCTCTAATTTAGAGTCCTACATGAAAACAATCGGTTCAACTGTAATTATGAATTCGCATTCCTTTGTCTACCAAATGGACTGTCCCACATTATTTATTTCAATTCATCTTTGCTGCAGTGGGCATTCCGCTTACAGCTTTAATCCATGTTTATTGCAGACTTGTAGTCCTTGTTTCCAACTCCTTTAGAGCATATTTTTCATTGTTCCCTGGTCATTTTGGACACTTGTTTGTTAGATGAACAATTCCAAACATGTTGGATTTCTTATGTTTCAACTCCTTTACATTCTATACGGACAAAGCCTTGCTAATATAACGTGACACATTCCTTAGGCTTTTGGCATTATGTTTGTTAAGTGTCTTCAGTGCACAAAATTAATAGCCCCATCCTATAATAACATCAAGGAATGAGTGTGATGACAAACCTTATGCAAACTATATAGCACTCTCCTAGATTAAAGTTAAAATGTAATAGTCCTGAAGTTTGTCATGTTGAAACCAATCTTATATTTTCGCATGGCCCTTGTTGTAGGGAATGAGTGTGATGACAAACCTTATGCAAACTATATAGCACTCTCCTAGATTAAAGTTAAAATGTAGTAGTCCTGAAGTTTGTCATGTTGAAACCAATCTTATATTTTCGCATGGCCCTTGTTGTAGGTCAAGACGAAACTAGATGAACACCAAGCACCAAAGGTGAATAAACCTTAAGGATTCACATACTAATAACTGTTGATGGATAGTTCCCATCACTAATTTATGGCTCTGAAGGATTTACGGAGACAAGATACCTTTATTTAAAGGAATGCATTGTACGCTTCATCATTAATAAGTAAACATGTAGCTGGAGTGCAGGAAATGAAAACCAAACTATGTTTCATCGTGCTATTCCACAGTCCGGATAATTTAGAGTTATCCTTTTGTTGTTTTTTCTCGTGTTATGTCACAAGCATACATTTAGACCTTTTGTGTTGCCGGATCAAAACTCTCCCAAGAGCGACATTTTCAAATCATAGACCATTTTAGTTCGATCGTTTACCCCCTTAGGTTTTATTGAAACTGTTTGTAATTTGTAGGTTTAATATTGAAGTAGAGTTTCAATTTATAATAATGTGCTAATCATCATGAATTACAAATTTGAGGCAAAAGGGACACTGATTCTTTTGTATTGGCCCAGCTGGCAATGATGACGTGTGACAAACTCTAGGTGGAATGTAGCAGATTATAGTCCCGTCAACTCAAATCTACAGGTCTGGCAAGGTTTTAAGGAGCATCCATGTTAGCATATATTCATAGTCATGTTCTATTAATTTTCCTGCCATGGTTTGCACAAAAAATGAAAGATGAAGACGCATATAAATCTCTGCCAGGGTACTTGTTTCTCCTTTTAATTAACTAGGAACTACATGATTATGTTTGTTCTTTGTGATCATTCGGGACCATGCTATTCGATGTCCTTGGACCTTACCTAATGATGTATGCAGTTTATTTGTCCTGCTATCATGCTATTGGAATTATAATAAGCTACAATGAAACCATGATTATGTTTTTAGTTCTTGTATATACTTGTTTTTTGACACATTATATATCTCTATAGGTCTGTGATTAGTGACAATGGAGGGTGTCTGAGATGAAGACATGCTAGTATTTACTTTGTCATTTCTGTTGCTTCATGTTTTATCACTTTGTAATTCGTGGAATTAAAACAAAAAAGAAAATTTATTTCTTTGGCTGTAACTTTTTACGCTGTCAGTTAAAAATTGGATCTTAGATTGTTGCGTTTCTATTTGTAGATGGATGATTTGTTGTTATCGGAGCCTGATGTGACGATAGCTGCTACGAGATACCTCCTATTCAATTTAAAGTACTTTCCGTCGGCGTCTTCTGAGCGACATGTTCAGTATTCTGGGATTTTGGTCTGTGTAAGCGTCTACAAGATTGTTACCTGATCGTTGCGACGCTTACCTCCGGTTGTCCAACTGATTTTACTATTGATGGCCTACTACTGATTAAGTCCCGCTGAGAAAATAATGCTGAGTTGGAAATTTTCTAATTCTACATTGTTTTGCTTCTATCTGCACTGTTACTGTATTATGTACAGCGACAGTTTCGTACCTTATTACTACAGCAGTACAGTATTATCGTGTTGTATTAAGCTGGAGACGCCGTTACTCTCTGTTCCGTTGACGAGCAGTATCAGAGGCCTCTATCTCCATGGTGGCCATCGCGTCCCAACTGTTAGAGCATTGTAATTCAAGCTAGCTTCTTTCTAGAGGGGAAGGTGGTGCCATATATAACAAACAACGATGTAGGGAAACACTCAGCATCCAAGAAACAATTTTTGCCCATATGGACCAGAGGTTCAAACATAAGATTACTACGGTTCGAATCAGAAGCACTGCAGACAATTTATCTCCTAGAAATCATATCCTTTTAGAGGCTCAAAATGCAGCAGCAAATTGACTGATCATCTCACATCACATTTGTTCTTACAACCACAACTGCTGCAGCACCTAATAGGCTAATACCCATCCGTACATAGAAATGCTCGATAGGAGGACATGAAGCAGTTCAGACCAACTGCTACAACCTAACCTCAGAATCTCCTTCATCTTTCACTTTCTTGAGCCAACTCAAAAGGTAGAATTTGACCAAATAGGCTTGGAACACATAACTTCTGAATAACAACGAAACCAACACGATCTCACCCTTCAACATTGACAAGTTCATACTCCACAAGTGAGAGATTGTTATCCTCCTTTACGTTGAAACTTGCCGGTTCAGTCACTTCAATGCGGCCCCATTTGTCCACAGCAAGCCTCATTGATCCTTTGAACATATCAATTTTTGCATTGCGGATAATAACAGTGCTGTCAGCCTTCATCAGGTCAACTGTAAATAGAATACAATTGTTAGACATCACCCAAGTAAAAACTTGTTCACTACATAAGTTAGGAAGATATTCTTGAATTACGTTTGTACTATAATACGCAAAAGGTCAGGGACTGGGCATGTTATGAATCTAATTGTCCATTCATGTGAATAATCATGCATAGGACATGTACTTATCATTTTGGAGTAATCATTTATGAATTACACTTACGATAATAAGCAAAGTAAAATTAGATATGTGCATATACGAGCAAGGCATGTTAAAATCTATCACCGATAAAAAAAAAAGACAATCATCCAACCAGCTTCAGAAATGATGTGCTCAAAAGCATATACTGTCATGCATATATGAACTAATCCAAAACACTAATTAGGCAGAGGGTGAACTTGCGCAACTCAAGAATAATCTATCAAATGCCATTGCAGTTTCATGCACCCAGAGTTTTCAAGCAAATATTTCTACAGAGATTAAGAACTAAACAGAAGGCAATCAACTAAAACATGCAATGATGCACAGTTCACAAGTACAGACGTACAGGTACTTACATAACCTTACACAGATAAATATAGAAAGTGACACCTGTACCATTTGGGTTACACAAATAGCCTCAATCTTACCAACTGGATACACCAGCCAGCAGCCAAGCATATTTTACATTTAAATCCAAATTTTCGGAACCAAACGTTAATCTTAGTTTGGTTGTGCTAAAAACCACATGCTGCATTACATGGAACACAGTAGTATACTCTTGCCTGATATCAGATAAACACCTACAAGTACATACTATCGCACATTATTGTACCAATTTAACACTAAGCATGCGACTTCAAAACCAGCCTCGTCAAAGGAAGCAAACGTGGTAACGGAAACTGAATACTATGCACAGAATGGGGACACAGATCGTACCCTGCTCGTTGCGGGCGGTGAACAGGATGCAGCCGGTCTCGTCGCCGATGAGGCACTCGGCGATCCTCGTGGGACGCGCCGCCGGGCCCGCTCCCGCGGCGGCGCGGCCCTTCTGGACCACGGTCTTGGAGCTGAGCACCTTGGCGACGAGCGTGTGGCCGCCCGTGCCGGGCTTGAGCTGGTCCACCTTGACGAACACCGGCTTCCTCTTCGCCGCCGCCGCCGCCGCCGCCATGGGTACGGAAAAAAGAACACTGGAGAGTAGTAATGGATAGAGATAGGAATAGGATTACACGGAGGGCCAAACCCTAGATGAGGCGGGGAGAGAATTTAATAGGCGATCGAGGAGGAGGCCACCACTAGCGACGCGCGCGGCGGTGACTTGTTAAAACCAGACGCTATCATTACCGGGTCCAGTAGGATGGATCAAAAGGAGTATTATCCGCTTCTCCTTTGCCAAAAGGTCAAGAAAAAAAAAAGGAAGAGGTTCAGTTCGGTGGGAATTTGGCCGCCATGAGTGATACCCTATGCTATGCTACTATGCCCCTGAGTAGAGTAGTAGTTATTTAGGGAATAACCTGAGTATTTGTTATTAAAAAAAATAAAAAAAAGACACTCACATACGCCACCGTGTACATGAGCATCGTTGAAATATTAGACCTATCAATAACTCGATATAAATACTCCTTTATCCATCTCATTTTAAGTGCAGCCATAATTTTTCGTGCCAAACTTTAATCGTCCGTTTTATTTAAAAAATATTAAAAACATAAGTCACACATAAAGCACTAACAAAAATACTAATTAAAGAAAAATATGACGAATAATCAAAATTAGATACAGAAACTTATGGTTAAAATGAGATGGAAAGAGCAGTTATGTTCCACCGGATAAAAACAAACTGAGCTACGCTCATCTCGCGAATAATGATGTGATTATTTGATTCGAGTTGGATATGATAGGACGACACTTTCGAATAGAGTTTTCGAGCATCACTTCTAAAAGCATCCATCAGATAAACTTATCTTCATAGCCATCATTAACTCTTATTAGCATCTTTGCGTGCAAGGGAAGGGCAATCAACCTAAACCCGTACCTTACGTGTTGTTATTATGCTCGACCAAGGCACCAAGCTGCACCGAAAGTCCAAGGTTGCCCATCGAAGCACCAATTGTGCCTCTACTAATTTTCATTTAAAGCAATACTTCGAAGCATTTGTGCTTACAGTTACAGACGATAGAATACTCGCTGCATTCTGCCAATGAGGCAAATCTTTCAGGCCAACGTTGGCTAACACCACCAGGCAGCATCATTCCAACATCTTCCCAGGAAATGAGAGAAATGACACCCAAAGGTGAACCTTCAGAAGGAGGGCAATTGCACTTTGATTTTCCAGGCGCAAAAAATGGAACATCCAGCCAGGTTAACAAACAAGCCATTAGAGTTCACGGGTAATGCTGCAACAGAATCATCTACATACAACTAGCTCTAAGAAGGTGCAAAACTGGAGAGGCCTAAATTACTCAGTACAAATCTGAACATCTAGAGTAAGATGACTGAAGCTAATCAGCCATCTAAAAGGTTCAATATGGATCTAAGCTATATCAGTAAACAGAAAGCCTTCCACATTGCATAAGAAGCTGTACAGAGGTGACGGAGGACGGCCTAACTGCGATAACCTTGTTAGAGCCTGGCAAAAGAAAATCAGCAGTCAGAATCATCGGAAGTAAGACTGAAAATGCACAGTTTGATCTTTACAATTGCAAGAAATATGACCAAGTTAAGCCCCTGCTATCGTTATCTTGTGTTACAGCAGATGGTTAGTGTACTGCCATAAAACAGAGGTATACGTTTTACACAATTTTCATAAAAATCACAGTTCAGCTTTGATTGGTATAGGTATGGTGGTAGTGCTAAGCAGGTGTCATCTGTGAGTCTGACTATAACCAATAACAGATGGAAATACAAGGGCGAGCTGATTTCTTCATTAGAAGCATCAAAAGGTTTCGTGCAAGTACATAAAAAGCAGGTAGAGGATAAACATGAGACTTTTATACTCCCTCCGTCCCTAAATATTTGACGTCGTTGACTTTTTTAAATATGTTTGACCGTTCGTCTTATTAAAAACTTTTGTGGAATATGTAAAACTATATGTATACATAAAAGTATATTTAACAATAAATCAAATGATATGAAAAGAATTAATAATTACTTAAATTTTTTGAATAAGACGAACGGTCAAACATGTTTAAAAAAGTTAATGGCGTCAAATATTTAGGGACGGAGGGAGTACCTATGTAACGACAGTATTTTGTTAATTTTAATAAGTAAAATTTTATCAAAGTGACCACACTTTCTTTGATGCACACTTAGGTTTCTGTTTGACAGGGAAGGTAAGAGCTATTTACTGAAAGCTCTTATTGGACAATAGGCTCTTTTCTCGGATCGATAAGTTTTTGTCCCCCCGCCCGTAATGAAAGGAGATACAACCAGATCCAAATAGAAACTAAATTTTGTCTTTTTAGTTCTTATGTAAGCATCAAATTTCCATAGCAAAATGCGAACAGTTTAAAATATAAAGATATATCTGTTAATCCAATTTAATGCTAAAGAAAATCTAAATAGGCTTCTCACAAAAAAAAAATTCTAAACAGGCCAAATAATTCATCAAGGCTTATTGTACTGTACCTCAAACTGCAATTGTTTTCTTGCCAGCAAGAATGCGGGATATCTGGAGGCCTCTGCTGAAAGCTTCATTGAAAAGTACCCTCGTCTGCATTTCCTGAAATCCAGGCAACCAGGAAAAGAATGCAACTGGCGCCATAACAAACACCCCAAGCAGTATCTCATACAAACGTGCCACAGAAACAACACTGGCCCAGACCACAGTAGACTCAATGAATGGTCTAATCACTTGAGCAATGGAAATCAAGCCCCAACCAGTAGGAATGAATGCCAAAAGGCTTGTGAAGATGTCAATGATTTGAAATTTAGTAAATTTCAGAAATATTATCAGCACTAGCACTGCAAGAATAATGACACCAGATTGGATGACCCGGTAGTAAAGGTGTTGTTTTGCAGCATACTTGTCTCGAGCATATGACATTAGGACAAAAATGCCGAAAATCACAGCCACACAAATCCAGGAAAGCAGATAAACAGCAATACTTCTGCTTTCATTTGCGATCTTCAACTGGTATACAACCCCATACTGAAAAAAGAAGTATCTGAGATCTAACAATATTTCTAAAATCTTTCCCCAAAGACCAGTTGTTCGTAGATGATCCTGCTCCTCAAACCACCAAACTTCCCAGCTGTGTTCAGCCTTAGAAAAGATACTACCAGGGTACCAGATCCAGTTCATGAAATCATCAAAGTCATACACTGTTTTCAACCAATCAAAGCCAGATGGATTAAAAGCAAATGGAGCCATGATCCATGATACCACTAGAAACCAGCTAGATATCATCATGATTATGTAAACAAGTGTATCCCTTGCAATCACACTGTGAGCTGCATACACAGTCAATACTATTCCAAGTTCTATTGCCTTTATGAAGTGGCTCCTAGCATACAGCCTGTAATTTTCAGCAAAACTCTTATGCTGCACAACAAAACCACGGCCAGTAGCACGATACTTAGCACCGCCATGAAGAATTGTCCGGCCATAGTAATGGCTTTTCGTCCCCATGGAAAATGTGTAGAACACGGACGAAAACATCATTTGCATAGTGAAAAAATCCCAGACAGCAGGCAGAAAACCCTGTTCAAGAGAGTTCTCTATAATCATTGGCAAGGCAGTGAAGAGGCCAAGCTGTATGACAAATTGCTGATTCAGAACGGCACCCAAGGCTTTATTGTTGGTAGCATTAGCGCTACCCTGAATTCCAGCCTCAAGACCACTCAGAGCTAGATAGAGGCGTCCCCAAACAAATGTATAAACTGTCAAGACCACCATCATTGTGTTGAAGTAGAATCCTACTGTTGTATAGAACACAGAAAGACTCCTAAAGAAATCCAGCCTATGACCAAGTCTGTAGATATCCCTACTTAGGGTCTGTTCACCATTGCCACTAGAAACCTTTGCTTCAAACATCGATATCTGATTGAGCCCAACATCACGTCCCTTACCAACCTGGATATACTCATGGTGGCTAACATTGCCACCGCGTAGGGTACAGTTGAAACCTGCAAATATGTCCTCGCTGATATTGATTACTCTGGATGCCTTGCTTATACCACCTCGGGTTAAAAACCAAAGGCGATCAAATACATCAGGATGCCCATAATGCATCCGAACCTTCAACGGATTAGCTAGAACTCGCTGTCCAAGGGTAACAAAGCTTGTTTCTTGTGCAGACATGAACCAAGCAAGTGAAGACACCGATCCAGTAAAAACATGCTCCCGGACGCCCAAAAGCGTTGGTTTCTGGCTTCCATGATAATAGTCGTACTGTTCTAGTAGGTTACGCATCTTGAGGGCCTCCTCAAAATAATTATCCTGGTTCATATCAATCGTTTGCACAGCATCACCTCGTGTGAATATGATGGCATGGTTCTGATTTTCAGGTTTTCCCTCCCCAAGTTTCAGTTGACCTGGCAACCTAATACGGTATATCTCAACCTCTCTCTGTAAGACAGGATCAAATTTAACAAGGACAGAATAGTATTGCGTATCACCAATCTCAGGATGGACCTCATCGACATAAGCAACACGGAGGGCATCATTTTTCTTCATAAGAGTTAGGATATCTTCAGCACGTTGATCTTTCGCCTTTTTCTGGTTTCCATATATTTGGCAAGCGACCACATAGGTGTACTTCATGATAGCAGCACCATCTTCCTGGCCTTTAAACAATTGACTTACAGTACTTGTTCCTCTCTCTAACCTCCTTCGAGGTCGTTGTGATAAACCCCCGTTCATGGGATATACATCATTCTCATACTGAACTGAACCAAAAGAAGCCAGCTGTTTTGTTCCCTCTGTAATTTCTACTTCAGATGCATTATCAAGAAAAGCAAGCATCTTGAGAGCCCTGTAGTAGTACATCATTCCCCTCACAGTCCGTGCTAAGGTCTGCCCCCTGTACGAGGCCCAAAGTCGGAGATCCTGGAATTTTCCAGCCCAAATGCCATCATCACTAGCCATTCCTTCCCTTTGCATGCGCTCTAAAAAGTTTTTCCAATCATCTTCATAAATCTTTTGAAGATAAAACAAGATTGAGATGCCATCTTCATTCTCACGACGAAGCTGGTCCTTGTTGTACAGAACATCTTCATTGTAATATGGGGTTAAAACACTGAATGCCATCATCCTCTGAACGGTGGGAGCACGAGGCATGTTCATGAACAGGGAGTTGCTGAAGAAAGTTATGCGCCGACGAGCCTCGGGGTTCTTTGGAACATCGTCCATAGAATCCC